AAATTTGGCATTAACCAGGTCCAGAATGCCTGCCAGCCTTGGCTGCTTTTCTCCTAGCAGTGGAACACTTGCCTAGGTATAATACAACCTATACAGCTGGAGTTGGACCATGTGTCTTGTGGTGCCACACAGATGACCCTCACAGGGCACAGGACACTGAGGAAATCTAGAAGTGCCCTGGGGCTCCCGGAGGTCTAGGGACATGGTGGCATTCTTAGCAGCAACATTCTGTTACATACTTTTTAATGTTTTGGTCAATAGAAAAGCACTTTGTGAGAATCTGGGGGAAAATTATGATAATATGATGACTGTTAGGATCAGCAGTTCAAGGAACACATGAATCCTGTGAGGGAGATAACACTAACAGGGACAGTGGACAGCAACTTTGTTGTTGGTTGGTTTGGTCTCAGGATTCCCAGCAGAGCTGTGGTGAGCCGGGCTGCATGGCACAGACTGTACCAGAAGACTGAGAAGTCTTCTTCCTAGTGCCAAACCCCATCTCCACCCTCCCCGCCCCCAGACTGGAAAGGCCAGGGACCTTGCAGGAGGGGAGCCAGGAAATGCGTGTGCTTGTGACCCAACTGGAGCCAACTTCACACTGGACACTGCCATAACAGGGTTTTTCCAACATTACTTAAGGCTAAAGAAAAATGACAACAGAACCAATTGTGAGACGTGCCCTTCCCACTTCCTTCAATCAGGGTAAGGCTAAATTGTTGTAGCAAAGATTACTTATCCTAACTACAAAACTTAAGGAACACAAGCCAACTACACTTCATCTAGCAGTTTTTGGCAAAATATTTCAGCTGCTAGGGCTTCTGCTTATTTTTTAAGATTTATTTATTTTTATTTGAAAGGCAGGTTCACAGAGAGGAGAGACAGAGAGGGAAAGATCTTCCATCCACTGGTTCACTCCCCAAATGACTGAGCCACCCTGAAGCTGGGAGCCAGGAGCCTCTTTTGGGCCTCCCACACAGGTTTAGGGTTCCAAGAACTTGGGCCTTCCTCTGCTGCTTTCCCAGGCCACAGAGAACTGGATTGGAAGTAGAGCATCTGGGAATGGAAGTGGTGCCCATATGAGATGCTGCTACTTGAAGGTGGAGGATTCGCCTGTTGCGCTATGGCACCAGCCCTCAGGCTCCTGCCTCTTACTTTTTCAGGTTCCTTCCAAGTTGTTTCTGGGTCACACTATGAACTGAGCCTGGCTTCTCAAAGACAGAAACAGCAATATCACTTGGGACCTTGTACAAAATGCAAAAAATCTCAGACTAGACCCTAGATTGGCTGTGGCAGTAGCTTGTAATACAAACCAACCAACAAACCAAAAGGAGGGTGGACAAAGATCCTTGTCCAGAAATGAAGATTTTTCAAGGCAGTGGAAGCAGAACATGAAACCAAGTACAGGCTTCCAAGCCTCTTGAGCAACTGCACAGGCCCCAGACCTCTCAAGCTTACCCGGAAGTCACACGGTCCAGGAGTTAGAAGCACTGACACAAGAACAGGTGCTTGGCCTAGCAGCCAAGATGCCGCTCGGGATGCCCCCATTCCATTAAGAAAATGTTCACTGGAAGAGCAGCAGTGGTGATGGCTCAAGTGTTCAGTCCTGCCATCCACGTGGGAGCACTGGATTGAGTTCTCGGCTCCTGCCTGTAGCCTGGCCCCATCGTGGGCATTTAGAGAGTGAACAAGTGGATGGGACCTTGTTCTCTCTGCCTCTCATATCAATCAGTAAATCATAGATACTGTGTTAACAAATTCAAGTTATGTCCTAGTAATATCGGATATAAACAATACCTACATCTCTAGAGGAATTTATTAGCTTGGAATAAAGTTACTAATCACCTCGGTGAGGTAGAAACTGGAAGTCTGGGAGACGGTGCCCGTGTTCATGGCAGTACTGAACCCTCTAGGGAAGATTTACCAAACAAGAAGTTTCCATTTCTCTGTGTTCCTCCATGTGCTGCTGGGCCAGGGTTGACTGGAAGCCACAGGCTCCTCCAGCTGAGCTGTGCTGTGTTACAGAGGAAGTTCAGTGCTCTCAGAGTTCCAGTTAATAAAAAGCTGCTTTTAGCTGTGACTTGTTGCAGTACAGTTCCTGTAAAACTTGCAGGGGTGAGCCCCAGCAGCGCAGGGCCAGCAGAAGTGGGGGGGATGGAAGGTCTCAGCAGTTGGGCCCTGGGTGAAAAATCACGTCAAGGTTGAGCAAGATTTAACTAGCAAGAGCAGCACACAGAATGCATCCAAAAGGCAGAGAATCTAGCATGAGGGATAAATTGGGGATCCGAAAGTGAGAAAAACACTCGAGAAACAAGTCAGAGAGGGCCTTAAAAGGAAAGCTCAAGGAGCTGGCATCATGGTGCAATGCGTTAAGTCACTGCTTGCAAAGCCGACAGCCACTATCCAAGCATTCAAGCACAGGTTCAAGTCTTGGCTGCTGTGCTTCTGAGCCAGCTCTCCATTGGGGCACTTGGAAAAGCAGAGGAAGATGGGCCCTCCGCCACACACATGGGAGATCCAGATGGAGCTTCAGGCTCCAGCTTGGGCCTGGCCCAGACTCGCCTGCTGTGATCATTTGGGGGCACGAACTTCGTATGCAAGATTTCCATCTCTCCTGCTTCCCTGTGCCTTTCAACTAGATACATTTAAATAATAAAAGGGAGAGAGAGAAGTTCACGGTTTTGGACTTGACTCTGAGAGCAAACGGAGCCGCAGGAAGTTCTCATCGGAAGTGGTGTGACTAAGGCTATCCCTCCAGGACACAGGTTCTGGCAGGGGACCTGCAATTACTTTGCCATGACACCAAAAAAATGCAGTCTCCTCGGAGGCCGCAGTCTACTGTGAACTAGGATAAGGCTATTATCTAAAGCCAGAGACAAGGTGGGGGAGTCAGCAGCAAGGTTAAAGTAGGCCATCGATCCTCAGCTCGGGATGGGATCCTTGGCATGTGTATTTTTAACAAGCCACTGCGGAGTTTTCATGAGTACAGGTTTATGAGTTGGGTGAGACTCAAGGTCACGTGCACATCAATGTGCAGACTGATTAGTGGCAGTGGAGGCAAAGGTGATGTCCTTGTCTGGGTGTGAAGACAGAAAGGTCATTGAATTGCTGCAATTGTCTAGGAAAGAAGTGATGGGGGCCAGCGCCATGGCTCAATAAGCTAATCTACTCTGCAGTGCCAGCATCCCATATGGGCACTAACTTGTGACCTGGCTGCTCCACGCCCCATCCAGCTCCCTGCTCCTGGCCTGGGAAAGGAGTAGAAGATGGCTCAAGTCACTGGGCCTCTGCACCCATGTGTGAGACTCAGAAGAGGGTCCTGGCTCCTGACTTCAAACTGACTAAGCTCCGATCGCCACAGCCCTGTGACAAGTGAAACGGCAGATGACCTTCTCTCTCTGTCGCTCCTTCTTTCTGTAAGCCTGCTTTTCAAATAAAAATAAACAAATTGTACCATAAAATTTAAAATTAAAAATAAAAAAATTTTTAAAAGACCCTATGGAATTGGATCATAAAAATCAAAATAAAATAAAATAAAAATTAAAAAATAAATCTTTAAAAAAAAAAGTCATGACCTAGCAATAGAGACTGGGGCAGGGATCTCCAATGAAAAAGCCAATCATCAGAGAACCGACTTACCTAGCAATTTGAAGGGTAAAGGAGGGGGAAGACGCAAGGATGGCAAGGTCCAGAGCCTTGACCAGGACACATACAAGGAAATGGCTGACTTCAGTTTTGGTCCTCCTGCTCTGACTAGCTCATATGAATCCAACCTCCCCAGGTGAGGCAGAGACATTCCACACCTCCCAAACAGGAGCTCGCATTGTGACCTGTTCACTACGTCACAGGCTCTGTGCCCTACACTCTGGCTTCATTTGCTCCTTAGCTGGCAGTGGAAAGACACTGTGCCACGGGCTTCACATTCAGAGAGCCACCCAGAGCGAGTGCTACTATTATCATGTTCCACAAGAGCAAGCAACCGCTCCGAGGAAAACACCTCCTTGCTCAAGCACATTTAGTAAAAGGGAGCAGATTTTCAGATCCTTGGCTGTCAGCCTGCGAACACTAGCTCTCGGTCACCCTGCTGCCCGGCAGCTCGGTTACCCAAAGTTCACACCCCAAGAACAGCAAGGGAGGCGCACCCATGAGTCACAGTGGGCCTGGAAGTTTGCAGCAACTGAAAGAGACAAATTCTACTTGAAAACACCACCTACTGGCCAAACTATACAAACTACAATGTCGGATTTCAGGGGATTTTTCAGTTTGTTTGAGTTGGAAAAGAAATTCAAGTCATACTTTTGCTTCTTACGCAAGGAATTCCTCTGTGTACCCTGTGGCAAATGAGGATTACCGTGCTCTGAGAATGTCTTTCAGGAAATGCTTGCACAACGCTGCCAGCCCTTGCTGTCTGCTTGCCCTGATTTTTTCCCCCTTTGGATCCTCTTTGCATAAGACTCAAAGGTGATAGTGAAAGAAGAGCTCTAACACTCTATCTTGACCTAAATTCACGTTCACAAAAACAAAGTTCAGTACAGCCCAAGCCTGGCTGACCCGAGCAGGAAGGCCACACACACTTCCCAAAATTCTACACAGCTCTGCAAAGCCTCCTTTCCGGAAAATCTCTTCAACCCCTTGGTCACATCATATCCTGGTGCCACTTGTTAAGTATGAGCACAGCTTGTGTTCACATCCTCTATATAAGAAAGTAAATCCAGCTCCATGCCTGCCCCACAGTGAGTTCATCCCACGTCTTCCTGCACACTGCCCACATCTACATTTATTCCAAAGAAAACTTTCATCAGACTTTACATTCAGTTTGAAAATAACGTATAACATGCTATGTTGAAGTTTATGAGCCTGACGGGTGACAGTCCAGGTACATCGCTTAAATAATACAAGCACTGTACAGTCTTTATTAGAACTCAGCTTTATTATGGCTTTTTAAAAAATAATTGTTAAAGTGCATTTTTTTTGAAAATCATTAGAGATAACATTTCTGGTAATTAATCAGTCAGTTTTGTATCGCCTTAGATCAGAAAAAGTCAAGTAAATACTAGGGGAAAAGAGTCAATTAGTTCAATTTCGATATGGCCATGTTATTTAAATATAACGTGAAACATCAGTGCTTCCCAAGCTTACACGTTAACTCCATCACATCATGTCCTATTTTAGTAATTTCTATGTGGTCCCAGACAAGATATAAATGGAATTAAACTCCAGTCAACAGCATCACCTGCCTTCACACGAGTAATACAGGGGTACAATGGGACAAGAATGCCCCCAAACCATGAGTGACAGAAAATAATACTGCAGTTCAGGATAAATTACAAGCTGTCATGCTCTGGTTCCAGCAAATGAGGATTGACTCCTTGCACAATCCAACTTTGGCTGATTCATGCTGAGGTCACAGTGACAAAGGGCAAGGTTATAGACACTGACAAAGGGAGCCCTAACAAGATGGCAGGGGTTTCCTTCAGAAACAAACACATCCAGAGGGTGTAGGAGCACAGTTCCATTTCACTCGAAACGTCAGGAAATCCTGTAAGAGCGTCTTCCGCTAGGCCTGCTGAGACCAGAGAAACCGATCGCATTTCTCAAGCATGCTTTGTATCAAGGCTCTGCAATCCCAAAGAAAGAAAACAAAACAAATTCAGGTGACTGCTCATTCTTCACAGAAACCTTAAAATCTACAAAGAATCACAGGAGTCAAAAGTTTGTGGAGCAAAAATCACAAGCACAATCAGTGATGAGGCAACAACCAGGAAACATCTCTCATTACCTTACAAGGGGATATGAAAAAGCTCCTACAGCAAAAATTATCATCATCAAATCGTTTTGACTTTCAAGTGGACAGAAGGATCTGGGCTGGTGGTGTATGAGGGTAAGTCACCTCCTGGGATGGCCCTAGCCGCCACGGAGCACTCGCTTCATTCAGCTTCCTGCTACCACATCCTGGGAGGCAGCAGAAGACAGATGAACGGCTTGAGTCCCTGGGACCCATGTAGGAAACCCACATGGAGCTCCTGGCTTCTGGCTTCATTCTGGCCCAAATCTGGTATCTGGGGTGTCAGAAAGCAGATGGAAGATCTCTCTTGTCACTCACTGTCTTTCAAGTAGATGAAAATAAACATTTTTTAAAGTGGACAGAGGACCTGAACAGGTATTTGTCCAAAGATGATATTCAAATGGTCAGCCAGTGTTTGAAAAGATGCTCAGCACCGCTCATTGGTACAAAATGCAAATAAAACCACGGTGTGATTGCTTCACATCCACTAGGCAGCCACTGTCTAAAAAAAAATGCTGGTGAGGATGTAGAGAAATTAGTAGATATGTAAGAAGATGCAGTCTCTACGAGAACATTATGATGGCTCCTCGAAAAATTAAAAATAGGGTTACCACAGGATCCAGCCAGTATTCCCCTTTGTGAGTATACACCCAAAAGAATTGAAATACAGGGTCTCAAAAGGTTATTTGTACACCTATGTTCATAGCAGCATTACACACAAAAGGCAAGAAGTGGGACCGGTCCAAAACAAAGTGTGATATATTCATACTAACAGCACTCGGACTCAAAAAGGAAGGCAATTCCGACACCAGCAGCAACATGGGTGACCCTCGAGGACCTCACACTAAGTAAAATAAGCCAGTCTCCAAAAGACAAACACTGTACGAGTCCTGTTAAATGAGGAATGTAGAACAGTCCAATTCCAGAAACAGAAATACAGTGGTGGTTGCCAAGGGCTGGGGAAGGAGGCGGAAGAGTAGTTGTTTAGTGAGCATGGATTCCAGTACAAGAGTCCTGCAGACTGGCTGCCCAACAGTGTGATGTGCTTAACAGCATTGAACGGAATTTAAAATGGTTAAAATGGCAAAGTGTATTTAATGTGCATTTTGTCACGATAAAAAATAAGTATCAAATAACAATTAAGTATCTAGCACCAATAACAGCGCCTTGGTTGTGACACTGACTGAATGATTACTCTAGCTTCTTCCTTCATTGCCTTAATCACCAGATGAGCTTTTGCCTCCTCATCTGTTATTGAGGGGTGGGGACTGGACAATGTCTACACTCTATCAACCTCTCCCAGTGGGTGAAACTCTACATTCTTAAGTAGCAAGGAGAGAGCAGAGCTGACTGCTCTTACCTCTGTCTTTTCTCAGCAATCCTCAGAATATCACAAGTCCTGGTAAACTTTTCCGACAACTCAAGGGCCAGCCCGCATTCCTGCAGCAGCGCCCAGGCCCGATCTGGGCCCACAGCCTTGGCTAACAGGAGTGCCACATTCTCCACAGTGATGGGGGAAGGCCCGTCGCTGAGACTCCCATGGAGTGACTCCTCGGGGGCTGGCCTCGTGCCCTTGTTCTGTATGAGGTGGAGAAGCAGCTTCCACTCCTCCACAGTCTCCGGGATCCAACCTGCATGTGTACATAGAAACAGCATTGCCATGGCAGCTCTGTGCACTGCCTGCACACAGGAGAGGCTCCGGCCATCCGCCATGAAAGCATACAAATATCCAATAAGCAACCTCCTCACCCTCATACAAAAGGTATATACTAGACACTGATGGGACAAATGGCTCATGAAAATCAGGGAGAAGCCATGAAATCAGCTTCAGAATCCTTTCACACAGTAATTACTGCAAACCATGCCAGGAACTGGCTAAGCTCTGATGAACCAAACAGGCTACCTCCCTGCACTGTGGCAGAGCTTATAGTCCGGTTAAGGTGACAAAACTCAAATAAACATGCATTCTACAAACCGCACTGAGAATTATGATGGAATAGAACAAGCAACCATTAGAGAGAATAGCGGGTTTTGTTTAGAGGCAGCAAGAAGGCTTTCATGAGGAAGTGACATTTAAGCAGAGCTAAAAGATGAGCTGTGCATGTGGGCAATATGATACACACACGGATCAGGGGCTCTGGGGAAGGAAGGGTGGAAGCTTGTCTTTCTGAAAAAAAGAAACGTGGAAGATCTGGGGACACAAGAAAGAACTTGGGAAGCTAAAGGAAATCTTAAAGAGCCTAAGGTGCAGGCTGGCACTGTGGTGTAGTAGGTTCGGCCTGCAGCACCAGCATTCATGTGTCCCAGCTACTCCACGTCCAATGTAGCTTCCTGCTAATGTGCCTGCACCCACATGGGAGACCCTGATGAAACTCCTGGCTTCACATTTGCCCAGCTCTAGACATCTAGAGTGTGAACCAGAGGATGGAAGATCTCTCTGTTCCTCTCTTTTTCTCTACAACTCTGCCTTTCAAATAAAAATAAGGAACTGTAAGGAGAGGAGAGGAGAGGAGATGAGAGGAGGAGAGAGGAGAGGAGAGGAGAGGAGAGGAGAGGAGAGGAGAGGAGAGGAGAGGAGAGGAGAGGAGAGGAGAGGAGAGGAGAGGAGAGGAGAGGAGAGGAGAGGAGAGGAGAGGAGAGGAGAGGAGAGGAGAGAAAAAAAAAAAAAAGAAAAAGGTATAAGGCACAAAAAGATGGTAATGCAGTGAGGATGGGTTCAGTGGACCTAGCTTGAAGACTGGATTTTATTCTAGGTTCAAGGCAAGCAGCTTTAAGAAACATATTTTGGATTTGGCAATGAAACCAACATGCCTTGAACAACAGTTGATATGTATCAGGAGGAAAAGTATCAAGAAAGGCTCCTATTTAATAGACCAGATGCTTATTACTAATAGTATTACATGAACAAAAAAAGTTTGGGAGCACTTTTATCTGGGAAGGAAGCATTTTAGGTGATATTTTCATAACGCTTCCAATTTTTCAATATTTTTCAATAACAAATATGACGCATTGTAACTTTCAAAAAACAATCATTTATCCTTAACTTTTCTTGTTCTATTTTTTAAAAGTATATGTATAGGAGGACCCAGTACGATGCACTAGTGGCTGGATCCTCAGGTTGCATGCACCAGAATCCCATATGGATGACGGCTAGTGTCCTGGCTGCTCCACTTCCCATCCAGCTCCCTGCTTGTGGCCTGGGAAAGCAGTCAACAATGGCCCAAAGCCTTGGGACCCTGCACCAGTGTGGGAGACCTACAGGAGGCTTCTGGTTCTTGGCTTCAGATTGGCTTAGCTCTGGCCATTACAGCCACTTAGGGAGTGAAACCAGTGGATGGAGGATCTTTCTGTCTCTCCTTCTCTCTGCCTTTCCAATAAAAATAAACAAATCTTTAAAAAATATATATATAGGAGCTATATAAATATATATATATATACGTAAATATATATATATATATAAACCTACCTCCTGGCCTGCTGGCTTCATTTGTGAAACCAGGCAGATCTGAGCTGTGCCACCAAAGGCTTTCCCTCCTCCGTTAACCGGCTTTCTTGCTTCCGTCCTGACTCTCCCTTTCCCACGCCCACAAGCTGGAAAGGGCTGGCGAGGGACTGTGGTCCGGCTTCTCCAGCAGCATCCCAAACACCCCAGCACTACCTGTCTGACTGCAGGATGGTCTCTCCCACCTCAGATGGAGTATGGCAAAGCCTGGCTTTCAGACCTAGACAGGCTGGCACTTGGCATAGTGATTAAGCCCCCACTTGAGATGCCTGCATCCCATAGCAGAGTACCCAGGAGCAGGGCCTGTTTCATCTCACTAGCTTTAATCTTTTATTACACAAAAAGCAAACTGATGCAGTAAAAAACACAGGAAAAGCAGTTTTAGGTTGGATTACAGTACTAGCTCTAGCATTTACTAGCTATGTGGCCTTGGGCCAACTAATTGTTCTTTCTGGGTCTCAGGTTTTTTTTTTTTAAAGATTTATTTATTTATACTGCAAAGTCAGATATATATTTAGAGAATAGGAGAGACAGGGAGGAGGATCTTCTGTCCAACGATTCACACTCCAAGTGACTGCAACAGCCGGAGCTGTGCTGATCCAAAGTCAGGAACCCAGAGCTCTTCTGGGTCTCCTATGTGGGTGAAGAGTCCCAAGGCTTTGGGCCATCCTCGACTGTCCTCCCAGGCCACAAACAGGGAGCTGGATGGGAAGCGGGGCCACTGAGATTAGAACCAGTACCCATATGGGATTCCAGCACATTCAAGGCGAGGACTTTAAGCCTTTAGGCTAATGTGCTGGGCCCTGGGCCTCAGTCTTAAATGCTGGAAAGGGGCAATAACAGTAACTATCCCAAGAGTCTTATCTCATTTAAAATAGAAAAACTATCTGTAGTTTATCAATTGTGATTTCATAACATACCAAATAGTAGATAAAAAAAAACTGAAAATCTGCCAAGCGGTTAGAATGAAACACATGACCACTGAACTGTTCACTACATTTCTTTACCGAAAAGTCTGGAATGATACTTTAGCCAAGAGTAAGCAGATGGGATTGACATACCATTGTCCCCTTCCATCAGGCTCATATCATTCAGATGCACGATGTTGATGAAGGCCTCCCGTCTTCTCTCCAGCTCCAAACAGAGAGTAAGATAGCCAGGCCAGAAACTTGGAAGAAATCAAAATCAAAGAAAGGACTCAAAGGCAATGAATGTGCCTGGAGCTGCACTGTCTGAAACAGTAGGCAGCAGGCACACCTGGCTTTTCATGCTGAAATTAATTAAAAGTAAATAAAATGTAAATGCCAGTTTTTCGGTTGATGCATCACATTTTAAGGACTCAGAGGCCACATGTGGCTAGTGGCTACCAAATTTGACAATGTACAACATTTCCATCACCATTGAATGTTCTATTAGATAACTGTGATCTAGAGTATTTAAGCAGAAAAAAAAGCTAACAATAAACACTGACATTTGCAACCAAGTGCCCAGCCTGATGCACTTTTAAGCTTTAAATACTTTGTAAACTTTAAGACTCAATACCAAAGTAGCATATTTCTTCTCCAAATACACAAAGTATAGAAGTTCTCTTGGATGCTTCCTTGCCTTCATTGTCTACATCCAGTACCAACAAATCCTGCTGTATTTTCCTGTGACCTTTCTCTTGCATGTGCTTCTTTGACTGTGCTACTGGCCATCAAAGCGCTCACACATGAAATACTTACTGCAACAGATTCCTAGCTGGTCTTTCTCCAGTCTGGTATATCTAATAATAGCCATGAACTCAAGAAAGTTCTACTTTCATTTTATAATTACTACACCAAAAAGTCCAGAAGGGTCTCTACTGATAACTAAATTCTTCTGACCAGGTGCCAAGACCCTGCAGGATCCCATTACCCATACTTGACCAGTCTTCACTGCACCAGTGAACAAGACTGTGTCTAGTGCTTACCACTGTACCAATTAGACACTAAGAGAAAAAACAACAGACACAGGATTATAATCCAGGTAGAGCTGTAAAATACTGCCAAGCAGTAAATAACCGACACAAATGCAAAGTGGATAATAAGCCATGTCAGTTTTCAGGTCCTTCCTCTTTTATCTGACACCCCTGCCTTCTGGTTCCTTTACACAAATCCTCCCCGTCTCTCGGGGCTACCTCACAATCTCACTTCCTCCCTGCTTCCTTCCCCAGAAGTTCTACTGAGTCCATGCTAGTCAATCGCCTCAAAAATCCTGTATCAGCTGTAACTGGTGCTTAATTAAGCACCATCAACATGTCTGAGAACTGGGGCAGGTTACTAAGCAAATAGTTGCAAAGAATTAGCAAGGGCCAATCTCTGCTATTAAAAATATATGCAAAATTTAGCAGGAAACAGATGTTCACTATTAGTTACAATAAAAAGCTATATTTACTTTTGTGCAGCAAGGAGAATTTCAGAATGATAAAGCACATCAATTCAGGCACTTAACTCTGAACCCTTAACTGAAATGACTATTTCAGCTTTAGCCTCTAAAAAAGTTCTTACTTACCCACAAGTCCTACAAATGTCAGTCATTTTCTCTTTGGTTGCAAAATCTGCAGGAAGTTTAATTAGAAGAAGTATTAGCTGACTGTAACCCCAGGAAAACAAGTGTGAATGAGGCCTGTGAAATGAAAAACACAGCTGTGAAGTTTAGCTCCAGAAAGTGCTTACTAGGCATCAAATAGAAGAGACTATAACCCACTGTTACATTTTTTACATTTTTTTAATATAACCTGCTCATCTTTAAAAGTCAGATGTTTTAGACAATTGAAAGCAAAAGAGGAGATAAGCCTAAAAATCGCATTGCTCACAGCCAGCCACGGCATATCCTTCCAGGCCGCATGTCTAGGTGTGTGGGGGCTTTTCCAAAGATGCTCTGGGAGGGAAACAGGCTCATTCCTGATTCAAGTGTCAGGATGCCTTTTTAATGAACTCTTTAAAAGTTGAATGTAGAAATCCCTGGACAAATCATTAGGAACACAAACACATACATCCACCTGCACACACTTCTCTCCTCGTGAGCTCATGAAAGAGTTCAAGGGTCAATTTAATGTCTCTTGAGTCATGCATTAATATGCATTTTTAAAAAGGAATCATCAGATTCCTGTAACACAAATATTCAGAATCACTAAGAAATTCACTCAGTATATCGTCACCACAATTTGGGTTAGTCTCTTCCATAGTTATTCCAAAACTAAGCCCAGAATATGATATGTGAATAAACTAGATCCATTCCAAAGGAACTAGAGCTTAGTCCTTTGCAAGATGTTTTTTTTTTCCATACCTGGGATAGCCTTCATCATCCATGGTGCTTGTGCTTGGTGGAGCATTATGGGATAGAGCCAAAAGCAGCCAATCCAGTCTTAAAGACTCTGGTTGTAGAAGGGACTCAAGGAAGAATGACCTAAGAGAAAGTTGGGGAGAAAGATCAACAATCTTCATTCTGAGAAAGGAAACATAAACGTGGAGTGTGGGGACAAAGGTTGGATCTAACAGTTAAGACCCTGGGCAAGATGCTCATATTTTATATTTGAGCATCTGGATTTGAGGCCTAGCACCAATCTCAATTCCAGTTTCTACTAATGTACATGCTAGGAGCCAGCAGGCAACAGCTCAAGTCCGCTGAAGCCACTGTGGGAGATCTGGATTGAGGTTTTGGCTTCAACCTGGCTCAAACCCAGCCTTTGTGGAGATGTCAACCAGTGGATAGGAGCGCTTTCTACCTGCTTTGCTGTCTCTCTGTTTTTCAAAAAAAGGAATACATTTAAATCAGTAAGTTTTAAGTGTGAGAAGGGTGAGTACAGTTTAATTAAGAGATCAATAGAGCAGATGCAATAACTTAAAAACTCTTTCGCTACAAATGCATAGAGATGCTGGTGAAATAAGTCTTCTATATGAATGCCTGAGCTTTAAGATAAGGAAATGCCACAGGATCACAAAAAAACAATTAAAAACAGAGAGACAAAAACCCACATAGCAAATGTGATCTTATCAGAGGAAGCAGGAGAGGGGGAAGTCAGCAGTCTATTAACAAAGGGGCACAGGTGTTCCAGGGACATGTGGAGATAGGAAATGAAGCAGTAGTCAAAAGGAAAAGAGCTGGAACTAAGAGTGAGCCACAAAAAGTTCAGACCTTGTTCATTAAAGGGTGGCAGTAAATCCAGTCACCAATGGAGACAATAAAAAGCTTATACTGGTCATAGCCTAGACCCTAAATGAAGGGCTTAAATTTCTTTTAAAGACTTGTTTTTATTTGAAAGGCAGATTTTACAGAGAGAGGAGAGAAAGAAAGAGGGGACTTTTATCTACTGCTTTACTCCCTAAATGGCCACAATGAGCTGATTTGAAACCAGAAGCTTCTTCCATGTCTCCCACATACGTGCAGAAGCTCAAGGACTTGAGCCATCCTCCGTTGCTGTCCTAGGTTATAAGAGGGAGCTCAACTGGAAGTGGAGCAGCCGGGACACGAATCAGCATCCATATGGGATGCTAGCACCACAAGTGAAGAACTGGCCTGATGTGTCACAGCACAAACCCCAAGGGGCTTAATGTTACACTGATGACCTAAGAGTTCCTGAGAGGAAGGGAAAAGAAGTGTGAGAGGTGTATATTTGTATGTGAGCTATGAAGTGTGGCAGGACGGTGCTAGACTGCTGGACCTCATTTTTCATAGCATGTGCCTCAACCCTACAGTTATCAACAGTAAAAATGTGACACCTTATCAAAGAGAAGCAATGCCCTGTCAAAAGAAAGAGATGTCGGCAAACACAGCCTTCTCACCGCTGATCCTCAGGCCGTGATTTCACCAGGCTGTCTAGATAGGCCAAAAACTGAGTTGGACTGTGGTGACACAGCTGCATGATATCCGAAGGCAAGATGGATGGGTAAAACCTGATCAATGATCGAAGAGCAGATTCCCCAAACTTCTCATACAACCTGTATTTAAAAGCAATAAGACTCGTTTGTCTCCAGCAATGAGATCTATAACTTCATAGAAATATTAATAAATATACTAACAAGAAGCTGCCTGATATGCCAATGAGTGAAACTTCAGAGACTAAGGTACAAAACCAACACATGTGCTTGTGCTTATAGAACCAACATTTAGAACAACCTACCGGGAAGCATAGGCCACCAACAGAGGACTATCACAAGGAACTGAGTCATCTAATAACTTCAGTCTTGTTGGGAGATCTCCTTCTTCCATCCCTACATATGTCGGATTGGAACTTGCCATTTCTGAAAGGTAAAGCACATCCTTTTTATCTCTTACTTGCAAATATTCAACCCATGAACACAATCATTTGGCAGTCATTAGTCACAGACGTACTGTGTGCACCCAATATGGGCAATCCAACATTTCTTAAGTGTTATAGGAGAAATCATAAAAAAGACCATTAATAAAAAAACAACATACAATTTCTACCTTTAATGACCTTAAAAGATTGATAGGCAAAAACATTAAACTGTTTAATAAAATAAAGGAACAGATAACAAATACAAAGTGACCATTGTATTACCCTTGGAAAAAATCACTATTGGGCTACACACACACACACACACACACACACACACACACACACACACACACACACAATCATAAGCTGTACTTACCATCTTTGTCAAACTATGCAGATTTTTCCTAGATCTAATACCACTATTACATCTTTTAGAATCTAATCAATTAAATTTGATACAATTAATTTTATTAAAAACATCAGTTTAGCAAATATTCATTCCCTGAAGAATGACCTGATTTGGGGAAAAGTCAAAAGCTTTTTAACACTAAGGCTGCCAAATAAAAGTAAGCAAGGGATCCAGTTAATACAATTTATGGTTAAAAAAAAAATAAAAAAATAATCTGAAGTTAAAAGTTTTTTGTTTTCGTCCAAGTAGCTTTTAATTAGCTCTGAAAATAAATCCCAAAGAATAATTACAAAAGCTGTCTTCCATAATTACAACAATGGGATCTGTTCTCTAAAAGGTTCTGAAAAGCTAACCATGGCTTTGTGATACATTTGTTTTTAAAAACATTGCTGGCATATATGTGTGGCACAGTGGGTTAAGTTACCGTATAGAACATTAGCAGCCATATGGAGGCTTTTGCTTTGGGTCCTGCTGATGTGCATCCTGGGAGGCAACAGCCGATGCCTGAAGGGGCTGCAGCCCTTAACTCACATCGGAAAACCACACAGAGCTCCTAGCTTGGCCCAGGTCAGGCCCAGCTGTAGCAGATACTTGGGGGATGAACAATGGATTAAGGATCTCATTCTTTGTTATTACAAATAAAGTTCCTTAAAGTCACTTTTTGGTTCCAGTCTCATTGTTTCCCATTTGATTATTTCAGGCAATAAGTACCTAAGAAATTCAGAGGAGACCATCATTTAGAGCAGGAGGGGTAGAGGGAAGTTTTATGACTGGGTTAGCTCTAAGCTAGATTATCCACCTAGATTCAAGCAAGTGGCTACATCACCTCAAAATGCCCACCACACCTGCTCTCAGTAGCACAGGTAACAAGTAACAACCACACCTTAGGCTGATGGAGACTATTCTGCTATTCTCCTGTGATCAGGGTTGGGTGTGATCATAAAGACACATTTACAGTACGTAATAATGTCACACATTCGCACATATTTGAAAATAAATAATTTGTTTGCTATTTCACATTCAAATAAATTATCACAACTCAGACACCAAAAATCATTTCTTAGGTTTTTAACTGCTGCATGTAAATTGAAGAACTGAAACTACATATAACATGAAAATGTTTCTCCATCTGTGGTTATTTGCTTTTAGCATTGAATAAAATGCTTGCATCAGTCTGAATCAATGATTGGAAACATAGCATCTGTTACTTAAACAAATGTTGGAGTAAGAAAATCTAGATTATGTTGCTGCTCAAAATGCTAGCATTCCATATCAGAGTGTTGGTTGAGTCCCAGCTGCTCCACTTCCAACCAACCTTCCAGTTAAAGCATCTGTGAAGACAGAAGATGCTGGCCTGAGTGCTTGAGCCCCATCCACCCATGCAGGAGATCTAAATGGAATTCTTGGCTCTTGGCTTCAGTCTGGCCCAGTCTTGGCAGTTGAGGTAGATCTTTTGGGGAGTAAATCAGCAGATGGAAGATGGATGGATGGGTGTGTGTGTGTGTGTGTGTGTGTGCGCGCGCGCCTCCCCCTCTCTCTCACTCTGATGCTCTACCTTTCAAATAAGTAATTAAAAAGAAAAAGAAAGTCTGCCTCTTCAGAAACATAGGATGAGAGCAGTAGTAGAGAGGGTAGTTTCTGTGACCTTCACTCAAGTCCAAAGCAGACCCAGATGGCTGTGCACCAAAGTCTCTGGGGCAAATATCAAACTTTTCATATTCATTCTCGTCCTCCTGGCCATCCATAGATCACAATTCCCAGGCCCCTTTGCAGTTACGGGTACTGTGATAAAATTTTTACCATTGGAATGTAAAGGAAGGCAAGAAAGCTGCTACCAGGCAGACCTCTAAGACACATGTCCACATGCTTTCCACTGGACACAGTTACTCAGCCTCAACCACAGCCCACAGGGAGGACAGAGCTTAAAATAATGACAAGAACTTGGAATTCTGAACTGTCTACCATATGAGAGAGAGCTGCCACTGATTTGCAACACCCGTTCTGGGGTATTATGAGTGAGAAGTAAACCTCTACCTGAGTTACTGCCACAGGAGGTATTCATTACAGCAATTAAGATTATTCAACTATTGTTACTTTGCAGTGCTTCAGTCTCCCCATCTATAAAATGGGATAGACAATTACAAGGACAGAATGAGACGATGCCTGGAAAGCATTTAACTGGCACACAATGAAGTACTCAGGGCTGGAAAATAGTAATCATTAGTCTGCACATCTAGAGACACTTCTAGAACCAAATCACTAGATACCGAAAAATTAACCATTATTTATTTTCTTTTGATCTTTTAATTTATTTGTATTGGAAAGGCAGATTTACAGAGAGAAGATATGGGAAGATTTTCCGTCTGCTGGTTCACTTTAAGCGGTTACAATGGCTGCAGCTGAGCCAATCCAAAGCCAAGAGCCAGGATGCTCTTCCAGGTCTCCCACACATGTGCAGGGTCCCAAGGCTTTGGGCTGTCCTTCACCACTTTCCCAGGCCACAAGCAGGGAGCTGGAAGGGAAGTGGAGCAGCCAGGACATGAACTGGTGCCCATATAGGATCCTGGCACTTGCAAGTAGAGGACTTAGCAACCAGGCCATCATGCCAAGCCCTATATTTCTATCTCAGTAAGATAAGTTCTCATTTATCTACACTTATAAAGCATTCTATTTTTAATCCCTACTACTCCAACACTGTTATATCATTTTCTGAATGTGACTGTGAGAAAAAAATTTTTTTAATTCGTTTATAATAGCTTGCAAATTAAACTAACGTTTAAAAAAATATTTATGGGCCTAGTACAATAGCCTAACAGCTAAAGTCTTTACCTTGTATGCACCGGGATCCCATATGGGTGCCAGTTCTAATCCCGGAAGCCCCACTTCTCATCCAGCTCCCTGCTTGTAGCCTGGAAAAACAGTGGAGGACAACCCAAAGCCTTGGGACCCTGCACCTGTGTGGAAGACCCGGAGGAAGTTCCTGGCTCCTGGCTTTGGATTGGATCAACTCCGGCCTTTGCAGTCACTTGAGGAGTGAACCATTGGGCGGAAGATCCTCCTCTCTGTCTCCCCTCCTCTCTGTATATTTGCCTTTCCAACAAAAATAAGTAAATCTAATATATACATATATATATATTTACAATTAAAAAAATGAATAGAAAACAAAACAAAGAGTTAACCAAAACGGGTAATTTTCTGTTAAGTATCTTCTGTACTGAATTCTATCCTTAATAACGGCATTCTGATCATTACCTTTCAGTCCTGTAATAAAAGTATCCCAAACACAAGGGGTGCTGGCATAACTAAGCTTGATGCTCTCCTTTGCTCTTTTCAAGTCCAAGAGAAAAAAATACTTCTTCAGGAAGTGACAAGCCAGAGAATGTTCAGGAGAGCACTGCCACAGGTTATGATCCTCAGGCCCACCTGGGCTTCGGAGCTTGGAATTCAGTACATTCAGTTCCAAACACAATGTTGTCAACTCAGCCAGGTCTTTCTGAAGAGTGTGGGGTATGGAGCAGGGAGTGTGCACTTGGAACAAGCCATCCTGTGGCTCCTGCAGATGATGCACAGGCTCACATTCCACCTGAGCAGCCGTTTCTTCATGACCTAAAGAGTCCCCTTGTTCTTCTGCATTATCTTCGTCCAGCACTCCCTTTTCTGACTCAGTAGGCAGTGGCACATCCTGGTTCAATGTCATGGATGAGTTGCCAGCATCTGCAACACCCGAGAAGTCCTTCGTGGCAAATGTGTTTTCTAACTTTGAAAGCCACTCCTGTAAAACCACTCCCAGAGATCTGGGCTCAAACAAAACCAGGGGGTCCTGTAGCTGGGTCCTATATAAAATAGACAAGTATGAAGCGTATGTTTAATATTAAACATAAATCTAACCAACGTGGTATACTCATCTGGAATGTTACCTTTCAACCCTTAAAATAACATTAACAGTGCATTATTTTACTAATTCTTGGGACCATTACTGCTGATCTCAGACAGTCTTCTCCCCATTCATTATGAAATTTGCTCATTCGGACTCACATGGCTGCTGCTGTGGCTGCTTTAAGCTCGTGGAACATGTCTTCTTCAGGAGGCTGACTAGGTATCTCTTTTTCTTTCCTAGAAGAGGGTGAGAAGTAAGAGCAAAATTCACAAGAGTTACAGGGGATCAAGACAAAGATTTCTAAGCACCTGCTAAATTGTACTAGGATTGTATTAAACTGCCAGATACAGACAGAGGAGGCTGCAAAGCAGTCCATGGGCCCATGGTGAGAAAGCTTAAGTCAGAGCAAGCTCTGATTAGGAAGAAAGGCAAGCAAACAACAAAGTGTAACACAAAACACAGAACGCTGACTAATGAAATGAAAGGGCAGCACCTCCCAAGCGTACCGTACAGCAGGAGAGAAGGAGTGATTACTTTTTCCTTCTTCTTTTTTTTTTAGGTTTATTTGTTTATTGATGTTACAAAAGCAAGAGAGTTGCAGAACCATGTTGACCGCAAAATAGGATGGAGATGGATGGGGGTGGGAGGGAGGTGGGTGAGGGAAAAGCCCCTGCCAGGAGTAATTACTCCAACTAGGCAATCAAGAGAAGATTTCTGTGGAGCTGGTATTTACAGCACCAAAAAGAAGAAGAAGAAAAAAAAAACAGAAAGAAAAGGCAGAATGCTCCAGGTGGAAAATATGATTCAGCAGGAAGAAAGGCAGTGAGATGTCAAAAGACACACCTCCTCTCTGCCAGGACTGGAGTTCAGTGTGTTTAGAAAGATAAGGTTAGAAACGTGGGTTAGGGTCAGACTGGTGAAGGCTGCCATAAGTACCATGCCAGAAAACCTGTGCTTTTCTGTATGAACATTTGGCTTCACTAACTTGTCCTGAGAATAACACACCCTTTATTTTATCTGACTGCCGAGACACTTGGTGCCTGAGTGTGGGTCTCTCCCAACACCTGGGCAACTGCTGGCTGAGGGTTGGCTCTACTGCTCAGAACCCCTGAACCAAGACAAGGCAGAGCACAAATGAACAACATCCTTCACACTCCATTAGACCAAGGGCCCTGCTTAAACTGTGCTGCACAAGGACCAGACCACCAGCATGTCTTGGAAAGGTACATGACAAGGCACCAGCACTAACAGTTTGACTGCTTTCCTCATTGCCTAAAGAGCTCCCTTTCTTGCTCAGTATCTTCACCCATTCCAATTTTCCTTTTTAAATCCATCAAGCAGCAGTATATTCTTTTTTTGTCTTTTTTTTTTTTTTGTCTTTTTTATGCTTTTCTTATGTCATTGCTACTGGCCTATCACCTAGCGCCAAGTGGACCCATGGGGAGAAGTGATTGGTGGAGAACGATATAAAAGTAGCCGTTGTAAAAGCTGGGACGGACAGACAACGATGAGGAGGAGAAAGACGGAGAGACTAGGATGGAGAAAGACGGGATGGGGAGGAGAAGGACGGGCGGGAAGAAGGGTGGCGGAGAGAGGGCTGGAAAAACGGTACAGAAGTAGTAAGACCTAAGTTCAGGGACAAAAACGGAAAAATGCAGCAGAAAACGGGGACAAGAATGAAGAAGGGTTGCAGAGAGAGGGCTGGAAACGCGGCAGAGGAAAGCTAAGGCCAATGGAGAAAGGGGCAGCAGAGAAAAGGGTTTAAACACAGCTGCTTTTGGCAGTGAAGGGTCCGGTTGTGGTTCTGGCTTTTCCCAGACCCTCCAGAGTGTGCCTCAGCATTTTAGTGTCACTGCTGGGCGGCGGCAAACTGTAATCTTGTAGTAAAGAGGCTGTGCATGGGAACGATGGAGAAAGGAACCAAACTTGTCCTAAGGTGCTCTTTGTCTTAATAGATTTGTTACGGACTGATACACTGTTTTTCAAGACTGTGAGATCCACGGCTTTTTTCCGAGTTGCACAAACAAGCTTCAGTGAGTGGGGTCATGCATGTCCCTTCACTAGATCACCATCTGTGGCTTTCTTCCAACTGACAGCTGACTCCTCTAGACCTCACCCAGGATTAACACAAGAGCTTACTCAGTGTCTTCTTCCTTTGGACAGGAAACAGAACTCACATCCTCTTCACATGACTGCTCCTCAGCCCTGGGTTCAGGTCTCACTTTCAGGTCAGGGCTGGTGTGAAGGGTACCAATCTTCTCAGTAGTTTTACGCACAAACGTAGAAACGCTGCAAAGCAAATACCAAAACGCTCACACGAAAAAAATCTCATTACTGTCAGGAATGAAAAAATTAGTACTTGCTATTTTTCTGTTCCTATCAGTCCTAAGAAGGCAGCTTAATAAAGCACAACTGAATAAAAGGAAACATTCTATTTACAGCAGCTTCTCCAATTAATCACATACTTCACATAAGGCCCAAGTGAAATATAATGAGTCCCTTCATTTACTAAATTGCCCCGAGAAATCAATGATTCAAAGCTGAAGAAAATTCCTTCCACTTTAGTTATGTCTATAATATTTCTGTCGACACATGTGATCATCAGCCCCATGCTGAGCAGAGAATAACAAAGAATTTCTTCATCACATTCAGCACCCAGTGGTCACAATACACACTGCTTAACAGCAAAGCTTCTGCAATAAAACTCAGATAAGCAGTTTATAAGCCATGCAAAGTCCTCTCTCTCAAACTCAAATGCCAGTCTTGAAGAGGAGAATGAAAATAATACTGAAAACTCTTCAATTCTGAGCCCAGAGACAGAGAGACCAAGAAACAATGAAATAAACAGGTTATTCCCAACATGGATGAAGAAAAAACAGATTTAAAATGTTTGGTTCTGTTCGGAGGGAGAGAACATTTACATCTGTTAAAGCCTCAGCCGCACAAAGGAAGCTGAATGGCTCCAGGTGGAAACGAGAAGGTCACAGTTCTCAGGCTCTCTGAGAAACAGTGAACTGTTCAGAGGGGACAAGAGAAATAACTTCAAAACTTTCCTTTTCTCATTTACAGTATCTCAATTCTCAGCAAAGAAAATCCTAAGGTGACAACATAAATAAAATAAATAAAATTAAAAATGAAATTAAGTGAAAGGCTAATTGATTTACCTTTCTTTGACAGCCTGAAGAGACACAAGAGGAGATGGAGAACGAAATGATAATGGAATGCCGAAGGGGAGAAAAGTTTCATTCTTATCTGTATCAAACATCACTGGAACATGAAAAACATTGTCTAATGAATGGAATTGGGGGAAGAGAAACAAAAACTAATCACATGGACAGTTTTTAACCATTAAAGGAATTCTGAAATGAACAAACTAAAGGAAATGAAGAGTTCAGTACCAAAAATCACAACTAACTCAAACAAATGGGCAGAACACAGGTTTACACGATGCACAGGATGGCTGATTCACATAACACAGTCAGGGAGCTCTCTTCCTTGGCCTACTCACCCTAGATCCCTGTAAGTCAAAAAAGAAGTTGACACACTCTACCAATGTCTTCTTAACAATTCAGTCACAGGAATACTCAAATGGAAAAGAGAAGTCATTGGCCCCCAAAACTGTAGTAATTTCTCATTTCTGATTTGGCTAGTCAAGATAAAATCTGTTCTATCTTAAACTTTCCAGCATTTTGATGTATGATCAAAATTCGACATTTTCTCAATGTTAGTTCCAATATGGGGGGGCAGGGAGCGGAAGGGAAACCCATTCTTCCAGTGGTGAGCAGATTTATAGATTTGGATGGAAACTGCATCAGAATGTGAAAAGGGATCAACAACTTGCTTAAATCTTACGTGCAAGTCAACCCTGGGAACGAAAACTCACAGAGAATAACTTTCACGTCAGCCACCCCCACAGTCATCACCTTCGTGTCCCTGTGAGCCACTGTACAGGTCTGGCCGCTCCTCCTCCTGAGGTGAGGTGAATTCTTTAAGTCTCTCATCTTCTGACAGGGTTTGGCTGTGAAGGGAGCAGGAGTCTTCATCTGACTGACTGCCTCTTCTACTGCTAATGACACGATAAATACCAGAGTCCAATATGCTGAAACTTTCCTAAAAATGAATTTAAAAACTTCAGGTAAAACTTTCCTTTGTAATACAGTACACCTTTTTTAGAGAAAAATGCTAAAGTAGTAAATCAAGGGCAACACACAAGCCTCATGAGAACAAACTGATGAGCAGCGCTTTGATGCTTGACAGCTGGGTGACTTGGTGCTCCCAGCAGATGCTGTCATGTTGATCCAGCTTGTTTTCATAACATGCAGTGGTGGTGATGGGGATTAAATGAGATAACCCTGAGTTGTGAGAAGCATCTAAAATCAAGTGCTAGGACTAACATAACTTATGCTGGAGGTTGTACAAACTACAAAGACAAAATCTGATGTATCGCTAAGACACAACATGAACAAAGCTTTCATATAGCAATCTAATCCTGGTCCCCCAAAAATGGACCAGATAAAATGGAAGACATATTTTGGGGTCCTAGTGATAAATGAATACAACCTGAAGTGGAAAAATACTACTCTATAACACAACACTTTTAGAAGCGAAAAAATCAGGGCAGGCATTTGGCACAGGAGTTAAGATGGTGCTTCAGAGCCCAGTGTAATAGCCTAGCAGCTAAAGTCCTCACCTTGCACACACCATGATCCCATATGGGTGCCAGTTCTCATCCTGGCAGCCCTGCTTCTCATCCAGCTCCCTGCTTATGGTCTGGGAAAGCAGTGGAGGACAACTTAAAGCCTTGGGACTCTGCACCCATGTGGGAGACCCAGAAGAAGCTCCTGGCTCCTGGCTCCTGGCTTTGGATTGGCTCAGCTCTGGTAGTTGCAGCCATTTGGGAAGTGAACCATCATTGGATGGAAGATCTTCCTCTCTGTCTCTCCTCATCTTAGTATATCTGACTTTCCAATAAAAACAAATAAGTCTTTAAAAAAATGCTGCTTCAAACACCTGCATCCCACGTAAAAGTGCCTGGGCCCACGCCCTGACTCTGCATCTGATTCCAGCCCCTTGATACTGCGTATCTTGGGAGACAGCAGAAGATGGTTAAAGTACTCGGTCCTTGCCATCCACACGGGAGGCCAGTATTGAATCCCAGCCTCACCCTGTATGTTGCAGTTATCTGAGGAATGAATCATCAGATGGAAGATCTCTCCTTGTCTCACTCTCTCTGAATTTCAAATCAATAAAAATGTAGAGATGGAATACTTACATGTGATGAAATGGAACTTCTTCGACTGCTGCAAGCAGAATCCAAAGGTTCAATTCTTAGGATTAATTCTTCCAGCTGAGAAATCAGATCACTACAGGATGCAAGGTCCAGCTGAGATTTCAAATGCTCTAATTTGTCTATCGTCAAACTTTTTCTTGTCTGATAAAAGGATAAAAAAAATTCCAATGGAATAGCTTATTGTTTGTAATTAAATCTATGTCCAAATGGCCAACATACTGAAAGAAGTCTAACACAGAAAATAAAACTTCACAGGGGCTTTAAAGAAATTTAAAAAACTAGGGAAATACATAATTACAATTATGTTAGAATTAACAAGTTAATTAAGAATAACCATACAAACATTAAAAATTAGTTCTAAAACTCAGGCCAATGTGTGGGTAAATTTGGCATTTTGTTTTTAACAGAAAACCTCAAGACACACCTGTCATGCTTCCTTTGGGGATGCACTGCTGCATCTGTATATCGGGTGGAAAGGGCAGAGCACCTTCCCACATGCCCTTGGCAAGGTTTTACGAACCCATGGTTTACAATGATAGCTCTGACTCACCCTGCTGGCAATGATAGAATTTTGGAAAAGACAGCACGTGCGAGCAGCCAGGTTCCATAAGCCTCTCCGCAGCAGCCGTTCCACACAGCGCTCCACAGACAAGAGTGAGAGATGGGAGACTCTCCCATTGAGATGTAAACAGAACAGCTCATTCTTGCAGACAGCCACATCTTGAATATCTACAAAAACCATGCAGGTGAATACACAGAATATTAACACTCCTTTTCAATTTTTCCAAGGATTGAAGTTATTCCAATAAATTCATTCATTTACAGTATTTGACTTGAGTGAATTCCATCTTTAGCATTGCAATTCAATGAAGAAATCATAACATCATACTAAAAAGATCAAGAATAAAAAATTTGGAGGAGGAGCCACATCTCTCTGATCTAGAATCCTACCTGCAGAATGGTCAATTGGTGTAACGGTTATGATGACAGTTAGAATATATCCACAACCTACAACAGAGTGCTTGGTTTGACGGCAGGTACAGTGTCTGATTCTAGCTTACTGTCAACTCTAGGAGGCACCACTGATGACTCAAGCCATTGTGAGAATTGGACTAAGCTCCAAGCTCCTAGTCTTAGCTCCTACAGGCTGTCCACTTCAGGCATTTGGGAAGTAGGCTAGATTCTGTTTGCTAATAAAATTTTTAAAATCTATTTTAGATAAAATAAAATCCTATGTTTAAAAATGCCATTTTCTGCTGGGGTCCAAGCAGTAGGTGTGGATGGCATGAAGGTGTGAAGAGAACAGCTCCCCTGCTTGGCAGGGCCCAGGGAGCTTCGAGCTATTTGGCAGGGCCCGGCGGATTTCTCTCTGACCAACTTGACGCAGTCTCACCCCCTTTTTGCATGGACACTCAACTACCCCACTAAGAATTCTGCAATCTATTGAGGCATTATTTGCCTCTGTGAGATGGCTTTTATAACCAACGTGAGGTTGAGAGTTAATGTTATTGATAATGCCTTGGTGAGTGGGCCTTTAACTGTGCACAGGAGTACAACTAAATCCAGGCCATTCCTGGACACCTTATTGTGTGCTAACCATTGCCGTGAAATCTGGGCCAGACATACAGCATGCCTTCTGGGAAATGTCTTGATAAGAATTTTACAAACTGGGCCCGGCGCGGTGGCACAAGTGGTTAAGGTCCTCGCCTTGCACGCCCGGGATCCCATATGGGCACCGGTTCTATCCCGGCAGCCCCGCTTCCCTTCCAGCTCCCTGCCTGTGGCCCGGGAGAGCAGTCGAGGACGGCCCAAAGCTTTGGGAACCTGCACGCACGTGGGAGACCCAGAAGAGGCTCCTGGCTTCGGATAGGCATAGCATCAGTCGTTGCGCTCACTTGGGGAGTGAATCATAGGATGGAAGATCTTCCTCTCTGTCTCCTCCTCTCTGTATATCCACCTTTCCAATAAAAAAATAATAAAAATAAATCTTTAAAAAAAAAAAAGAATTTTACAAACTAATGGAAGTGATGGGAATATGAGCAGAAACTGCTATGGCAAAAAATAGTTATTGTGACCTTAAAGGTTAGCTTGCAACCTTCAGAGCACAGAAAAAGTAGCTGTTTAAAGAGTCCTTACAACTCTTTAGAGCACAGAAAATGCAGCTGTTTTAGCTACTTTCATAATTCTTTAACTAGAGAAAACATACGAAGTTTTTATTAATATCATAGAGATATACTTTGGATTATTGTTTGATTGTTTATGAGGTTGTAGAGCCTGCAGTTGTAGAGGGATTTAGTGTTTGAAACTTTTTGTCTTGGATCTTTATGGTTTCTTTTCTCTTTTGTTATATTTCTCCCATTAAGTGATAGATAAGTTGTGGAAATAAAATGTAGTAGGAATGTTTTATTGATTAGTAGGTAACCATCTGTGCCTTGGCCTTGGAGTTCTGGCTGTCTAATGGCTACTTCTGAAGAATGAATAACGGCTTGCTTTAGAAACTATTATAGTAAATTACAGAATTATCTTTAAGAGCACCTGGTTGACCATGAAATAAAAAATAATCAAACATCTGTGCATACCCACTTAGTCATGAAGTACAAAACAGAACAATCAAACGATTGTGCAGAGGCTTGTGATGTGTCTGAGTAAATAAAAAGGACAGCTTCTTCCTGAGCTGTAGCAAGAAGGCACCAAGTGGCAGTGTCTGTCTTATCGCCGACTGCACGTACCCTTCTTGAGCTCCGAACTCAGCTAGAGCTGGGCCCAGCAATTTTCTTTTTTGAAAGTTGTTTAATGAAAGGCAGTGTTACACAAAAAAGAAAAAAAGAAAGAAAGAAAAAAGGGAAAGACATTGAAAGAGATACAGAGATATCGTCTATCCACCGATTCACTCTCCAGATAATAGCAATGGCCAGAGCCTGGCTGTTCCAAAGCCAGCAGCTGGAGTTTTCTCCTTCCTGCAGGGATCCAAGCATCTTCTATTGCTTTTCCAGACACATTAACACGGAGCTGTATCAGAAATGGAGCAGCCAAGATTCCAACCAGTATCCACATGGAATGCCTCCACTGCAGGCGGCATCTTTCCCTACTGAATCACAGCTCTGGCCCCTGAAAATGCGATTCTCTGTGAAAAAGGAACTGAGACCTTAAAAGAGGGCAATCTACACTAGAAGTCAGACTACATCGTTTCTGATAGTTACAAATTACAATCCAATGTTCAACGAACAGATTTTTACCACACTAAGTACATCACGATGAAACATTTCTCTTGGCAGAATATCTGCAAATGACTACAACAAAACAAATTTCAAGAGATAGCCTAGCCCATGAGAAACCAGTAATGATCAGATCAGAGAATATGGCTTCTTTCTATTTTTGCATATGAAGTAGAAAAAAATAATCCAGAAGGTCAACATATATTCTCTACTGTGTAGCAACACTAAAAAAGCTAATCCTCCCCCCGCATGGTTTCATCCAAAAGAATATAAATATGCTCTGTTCTGATCACACATAACAGACTTTGTTCCTGTGAGGATTTTGCTTTAAACACATGGAAGGGGGTAGGTTTGGTGTTTTTTGTTTTTTTTGTTAAGATTTATTTATTTTTATTGGAAAGGCAGATACACAGAGAGGAAGATCCTCCATCTGATGATTCGCGGCTGCAATGGCTGGAGCTGAGCCAATCCGAAGCCAGGAGCCAGGAGCTCTTCCAAGTCTCCCACATAGGTGCAGGGTCCCAAGGCTTTGGGCCATCCTCCACTGCTTTCCAGGCCACAAACAGGGAGCTGGATGGGAAGCAGGGCCGCTAGGATTAGAACTGGCACCAATATGGGATCCTGGGCATGCAAGGCAAGGACTGCAGCCACTAAGCTACTCCACCGGGCCCTCCTATGAGGATTTTTGAACCCCAAATCATTGAGATGTGAAACAGGAATCAAAGCAAAACATCTCACAGGAATAACAATTAACCCATTTGGGGTGGACCTTTAATGCTGTAATTGAGCTGCCACTCAGATACTCGCATGCTGTGTCAGAATTCCAGGTTTGAATCCTAGCTCTTCTTCTTCCACTCAGCTCCTTCTAACTGCACACCCCAGGGGCCAGCTCAAGATAACTTAAGTTGCTGAGTCCCTGCCATCTACGTGGGCGACTCAGACTGAGTGCAGGGCTCCTGACCTCAGGGTGGCCCAACCCTCACTGTTGAGAGCTTCTGGGAAGTGAAGAAACAGATAGAAGTTCATTTCTGTCTGTCTCTCTATTTCTCTATCTTACAAACAAAATGAAAATAAATACAATTTTTAAAACATATTAACTTATTTTTTTTGGTAGCAGTCACTAGAAATAAATGGAAATTGCACTTAAAATTACCCATAAAAATAAATACCTGAATACAAACTTACAAATACATGTTTGAGAACCTTACAATTGAAAACATACATCTTAAACTTTAGAAGAAATGCTCTTACATCTTATTTTTCAACTTATTACAGTGGAAGAGACTCCTCCTATAATAATTAAATCTTTCACAAGCGTGAGTTGCATAGGAAGGAAAACAGAGTTACCTCTGACTTCACTCCAAAGAAGAACTTGAACATTCTGAGGAACGAAAATATAAATTCCTCTTTCTGTCCAGGTCAGCACACAATGCTCACTGCAAGACAAAGTGGAAGAAGCCAAGAGATTTAGGGTTTGTTGGGACGCAGAATTCCTCCCACTGCCTGTTAAATACAATCAGATCATGCAAAAAAAAAAAAAAAAAAAAAAAAAAAAACAACCACCACCTAATAATGATCCAGCTAATCAACCAACGAAATGCTACAAACTGAGAAAATCAGACATACACATTAATTATCTCCTAGATAAAGAAAAGGCTAGTATCTGCAGAAAGAAAAGCTTACACCACTTTTTGTTTGATAGCAGGATAAACAACATGTGATACAAAAGGCATATATTTAAAGCAAGGACTAAAATATTGCCACCCTTCACTTCTCTAATAAGCCAGCAGTACAAATGGAAATGTTTAAATCTCTCTAGTTGTACAGTCACAAAAGGATGAGAACTCTCATTCGACTATGTGCCACAGCTTTAAATATTTTTTTAAGATTTACTTATTTTTTTATTACAAAGTCAGATTTACAGAGAGGAGGAGAGACAGAGAGGAAGATCTTCCGTCTGATGATTCACTCCCCAAGTGAGCCTAACGGCTGGAGCTGAGCCAATCCAAAGCTAGGAGCCAGGAGCCAGGAACTTTTTCCGGGTCTCCCACATGGATGCAGGATCCCAAAGCCTTGGGCCATCCCCGACTGCTTTCCCAGGCCACAAGCAGGGAGCTGGATGGGAAGTGCAGCTGCCGAGATTAGAACTGGTGCCCATATGGGATCCCGGCACGTTTAAGGTGAGGACTTTAGCTGCTAGGCCATGCTGCCGGGCCCTAAATTTTTTTTTTAAATTGGAAAGTCAGATATACGAAGAAGAGAGACAGAAAGGAATATCTCCATACGATGAGTCACTCCCCAAGCAGCCACAACGGCCAGAGTTGTGCCAATCTGAAACTAGAAGCCCAAAGCCTCTTCCTAGTTTCCCATGCGGGTACAGGGTCTCAAGGCTTTGGACTATCCTCTACAGAGAGAAAGACCTTCCATCTGCTGGTTCCAAATGGCCACAATGGCCAAAGCTGAGCCAAACTGAAGCCAGGAGCCAGGAACCTCTTTTGGGTCTCCCATGTGGAAGCTTGGACCATTTTCTGCTGCTTTCCCAAGCCACAAGCAAAGCTGGATTGGAAGTGGAGCAAAAGGGACATGAAAGGGCACACATATGGGATGCTGGCACTTGCAAGTACAGGACTAGCCAGTTAATCCAACATGCTGGCGACAAAACTGAACCATACTTTTTTTATGTGTCCAAGAGTACTATGTACTATGTCTCCAAGAGTTTCACATGATATGGCCAGCATTGTGATGTATTAGGTATAGCCACTGCCCACAACAGCACACTGATTTGAGTCCTACTTGCTCCACTTCTGATCCAACTCCCTGCTAATATACCTGGGAAAGCAGCAGAAGATGGCGGAAGTGCATAAGCCCTTGCCACCCACTGGAACCTTTTGGTGCCAGGCTTTGGCTTGCTCCAGCCCAAGCCATTGATGCCCTCTGGAAAGTGAATCAATCAGTGGAAGCAAATTTCTCTATCTTTCTTTTCTGTAACTCTACCTTTCAAATAAATAAATACATAAATCTTACAAACAAGGTGGTGGTGAGGGGGAGTTCAATATGGTTATGAAATGAAAGAGAGTATTTAATAGGATCTAGGTCCTCACATAGACTAACCATTTTGTAAATATGAAAGATGAGATCAATGCCCTTTCAGGAGAGTCATCTTTGTCACAAGATGAAAGAAATGGTCAGTATTCTAGTCCAAGGAAACAAAACAAGGAAGGTTATCTTGAAGATCCAGAGCAGAAAATACAAGGTATCAGACTCACTGAGTTAAAGGACACAAGATCATGTTTTAAAAATTATACTGGATACTCAGTTCTGAACATTTCTTAGAAATAGCAACTTCAGGGCTTGGTGCAGTAGCCTCCGTGGCTAAATCCACACCTTGTATCCACCAGGATCCCACATGGGTGCCGGCTGCTTTACTTCCCTTCCAGCTCCCTGCTTGTGGCCTTGGAAAGCAGTAGAGAACAGCCCAAAGCCTTGAGACCCTGCACCTGTGTGGGAGAGCTGGAGGAAGCTCCTGGCTCCGGTTGGCAGCTCTGGCCATTTCGGCCACTTGGGGAATGAACCAACAGGCGGAAGATTTTTGTCTCTCCTCTCTGTAAATCTGACTTTCCAATAAAAGTAGATTTTTTAAAAGAAAAGGAAAGAAAAGAAATAGCAACTTAGATTAAATGGGAGTGTGGGAGCTAGACAAGCAGGAATATTTGCAATTCATACATTCCTATCCATTTGTCCCTTCATTGATAATAAAGAGAAATGTACCTAACAGCCTTGTTTAGAAAGTTAAGGATAGGTGGTAGGCATGTGGTGTAGCATTTAAGCAGCCACTTGGGACACTCACATCCCATATGGAAGTGACTGGGTTTCAGTCCTGGTTCTCCTCCTGATTCCGGCTTCCTGCTAATGTTGTCCCAGGGAGAAGGCAGCTCAAGCAGTTGGGTCCCTGTCACCCAATGGGAGACACAGAAGGAGTTCTGGGTTCCTGGGTTAGTCCTGGCCCCTTCAGCAGTGAATCTGCAATGGGAGATAGCTTGCTGCTTACTTCCCCAACTCAGAAAAATAAAATAAATAAATTTCTGTAAAGTGTCTTTAAAAATTAAGGAACAGAAAGTGATACTGGCGTACCCAAAAAGAAATAAAATGTGGTATAGACTGATGTCACCTTGTGAGATCTGTGGGTGGATAGTAGAAGTAGCAACGGACACAAGTGTTGATACAGAGGAAAAATTAACAGAGGTAAATAGAAGCAAGAAGCTCTCCTATTCATGGTTTATCTTCCCCCACCCTCGCATTTTTTTCTTTTTAATCTTTGTTAAGTTACCTAGTATATAAAAGCTTTTTATGTATCTGGCACTGTGTCCCTAGTAAAGAAGTTGACATTTTTGAGCTGAGAAGGAAACTCATAACACATGAATGTGACAATGGAGCAAGCCTGCTGGATGAAGCAGCCAAGATTCCATAGTTCTTATTGTTTAGGATGGGAGTAGGCAGAGCCAGGAGGGCTTTGTTTACCATGCTTGAGACATATAAAAGGAGTTTTAAACAGCTGAACTCTACAAAATAACAGGAGAATCAAACATACTTGGCCCAGTTATTAGAAAACAGACTACTAATTATGACCTCTCCACACCCCACGTCACACCAGAGCGAACAAATACTTCAGTGTTTGTCATATGCCACACAGCAGGCCAAGACACAAAACTTCCAGGGAGCTTACTGTTTAGACGTAAGACAAGTATAAATATCATCGAGCTCCCATATGCTCACTGCCCACAGGCCTACAGCTGTCTGCAGCAGCTGAGGCAGAAGCAAGGAGCTGGAGCTGGGAACTCAATCCATGTTTCCCAGGTGTATGGCAGGAATCAAATCACTTGGGGGCAGGCACTGTGCACAGCAGACTGAACCATTGCTTGGGATACACTCACCCCATATTAAAATGCTGGATCTACTGCTTCCAATCTAGTATATTGCTAATAAATCTGAGAACACAGCAAGACTTGGGTTCCTGCCAGTACTTGTGGGAGACTCAGCTGGAATTCCAGCTCTGGCTATTCTAGGCATTCAGAAAATGAACTAGCAGACTTTTGATATTTCTTTCTCTCCTCCTTGCTCTGTTACTCTGATTATCGAATACAAATGTCCCTTATAAAAAAAAATTAAAGAAGGAAAGAAAATAAACTCAATTACTTGAATTTCCCAGGGTTCACATTGCCAAAATTGGAATCAGGAGGTGGGGCCAAGCATGGAACTCACCTACTCACCAAGAGAAATCAAGATGGCGGAATAGGGTAAGGACTCGTTTAAACGGACAGAAAGACATTTAATCAGAATGAAGCAGAGAGGACACATTCCAGGAAGTAGGAAAGGACAGAACAACAGTGGAGGGGTGCCTGGAGACTGACAGAAACAGGAAAGCAGCAAAAACAATGGTGTGGTGTTGCAGTGGCTGATACTCCAGCGGCATTCAGCCAACAACGATCTGAACTCCACCAGCAGCCAGAACTCCACCAGCAACCAGGTGGGAAGGGACTTTTCACTGGGAGCTTGGGAGGTGAACCCAGAAAAAGAACTGTCTGTCCTGCTGGTCCATTTGATTTGACCAGGAGCAGAAACAGAGCAGCAGATCCCAGCCGGACAGTGCGAGAACAGTGTGGATTTCATGGCCCAGTCAGCCCAATAGAGCAGAATTGGGTGCCATTTTGTGTAAGGAGACAAAGGTAAGGGAAAGGACTGAGCATAAACTGAGCTGGGAGTGAACTCATTTCTGACTCAGTGAACTGCATCAAGGTGGCATTCTACAGGTTCCATCCAAGACAGGTCTGGGTAGCCCTCAGATCTGAAGGCCAGCAGATCAAGAACTCTAGTAGTGATACATCAAGCACCATTTTGTACACTGTGGTAATAGCTTTAGGACTGCAGGGGACAACAGTGAACTGCGCATGTGCTGATCTCGTGAGAACTCACTGAGTTCAGTGAATTGCTTTGGTCCCACAGGAAAATATTACCAACTGTGGCATCGTACAGGTCAAAATAGGTCCGTATGGCACCAGACCTAACATCCAGCGCCACCAACAACCTAACGATATAGGACACCTGGTGTCTCTCTAACCCTGGGACCTGCTCAAACCGAAAGTGGGAAAAAGGTTGCAGAGACAACAGTGAAGCCTCAGCACAGTATCACAGGAGGTGGAGACTGGTGAGCCAGGAGCTGGGGCTGTGAAGACCACGGTGGAAATCTGACATAAGAATCCAGACCTGGAACTCGCTGGAGGTTGTGGCACAAGTGGCTGCAAGCAAAAAGTTGTGCACCAACTGCAACAAGTAAAAGCGCATTGTAGACCTGAGGGTGAAACAGCTTAGAAACCTGCCCCAGGAAGACTCTGCTAACCAGAAGTACAATGACCAAGAGCAAAAGAAGAGACAAAGGCACAATGAATATTACTGAAAACTCCCCTGCAAAGGAGCAAAACCCTATGCCAAACTCAGAGTTAACGGAGGAAGACATCGAGAAAATGGGGAAATACAGAATTCATAAAACTCATTTTAAAGCTTCTGATCAACAATGAGAAGCACATACAAAGGTTCAAAGAATTTAAGGAAGCAATAAACCAAATCAAGACTGATAGATCAGAAATTAAGAACACAGTAAAGCAAATTACAAGTACAGTGGAGAGTCTCCAAAATAGAATGAAGCAAGCAGTATCTCACAGTTGGAAGGTATTTCCTGTCACCGGGGGGGAAGCAAACAAAAAGCTGAAAGCAGAGCTAGTTCAGGCCAAAAAAAATATTCAAGAATTGAAAGACACTATGAAGAGACCAAATATAAGAGCTATCGGAGTCCCAGAAGGTGCAGAAAGAGAAGCTGAGTTTGCAAATGTATTTAATGAAATAATCAAGGAAAATTTTTCTCATCTGGAGCAAGAATTGGGAAACAAGATCCAGGAGGGACACAGAACTCCCAACAGGCTTGATCAAAAGCGATCTTCACCAAGACACATGATCATCAAGCTCTCTTCAATTGAACATAAGGAAAAGATCCTTAAATGTGCACATGAAAAGAATCAATTGACATATAAAGGAATGCCATTTAAGCTCACAGGAGATCTCTCACAGGAAACTCTACAAGCAAGAAGAAAATGGAGTGACATATTCCAGATTCTAAAAGAAAACAATTGTTGGCCTAGGATAACATATCCAGCAAAGCTTTCTTTTGTCTTTGAAAATGAAATAAAATTCTTCCACATTCAAGAAAAGTTAAAAGAATTTGCCTCTTCCAAACCTGCCCTACAAATGATACTTCACGATGTTCTCTTGACAGAGAAGAGGAATAGCACCTAAAAAACCAAAGGCAAATGGGAAGAACATCCCAGTAAAATGACAACAGAAGACTAAATCAATGAACAACCCATTCCTAAAATGACAGGACCAAAGTTCCATCCATACATACTAAACTCTGAATGTAAATGGTTTAAGCTCAATCAAACATCATAGATTAGTAGACTGGATCAAAAAAACAAAACCCATCTATTTATTGTCTAAAAGAGACACACTTCACCAACAAAATTCAGCAGAAACTATATCGCATGGGTTTTGTTTTATGTTAGTTTCATCTCTTAAAAAGTTTCTTCTGATTAAATCATTCAATAACTCATAGATCATAGAGTAGCATCATTTTCTTCAAGAAGGTTCTTGATTTTCAATTCTTCAGCTACACGTTAGTCATTTAATAGCATGTTATTTAACTCCTTGGGGTTGTTAATTTCTTGTTTCTCCCTGATGTTCATTTTGTTTTGTGGCTCTTCATTTAAAGGGATGTATAGTAGTGTGTAATGGATACTGTCATATCTAGTAACATGTAAATTCAATGTAAATTTCATGTAAATTTCAATTTTTCTTTTTATTGTTGATTTTGTATTATGACTTTTCATGTAAGGGGATATACAGCAGCTGTGAAATGGAGACTAACATCCAGATGTGAGGATACAATGTAGTATGCATTTCTGCTTCCAAAGATGGACTTACAATGAAACTGTTCACTATATCTTGACAATAGGATGCTGGACTCTGCCATTGTCCAGGTCCACAATGATGGACATATGACTGTGTATGAAGAACTATATTTTAGTAATGATATAAAGGAACTAGGTGGGGGGAAAGGAATTGGGGAGGGGATAAGGGAAATGCTAGGAATCTATGGAACTGTATCATAAAATGATAATAAAAAAAATCCCAACCACCATGTTAAACACCTACCTTCCTGCCAACTATTTTTTAAAAATCATGTTCTCTGAGCAGTTCAGCTTTGAAAGAACCCAATAAGAGTTCACATTTCAATGTACCCTTTAACAACCCTTGACATTCTTCAGAGCTGAATTCAAGATCATATTAGTTAGCTTCAGGGTATTATAAACATTTTTCCTTGGTGAAATAAGTAGATTTCAAGACACAGAAGTCAGCTGGAAATCATAAACCACCATCCCTTCTCTCAGAATAAGGCAAGTCCAGCAGTTGACCTTTAGTGTGGCACTCTGAACTTCTACATAATAGTAGTTTTTGCCAGTTAGGGAGTTAGCTGAACCCTGATATTAGAACAGGACTGAAGAGCCTGGAGCAGAGCTTGTACTCTTAATGCTTACCAGAATCCCTAAAGGGCAGATAGCTGAAATTTCATCAAGCTTACAAAAACGAGTTCTACAACATTTTTGTGCCTGTTAGCTAATAACGTGCTTCTCTTTCTGTGTGGTGTTTCAGTCTGGGACTTGCTTTCCACTGTAGCATTCTACCAGGTAGGAGAACACATAACTTTACTTACAAGTGACAGAAGTTCCCTGACAATTATAAACTGTCCAAATGGCTTAGAGGGAGAAGTATATCCCCAAGATCTTTTCCTTCTTCTTATATTAAAAAAACACTACAGGCAATACAGTCATTTCATAACTTATCAAAACTAAGTTAATGCAAAACAATCTTAAAAAACTGTTCCTAGGGGTCAGCACTGTGGCACACTGTGGCTGGGATGGCTAGACAGAGAGGCACTCAACAACATCCGTGAGAGCTGGATAGTTGAGCTGGTTAGATGGAACTAAGCTTCAATTCCCTTCGAAATTTACGAGAGCCAAATGGGATATAGGGCAGACTTAACTAGTCTGCTACACATACTGGCAAACCAGGGTAGGGGTGGGCCTGGTGGGGGTTATTGTGGGTCACTCTGACTGGGTTGCAGCTCCCACTGGTTTATGTGAGGGCCAAGTATGTGATGGGCAGAGCCAGGCTGGACTGCAACACCCATTGGTTCCAGTGGAAGCTGGGGCTGAAAACAGAACCAATCCAGCAGTTGCAATCACCAGCTAATCAGTGCGATGGACTGTGCTGGGCCCTATACTTGTTAGTACATATAGGAATATGGTCTGGGAATACCTCAACCTTTCTTTGGGGACCCCCCCAATCAAACTGCTGGACTCAGAACCCTAACCAAGAAAAGACGGAAGATAGAACCAGTCAATCAACCACTTCAGCTATATGTTAGTAGCGAAATACTAGACAAATTGAGACTCTATGATGAACTATGTCAATCAACAGCCTCATCATGCCTGGAGTGGCGAGATTGGCAGCAATCAAAACCACTTCAACAAGGATCTCAAAGCATGCCCCACATCCGGGACCTGGGGTGGGGCTTCTCCCTCAATATTCCCTTTACCTCAGATATATGAAGGAAATAATATGAAAATAGTGGTGTTATCCACTTTCCTATAGCCCTTGTACCTTTTTACTCCAATTAACAATGTAAAGACTGCCAAAAATATAAAAAAGAAAAAAAATGTTTCTAGGAGTCAGCACTGTGCACAACCAGTTAAGCCATTGTCTGAGTTGCTGGCATCTAGCAGAGTGCATAGTTACATTTCTGATCTAGTTCCCTGCTAATGTGCCTGGGAAAACAGCAAAGTAAGGCCCAAGTGCTTGGGAGACCCAGATGGGATTCCAGATTTCTGCCTACAGCCAGGATCAGCCCTAGCCCTTGCAGCCTTTGATGAATGAACCAGTGGGTACAGGATCTTGCTCTTTGTCTCATTTTCTGCCATTTTTCGTGTCAAATAAATAATTAAATCTTTTTTAAAAATCTGCTTCTAGACAGAAAATGAGGAGAAAGAGCTAAGTGTCCATTTTATTTTGAGGATCAAAGGAGAAACTTACCTAAGATGCAAGAGTCTGGGGAAAGACAAAGACTGGGAGGAGCCAAGTGTGTGATCATACTGAGGTTCTGATCTAGGAAGTAAACACAGCCATTAAGGATTGAATCACAGCCTAAAAGACTTTTCTCAGGAGCAGGAAATTCTTGCCTCCAAAACAACATCAAAAGCCAAACTGAACCTGCCCTTATTTGATTCACCCATTATAGGAAGAACAATTGATAAAACACTGTTTTGGTTTCACCAAATCTTTTCATAAAAATTCTATTGCATTCTTAAAAGTGTTCAAGACATACAGAATAACAAAGATTGTCACCCAACAAATTCCTCAAATAATTCCAACCACTAGGAAAAGTCAAACCTGAGTGAGATCACAGGGAGGGGTGGCAATGAGAGCAGTTTCTTGAACTGATGTGTGCTTATCACTTCCCCATCGAAGTTCACTTCCCACATCCTGGAGCCAGGGCGTGCGCAATAGATCAGAGGTTGCTGGCTTCCGGAACATCTTCCAGGAAAGAAACAGGCTCCAAATTCTCCATCTCTTTCCTTGTTTCCAATTTTCCAAAACTTTTCTCTAACATCCAGAAAGGAGAAGAAAGCATGCTTAGTTACAAAAGGGTTCAAAACAAATCATGACTGGATTTGAACTGTAATACTGCAATAAGGTGGAGTAATCCACCATGAGGGGGTGGTACAGGGAGGGGTTGGGAGAACTCCAGAGCCTATGAAACAGTGTCATAAAATGAAATGTAATAAAAAAAAAAAGGGAGGGGGTGGTTCAAAACAAACAAGCAAACAAACAAACTCAGCTTTAAAACTCGGCCAGGCATTAAGAACCCACTTGCAATGTCCTCTCCCTCATTCACATTAGCAAACCACTGACAAGAACCACAGAACTGAAGGTTCAGGATAGGGCTCTGGCTCTGTTTTGCCATTAGCTATCTCTGTGACATGTAAATGTTCAGTTTATTATCTACAGAATAAGGGGCTCAGAGTTATGTGAAGGCCCTTTAAAAAAAAGACAATCTATTTTTTAAAGCAACAAAATATCAATATATGTACATGATACCATTGTACAGAGATTGTCCAACATAATCCCAAACTAAAAACAAATAAAAGAAGTAAGCCATGTGACTGGGTACAAGATCAACACTTAAAATCAAGAAGACTGTCCTTTGCAAATCTAAGAATGTGTGCCATCCCATCTTAGCACTGGTAGTCTTCTGGATACACTACTAATATCTCTCTCTAATCTTGCCTTTCAATCACTCCCTCAGCACAAACATCTCAGAAACTCCTCACTCTTCCCTCAAAATGCCACGTCTTCTAAAACCTGTTACTTTAGAATTATCTGAGTTAAACGTACCAAAGATCTGGACAGACACGTGGGATGTGAACATAGAAAGTCACAGGGAGGGCCCGGCGGCGTGGCCTAGCTGCTAAAGTCCTCGCCTTGAACGCCAGGATCCCATATGGGCACTGGTTCTAATCCTGGCAGCTCCACTTCTCATCTACCTCCCTGCTTGTGGCCCGGGAAAGCAGTCGAGGACGGCCCAATGCCTTGGGATCCTGCACCCGTGTGGGAGACCTGGAGGAGGTTCCTGGCTCCTGGCTCCTGATCGGCACAGCACTGGCCGTTGCACTCACTTGGGGAATGAATCACGGACAGAAGATCTTCCTCTCTATCTCTCCAGCTCTCTGTATATCTGACTGTGTAATAAAAACAAATAAATCTTAAAAAAAAAAAAGAAAGAAAGAAAGTCACAGGGAGAATGAGATCTCTTCCTAAAAACTCCTGCTATCTATTCTTCGTGACTTACCTCCATCACCTTCTCTCTGAGAACTGTCCTAACTCCCATATGAACCACAAGCTTCTGACGCGATGATTTCACAGTACTTACCACATTAGATACATCAATGATGTCTATCTGAACAGTAGATGATGACTTTACAGGACAAAGGGCATTTTTTATTCCTCTCGAGTTGAATGCATTAGTGTATAGGACAGCGCCTGGCCCCCAGAAAGTACTGAACACACGGCCAGTGCTCTATAAACTCCATCTCTTCTACTGCAGAGTAATCTAATACCCTCACTAGAATGAGTTTACTACATGACCTCAGATAATCCCACAAATATTCTTCTATTTACTTTGCAAATAAAATACAGCATTTGCTTTATTGTGAGAACACAATATGAAACTGTTTTGAAACACATAGAATAAGAAAGGAATAATGGCCTTAATCCTTATTTTCCTTATTTGGAAAATACAATATATTTCTTATTTGATTTACATCTGCCCTTATGCCTTGATACTAAAAATCTAGAAGGGCACAATAAATGCTTGAGTGGAAAATGTAGTCAACTCATTTTCTTCGTCTATACTCATGAATGCTTTCTTTGTTTTCAAAAAATATGTGACAGGCACTGTTAAGTATTTTCATATCCATGATTTTTGTTAGTCCTGAAGCTATCACTATATTCTAGCCAGGGAAACTGACCTTCAGCAAGGTTGGAGGGGAGACAGAACTAGAACATGACACCACATCCTCAGGTTCTACTATCCATCATCCTATTATAGCATGGCTCTTCACTCTACTCACAATACTGACCTTGTTCATTCCCAGTACTGACAAAAAGTGCACAATGGACAGCAGGAGAAGCAAATTTTTATCATTTTGGTTAATTATTAGGAATCCTGACATCTTTTTTTTTTTTTTCTTAAATGCTACTTGTTGGAAGAAAACAATGGTAGAAACAAATAAAAAACCCAACTTTTCAATACAAATGAATTTTTAAATTATTGTACCATCCCTGAAAACTGCATTCCAGCTAACAAACAATGGGTAAATCTAAAAGATGTTGCTTTTCAACAAGTTCTCTGTTTCTGTCTCCTAACTCTGGCTACACCCTATGTGAAACAGGTACATTTGGATTCATGATATATATTTCTGTTGATTCATGGTTAGTTAATTTACCTCTCAGTGTCACATAAGAAGGATCGAGTAAGTGAAGATATAAGTAGTCTTCCATCCAAATAATCTAACTGGACAACACTGGAGTCTACTGTTGTTATTGTCTGAACAGGAAATATCACAAAGGAAGCAGCTCCCTAAAAGGGACATGAGAAGGAAATGAAGTAGATTTTATCTTATGATACATATACATAACCTCTTCCTCTTTATCATCTGAATAAAAACAACTTGAATAGCAAAATCAAATTTTTAAACAGGCTAGAACTTAATTTTCTTATCAGGGCATCACAGTTTCCCTCAAAAGTTTTATGACATAACTTGGCACAGGAGAAAAGTAATGCTCTCCTTGTGATGATCTAATCTGACAGTACTGAGTGGAAAAGCAAGTTTTAGGACATGGCAGAGAATTTTCCACCATTAAATACTACTTTGGGAAAAAGACATTATATGTAAGGTAGCAATTTTACTCCAGGTCAAAAACATCAGGAGGGGCACAGTGGCACAGCTGGTAACACTACAGGCCTGCAGCATCAGCATCCCAAATGGGTGCTAGTTCTAGTCCCAGCTGTTCTCCACTTCTGATACAGCTCCTTGCTTATGGCCTGGAAAAGCAGGGAAGGATAGCTCAACATTTGGGACTCTGCATCCAGATGGAAGAAATTCCTGGCACCCAGTTTTGGACCAGCTCTAGCCATTGCAGCCATGTGAGTGTGAGCCAGTCGATTGAAGATCTCTGTCTCTAACTGATATAAACACACACACATACATATGTACGGTAATAAATAATAACTTTAATGGATATTGATAACAAGGTCGGAATAAATTAATGTTTTCATTCAAATAATTTAGCCAAGAGGCTGGCATCATGGCAGAGTAGACCAAGCTGCTGCCTGGAATGCTGGTATTCCATATGAGTGATAGCTGAAGTCTCAGTTTCTCCACTTTTGATCCAGTTCCCTGCTAAGGTACCTGGGAAAAGCAATAGCTTTTCCCCTGATATCCATGTGGGAAATTTGCATGGAGTTCTAGACTCCTGGCTTCAGACTGGTGTAGGTCTGGGCATTAAAGATATTTGGAGAATCAACCAAGAGATAAGATTCTCTCTCTTTCTCTTTTTCTTTCCATATCACCATCCATCCTCTCAATCCGCCTCTCATCTCTGTAATTCTGCTTCTCAAAAATAAACTAAGCAATCTTTTAAAATAATGTATCCAAGTTCAGCACTGTGGCACAGCAGAGCAGCCAGCTCTCAAATCAGTGCCCATATGTGATATTAGTGTCACAGGAGGTGGCTTTACCTGCTGCTCCACAATGCCAGCCCCCAAGAGGGCAGGTTTTAAGGGAACTCATTTGTCTGTATAACATACTGGAGTCCGTTTCAGCTTGATTCTGCTACAGAGTGGCATCTGCAAGCTAAGTTTCATAATTTTCCATTTTCTGTTGCAATATTTTGGTCAGGTTCAGTCCTGGCCATTGCAGCCATTTTAAGGAGTAAACCAATGGATAGAAGATCTCCCTCTCTCTCTCCCTAGTTCTCATTCTGTGTAAACTGTTGTTCAAATAAATTAATAAATCTTCAATTAAAAAAATAACCTGCCAGGGATGGGTGGGAGGCTGGGTGGGGCTTCTCCCTTTATCTCTCTCCTTACCCCAGATACAGAAAATAATAATAATAATAATAATAGGGAAAAAAATAACCTGTAGGACCCAGCAGTGTGGCCTAGCTGCTAAAGTCCTCGCCTTGAACACCAGGATCCCATATCGGCACCAGTTCTAATCCCAGCAGCTCCACTTCCCATCCAGCTCCCTGCTTGTGGCCTGGGAAAGCAGTGGAGGACAGCCCAAAGCCTTGGGACCCTGCACCCATGTGGGAGACCTGGAGGAGGTTCCTGGCTCCTGGCTCCTGATTGGCACAGCACCGGCCGTTGCGCTTCACTTGGGGAATGAAGAGCTCCCTCTCTGTCTCTCCTCCTCTTTGTATATCTGATTTTCCAACAAAGATAAATAAATCTTTAAAAATAAATAAATAACCTGTAGACTTGGCTCCATATCAGCCCCCCTTCCAAGTACTACAGTAGATAAATTCACATGCTTTCACTGAAAGCTTCACAATTCTACACCTTACATGCAAGCATACATGTAAAGATTGGACTGGTTCTCACCTTTCCTTGCTTAGAAGTGTTGAGTTTGATGGCAGAAACTTTCCCCACGTGATCACCTATAAACACTCTAAGAAGAGCTGTGTCCCAACAGAGCGCTGTAACTTTCCGGCCCTTGTGTTCTGAAGACACATAAATGCGTTCTGGTTTCCCGCGACGCTCTTGATTTAACTCCCAAACAACTACAAGGCCTTGACTGAGAATTGAGGCACAGAAGCAAGTTTTTGACAAAGGTGAAAAAGGTACAATTTAGTTGCATCATAGTATCAACTATATAAAGCACATATGCAAATTCCTGCTCTGCAGAAAAAAGGAAGTAAAAAGCCAAGGTACGATTGTCTTGCTTTATCCACTTGACCTTTGTAACAGAACTTAAATGCTTTAAATTAACTCTGTTCTGCTTTCTCTAACAAAGTCTTTACAATGTCAGTGCCTCAAGTGAGCAACTTTGCACAATCACGAGGGTGATCAGCTGTCCATCCTGGGTTACTGCACAAGGAGCACAGGAATTTCATTAACAACATCGTCACAGTCAAGCAGGAGTCACTGATCACCCTAAAACTTCTGTTCATGAAATTGCATTTAATTTAAAAGTCTCTCACCTGGTGGCCACAGCAACATAATCATCATCATGTAAACAACAGGCAACCTGAGAAATTGCACCTTCCTAGAGCACAAAAGGAAACAATTTCTAACTCTTAAGTTTTCCATTCGTCTACCCCAAATGATAATTTACACTGCAAGGAGAAGTTTGCACTTCTCCCAGGCACCCAGAATGGTGTGTGACAGGGCTGCTCTTAGTCTTACCTTATGTGAAAGCAGCAGCCTGTGTTTCCAACCTTCTCTCTGAATAAGATGGAGTCCTCCTCCAGAACTGCCCAAAGCCAGCCACTTCCGAGACACGGCTATACTCGTGCACTAAACATGTGAAAGAGAGGGAGATAATCATGACATGCAGCCAGACAGACAAGGAAATGGCAACAAATACTGAGGATTTGTCCTTGAGCTTCCTCTCCCTACTCATCAACGCAACATAAAGGTATTCCTGACTCCAGATGAGTGAACACTGCACTATTATATAACTGAAACTCAAAAAAGGCACAATTGTATAAATGAGTAACTTGCCCTTGGTAAAGGTTGTTAATAGCACCATTCATGCTCTGTATAATTTGGCTGGGTCATTCCAGTGCTGACTCCGACAGCAGAAGACACAAGAATAAAACACCCACACTAGACATTTGTTCATTCAAATCATTTCTTGTCCATACACTCAGCTCTCAGAGCCGGGTAAGACTATGTAGAGCAGAGATGTAAGTCACTGTACTGTCCCATCTCCCTTCCCCATCAGCCTGTTGCTTCCTTTTTGTATCCACCAAAGAAATCTAGGGCCACACTGTGCTCCATTCCCTGTGGCAAAAATCACACAAGATTTTCACAGCCCTCTTTGTCTTTGTTGCTTTCTAATATAAAAGCAAGAAAATCTAGGGTGTTTGCTTTTCCAGATTCCACTGCCGTATATGGCTCAACAGCAGCTGAGAGAACTAAGCCCTTCTGGAGGCTACTTGGGAAGTTTTACTTGGGAAGTTTTTATAAGAGCAGAGTCTGCAGGAAAGAAAACTCTTGCCCTTGGCCCAGTCATTCTTGACTGAGAGGCTAATGAGGACATTAAGTGGGATAACGATTACTATGTCACATCTGTGATTACATGCTGACACATGGAAACTAGCAGGACAGGAAGGAAGGCAAGTCTGGGTCCTTGGTAATACAGCTGGGCCACAGTACTACACCTAAACCCTCAACTGCCAAGTAAGTACAGATGCCTTCATTGCTTAAGCCACTGTAACTTCAATAACCTGTAGTGAAAAACATCCTGGTATCAACCCACACAATCATATCTCACATCATATTATCTTCCCTTTTCTCAGAGGTGAGAAAGGTGCTTTGGGATGGGAGTGAACGTGTAGGAAAGAGACTATTTTAGAATTGGTTATACAATTTCATTCTTTACTGTGCCATTCCTAGGTAATCAGGGCACATATTTCTTTATACAGAGCTAACAGACTTTTGCTTTGTTCCCTAAAACACAGGTTACAATTCCCTGTTTTGGAATGAGTTTAGCAAAGCTGAAGTGGTTCGTGTGGTTCAAAATGTAATGGGATGGGGCATTATTATGGCTCTGTGGATTAAGCCACAGCCTGTGATGCCAACATACTGTCTAAGTGCGGGTTCCTGTCCCACCTACTCCGCTTTCAATCCTACTCCTTGCCAATTGCCTGGGAAGTCAGCAGATAAAAAGGCCTAAGGATTTAGGCCCATGCCATGCAGGAGACCTTGAAGAAGTTCCTGACTCCCGGCTTTCAAGTGGCCCAGGCCAGGCTGTTGTGTCTATCTGGGAATGCTATGGATACCAACCAGCAGATGGAAAGTAACTCTGTCCCTCCCTGTTTCTCTTTAGCTCTGCCTTTCAAATTAAAATAAAATACATTTTATTTATTTATTTATTTATTTGAAAGGCAAAGTTACTGAGAGAAAGCAAAAGACACATAGACCCTTAGGCCTATCAACAAGGAGATGCCAGGTTCATGCACTCCATGGGTGGGGAGATCTGGCAGAGCTGGAGTTGCTTGGCCCAGCCTGAGAAGTGGGTGCTGGATTCGTGAGCCCATGGGTGGGCAATCTGGTGGGGTTTGGGTTACCATGCTCAAGCCCTTGGGCCCAACTACAACGGGGGTGGCTAGGTTCATGAGCCCCAGAGGTGGGGAATCTGGCAGGGCTCAGGTACCGGCACAGGCCCTTCGGCCCATCTGCAACAGGGGTGGCTGAGTTTGTGAGTCCCAGGGGTGGGGGATCTAGTGGGGCTCAGGTCGCCTGGCCCGGGTCTCTTGGCCCACCTGCAAGGTGGATGCTGGGTTTGTGAGCCCTGGGGGTGGGAGATCCAGTGGGGTTTGGGTGACTTGGCCTGCGCCTCTTGGCCCACCTGCAAGAATATGTCCTCCTCAGTGAAAAAGGTGGAGCAGTGGATTCAGATCCTGATGCACATGGAGAATATGGCAGCCTATTTGGTACCATAGCAGAAGGAGAAAAGAGCAAATTGGATGAGTACCCCAGCCAAATGATGACAGCAAGGATCTGGATGAATGGAGACTTGAGGTTGACCATGTCAGCCAGTGCACATTGGGAGGGCTGCATCATCCTTGGATTGGTGAAATCGACAGCATCTCAGAACTATCCAAACCACCTGAGCAGAAACCTCGGAATGTGCATGTATCAGGACCCTGGGATGATATCAGGTGGTGGTTCCCCATCCCTGGGCACTAGGACATTTGACAAGCGGAGTGTGGCTTCCCCCTTTATCTCTGTCCTTTTCCCAGAAACAAAAAGAAATCAGCAGATTTGAGAAAAATGATTTTACCCATTTGTTTCTAATCCTCAATACTTTCCATCCTAATTAACTATGTAATTATCATGAAATACAAAATTTTTTAAAAAGACACATAGAGATCTCCTATCTATTGATTCATTCCCCAAATGGTTGCAATGGCTGTAGTTGCGCCAGTCTGAAGCCAGAAACCAGGAGGTTCTTCCAGGTCTTCCACATGGACACAGGTACCCAAAGCCTTGGGCTATTCTCCACTGCTTCCCCAGGTTATAAGCAAGGAGCTGAACTGGAAATGGAGCAGCTGGCACATGAACCAGCACATATATGGTATGCTGGTGCCTCAGGCAAAAACTTAGCCTGCTGAGCCATGGTGCCAACTCTAAATCTTTTACTTTATGACAGAAAACAACAAAATCACTGAGAGAGAAAAATGAAGCAATTGAGATCATGAATTCCAGGGGAGAAGAAGAATTCATACAACAGCTCTAAGATAAATCATGCTTTTTCTAAGGAGGGTATGACTAAGACAGATAAGACTACCCAAGATTCCACAAAACATAAGAAATTAGAAGGCAGAGACCCATGTAACAAGAGCACAAAAATACAAAAATGAAACTGGTAACAAGTTCCAAAGCTCACCCTTAGGCGACTGGAGTCTAGCCTCAGGGCTGAAAGTAATGGATCCAAAGACTCAAACTCTGCCAGGACATGGCTGTAGGACTCCGCTATCACTGGCACAGAAGTCATTTAATCAGAAGGTTGAAGCTCGTTCCCCGATAGGCTCTGTTTCTTCAGTTGAACGAAACCTGCAAACATATAAAAAGCTCACCAGTCATTCCAACACTCATGTATTCAACGAATTCATGGCATCCACAGAAAACTGAGAAACATGAGCAAGGATTCTCACTCCGGAGGTGCTGTACACCTTAGGTGGAAAGAAAACACATACAGACACATTGTATGCAACAGTATGCTTGAACTCCGGTCTAACACTCCCAGAGCATTTGGTTCAGGTTCTCGGGGTCTTCCATAATTCTATCCCACTGGTTTACCTGATATCAGAGTCTATGAAATGAACCCTAGTTAAACCATCACATTGAGGGGCCGGAGTCTGACACCTGCCCTCAGCTCTTGATCCCTGCTTCCCGCTAGTGCAGACGCTGAGAGCAGCAATGACTGCTCAAGTCACTGGGTTCTTGCAAGCGTATGGGAGACTGGGATTGCATTCCTGGCTTCCAGTTTCAATCTCCGTCTCCAGGACCCTTGTGGGTAATTGGGGGGGTAAATCAGCAGACACAAGTTTTTTTCTCCCTTTCTCTCTCTTTCTCTAGATAAAATAACTAAAAATTTACTTTCATAAAAACTTTAAAGAAACAAAACTAGACAAATTACTCTGAGGTAAAACAGCAACTCCACTGCACTTTTTTGAATTGCAAATCGTCTCGTTTTGAGAAGTGGCTCACAAAATGTGATCTTCTAGAAAGGCCTCAAGTTATAAACCGTTTCGAGCCTTCTCCTACAGGCTAGCAGGGGTTTAGTAGTATGTTCAATGAGTAAGTATGTTGAATGAGTGCACCTACTAGGTGGGACATAAAGTGCAGAGAACAAAGGCAAAAAGAATACGAGGCTCACCAACAGAAATAAGGTAGGAACCAAGAGAAATGAGAATACTAGGTCCAAAACGCTAACTTACCAATGAAGGAATTTATAAACTAATAGAAGAGTGATCTGTTTGACTAATCTAACATGCACATCTTTTTGTTCCATGACACTGATTTCCAGCAAAAATAACTAAAATTTAAAGCAATTCCACCCATTACTGCTAACTTTTCCCAGTCCTTAGCTGCCTGTCAAGCTAATAACGGTACGGAAGACTTCAAAAATAATTGCTAGACTTAATCATTTTTATATTGCTTATGCATTGTTTTGTTGGGCTCTAATACTCCAGAAACACTGTATTCACTCATTTATTTATAATAGGCTTTCTTTACAAACAAATAAATCAATAATTTAAAAAAATATTTTTCATTTACCTGAAAGAGAGAGAGCGAGAGAGAGATATGAATCTCCTACGAATGATTTGCTGCCCAAATGCCAAAAATAGCCCAGACTGGGCAAAACCAAAGTATCAAGCACTGACCTGCTTCTGGGTTTCCAATGTGGGTGGCAGCGGACCGAATTCTATTTTTTTTTTTTAAGATTTATTTATTTTTATTGGAAAGGCAGATATACAGAAAGGAGGAGAGACAGAGAGGAAGATCTTCTATCCGATGATTCACTCCCCAAGCAGCTGCAACAGCTGGAGCTGAGCCAATCCGAAGCCAGGAGCCAGGAGCTCTTCCAGGTCTCCCACGTGGGTGCAGGATCCCAAAGCTTTGGGCCGTCCTCTACTGCTTTCCCAGGCCACAAGCAGGGAGGTAGATGAGAAGTGGAGCTGCCGGGATTAAAACCGGCGTCCATATGGGATCCTGGTGTGTTCAAGGCGAGGACTTTAGCTGCTATGCCACACCGCTGGGCCCAGGAATACATTGTTAAAAGGAAATACATAAATATAAATATAAATACTCCTTTGTATGCCTATACTCAAAACATTTGAGAATTCCTGATCAGAACCACCTTTCCTGAGTCTAGTCACCTATTCATTTTATAAATTATTCAGTAAAATAATAGGCAGTCACAATGATAAGAACTAGACAAGTAAGATAATTCCAGAAATCATTAAGTTTACAACCAAACAGGGAGTATAGGACAAATGCTACACACACACACACACACACACACACGCAGCTCTTTTAAGAGAAACAAAAGCCAAGTGCTTTGTTAGAACATAAAGGTTAGAGGGTCACGTTGAGTTATAGGGAACTGCAGACAACGTGGTAAAGGGAAGAGGCAGCGGCACAGAGCAGGCCTATCAGAAAGAAAAGGGAAGGACAGCAGATAGGGCAGAAATAAGCAAAGATATGGAGACAGAAACTAGAAGGATACATTGAAACTTACTAATTTAGCTTGGGGTTGGAACACAGGAAAATGGAGATTCTTTTTTTCTTTGTTAAGATTTATTTTATTTTTATTGGAAAGTCAAATACACAGAGAGAAAGAGAGACAAAGAGGAAGATCTTCCACCAGATGATTTACTCCCCAAGCAGTCGCAGTGGCTGGAGCTGAGCCAATCCAAAGCCAAGAGCTTCTTCCAGGTCTCCCCACATGGGTGCAGGGTCCCAAAGCTTTAAGCCATCCTTGGCGGCTTTCCCAGGCCACAAGCAGGGAGCTGGATGGGAAGGGGAGCCGCTGGGATTAGAACCGGCGCCCATATGGGATCCCAGCACATCCAGGGCGAGGACTTTAGCTGCTAGGCTACTGTGCCGGGCCCAATAATGGATATTCTAAAGATAAAGCTAGAATGGTCATTGCAATCCAAGTTACAAGATATAGAACCTCAAACCGGGGATCCTAACAGAACATAAACTTCATTTAGTAGGCATCAGCATGGCACTGAAAGATTTGGTGTTGGGGGCAGAGGTACACAAGTGCCATCAAATGTGGGTAGGAGCTGGAAAACAAGGAACTCTAGAAAAGGAGTGGGTGAGGAGGAAGCATAGACCAGGCAGTTCAGTTCAAGTCTCGTGGGAAAGGGGAAAACTTCTGACTTTCTAAACAGAGAGGACTTGAAAAACAGAACAGAACGGTAGCAAAACAACAGTATCTCTTCCACTTGTGATCTTCAAATAAAATCCTTAGATGAACAGGCCATTTCGCCTCGTTCTTAATGAGGACAGAAAGTTCTGGAAGTTATGATTCAATAACAGAGGGGAAAAGTAGGTTCTTACTTTAGTGAGACACAGTGAATGGAGATGAGATGGGAAAGAAACCAGCATTAACAATGCCCGTTCTCCAGAGGAGCTGCTGGGCAGCACTGTTACTGCCCTGAACTCTGTGATCATCATCTCCGGGACCTCCTAGTCTGGATTTATCCAGTCTTCAAGGCTCCACTTATTAACTCTCTTCCCAGAACTCCTGAGTTGGAGGAGGACTCACAGATAATTCAGTGGACGTCTACCTAATTCAGAACTTCATGTTGCCCTAGCCCATGGATCTTTTCAGCAAGTAGAAGTACGCACTCACAAAGTGACCTTATTCCACTGCATACTGCTCACTGTTGGAGAGTCCTTTTTAAAGAATACAGGCCTAAAATTTGGTCACTTAAAGGCTCACACCATTATGTCTCTACAGTTGCAGGAACTAATTTTACTCCTTTCAAAAACCCTTCAGTATTTATAAAACATAACCAAGTCCTCTTTCCAAATTTCTCTCTGCTCTGGCCAACCTTTTGCAGGGGGACTCAGTGTGCATGAGAACGCACTGCCTAGACTTGAACAGGATTCTCTGAAGCAGCTGGATGAACAGAAAATCGTATAGAAACACTCACCTGTCCAGCTTGGACACTAGGTTTCCGCATTACACACTAATATAGCATAGCTGTGTTTTCCAAATGGCCATCTCAGGCTGTTGATTTAACACAGCAGTCAACAAAAGCCCAAGGAAATATTCCATAAAAGACAAATAGGATCTTATTTGTCAGCATCTAGGTACAGTAACATTGAGCATAATTGGAAAGTTACTATTGGACTTAGCACCAGTGGCTTGCCTTGCACATAACAGGATCTTATGGGGGCACCAGTTCTAATCCTGACATTCCCATTTCCCTTCCAGCTCCCTTTTTGTACCCTGGGAAAGCAGTCAAGGATGGCCCAAAGCCTTGGAACTCGGCTCCCTCGTGGGAGACCTGGAAGAAGCTCCCGGCTTCTGGGTTTGAATCGATTCAGCTCTGGTTGTTGTGGTCACTTGGGGAGTGAATCATCAGATGGAATATCTTTCTCTCTGTCTCTCCTGCTCTCTGTAAATCTGCACACTACACAACTACACAACACAACTACTCAACAACCCAACAAATTTTTAAAAAAAAGATTTATTTATTCTTATTGGAAAGGTGGATATATAGAGAGGAGGAAGAGAAACAGACAGGAAGATCTTCCGTCCAATTGTTCACTCCCCAAGTGACTGCAATGCCTGGAGACTCTTCCGGGTCTCCCATGTGGGTGCAGAATCCCAAAGCTTTGGACCACCCTCTACTGCATTCCCAGGTCACAAGCAGGGAGCTGGATGGGAAGTGGGGCTGCCGGGATTAGAACCGGTGTCCATATGGGATCCTGGCACATTCAAGGCAAGGACTTAAACCACAACACAATTGTGCCAGGCCCAAAAAATAAATAAATCCTAAAAAACAAAAATCTTACCATGAAAAATTGCAAACTTAGACAAAAATAGGATAGTACAATGAACCATCATATACACCAACTATAACATTCTGTTGTTTGTTCTGAGCGTTTAAACTCCTAGGTGCTTTTTGTATCACATTGTGCTGTTTGTACTGAGTGTTTAAATTCTGGATACTTTTGATAACTGTTGTTGCATTTGATTAATAATAACTTTTTAAAAAGATTTTTTATTTGGAAAGGCAGATCTACAGAGAGGAGAGACAGAGAAAGATCTTCCATCCCCTGGCTCAATCCCAAATCACCACAATGGAGCTAGGCCGATCTGAAGCCAAGAACTAGGTGCCTCCGCCAGGTCTCCCACACAGTAGCAAGGTCCCAAGGCTTTGGGCAATCCTCCACCACTTTCCCATACCCCACAAGCAGGCAGCTATAGGGGAAGTGGAGCAGCTGGCAGATGAACTGACGCCCATATGCGATCCAGGGCACTTAAAGGGGGAGGATTAACCAATCAAGTCATTGTGCTGGGCCCTGCAATAAAGTTTTAAATGTACTTATAAAAAGCAAGCTTTCGGGGCCCGGCGCAATGGCGTAGTGGCTAAAGTCCTTGCCTTGAATGTGCTGGGATCCTATTTGAGCGCCAGTTCTAATCCCCGCAGCTCCACTTCCCATCCAGCTCCCTGCTTGTGGCCTGGAAAAGCAGTCGAGGACGGCTCAAAGCTTTGGGACCCTGCACCTGCGTGGGAGACCCGGAAGAGGTTCCTGGTTCCCAGCTTCGGATCAGTGCAGCACCAGCCGTTGCAGTCACTTGGGGAGTGAATCTTCAGACGAAAGATCTTCCTCTCTGTCTCTCCTCCTCTCTGTATATCTGACTTTGTAATAAAAATAAATAAATAAATCTTTTTTTTTTTAAAGCAAGCTTTCTACATCTCCCCTTCTTATAAATAATCTGATTCCTACTTTTTTCCGGCCTCATTGACCATCTTATTCTATTATCTGACTATAATGTGCTGTTTTTCTTTTTAAGAATTATTTGGGGTCCGGCATGGTGGCCTAGCAGCTAAAGTCCTCACTTTGAACGTGCAGGGATCCCATATGGTCTCCAGTTCTAATCCTGGCCGTCCTACTTCCCATCCAGCTCCCTGCTTGTGCCCTGGGAAAGCAGTCGAGGACGGCTAAAAGCCTTGGGATCGTGCATCTGACCTGTGTGGGAGACCTGGAGGAAGTTCCTAGCTCCTGGCTTCAGATCGGCACAGTACCAGCTGTCGCGGTCACTTGGGGAGTGAAGCACCGGACGGAAGATGTTACTCTCTGTCTCTCTTCCTCTCTATATATCCGCCTTTCCAATAAAAATAAACAAATCTTTTTAAAATAATTAATTGAAAGTCATAGCATCGGTAAGTGGGGAAGGGGGGAGGGGAGAAAGAGAAATCTTTAATGTGGGTAACACCGCAAATGCAGCAACAGTCCCGATCCAGGAACTCCATATGAGTCTCCCACATGAGTGGCAGGGTTCCAAGCACTTTACATCACCTGCTGCTTTTCCAGGTGTGTTAGCCACAAGATGGAGGGGAAGCAGAACAGCCACGACTCAAATAGGATGCCAGGTTTCCAAGCCTTGGCTTAATTTAACTTAGCTCTGTATCATCTTTTCTTTGGTTTTCACTGTGTAGACTTATTGCATTTGCTATGTATTGAGTCTTTCCACCATTTCACACAACCCTGTTTCTGCAAAGGTCAGTTTAAATGCTAGCTCCAAGCCTGTCACAGCTCCAGCTTAGCTAAAAGCCAAGCTCAAAGAAGGAGGCCATAAACGCTTACCAATTCAATGAAACTTCTTGGAGTAGTACATTCGCCCAGGAGTCAGAGCCCTCAGGAGAATGGGCTGACACTAGAACCCACTGCTCCAGAAGGCCGATCTCACCATCGTCCCAGTTCCCCAATCGCTTGATGGTAACAGGACTAAGCAGTGTCGGCTGCTCACGCAGGAGCGTTCTCTTCTGATCTAGAAAAGAGAAACGAAACATTATCTTATTATTATTATTTTAAAAATGTTCCAACAGAAAAGCAGCAGACTTTTCCATTCCCCAGTGGTATCTTTCTATCCAAGAAGTAATGATAAGAGAACTCATAGTTATCAGATCCGGGGACTCACTCAATTAACACAATCATTTACACAACGTTGAGAATGTCTACCAAGCTCCAGGCCCTGCAGGCCCCGCTGGAAATACTACGAACGAAATAGTCACTGACCACAAGAAGCTTTTCGCCTAGGGAGAACCTCTACCTTTTGCACAGCAATAACTTTAATAGCGAATTCAAATGTCCTGAGAGGAGGAGCCCCGGTGATCAGGTTTTCCAAGCCGGGCTCACAGCTCAGCAGCCCAGCAGTCTGCACTCCGCCCCGGGACATCCAGGCCGGCGGTTCGCACTTCCCTGATGGGATACTCCCTCGCGGTCAGTGTCAGGGCACAACAGCTGAGAGCGGAACCTGAACTTCATCTCCCCTCCGCCCCGCCTCGGCTTACGTCATCCATCAGCGCCGGGGACGCGCGGATAACGCCGTGAACGGCACTTCCTCGTCACGTGACCAGTGACGTCCCTTAGCGCGCGACCCCGCCCCTTCAAGCCGCCGTCGCAATGACGCTCCCTACGGCCTGCAGTCGGTGAGCTGCCGGGGGTTGAGGACACGGCGCTGGACTGGACCGGAGGAACTCTAGACCAAATGGGTGGTCCAGAGGGGGTGCCAGTATCCTTGAGCTCTCAAGGCCGGAGAGAGGAAACGAAGCAACCGGGAAACTGGGTGGGGAGGGAGGGAACCTGTGCAAGGTGTCATGGCGGCCGCGCTCCGTGGTCACGTGGCCCGCCGGCCCGCCTCCACACTTCCGGTCACGTGCCCTCAGAGCCCTCGCAGCCAGCGATGGAGGCGAGACCCCCCAGTAACAGAGGCGGTGGCTACGGCTGCGGCCACGGGGTCTCGGCCTCTTCTCTTCAGCGACTGTGAGAAGCGCCGCGGAGCCCTGCCCGAAGCTGCGCAGCTTCTTGATCCCTACCCTGGGCTGTGGCTTCCACCTGGTAAGTTTAGAACGAAGGATGGGGGGTGGGCAAAGCGGTCGGCGGGTGGGCGGTGAGCAGCCGACGGGCCCCGGGGGCCGGGGGACGGCGGGGATTCTGCCCGGTCTCCCTGCGTCGCTGTCGAGGCGGGCACGCTGCCTGAGCCCGCGGTCTCGTTTTGTGCTTTATGCCGCCGAAACGGGGAAGAAGCGACCGCTAACGTCCTGGTCGAGAGGAAGCCTGCCCTTCCCCCGAGAGCGGGGACTGGAAGGTTTGCCCCGAAGCCAGGGTCGGGCTTGCGGCGTGAGAAACTAGGAAGTGAGGCCTCCCGTGCCGGCTAGGGAACGTGCTCAGAGTGGGCTTCTCTGCAGAGGAGCCCTCAGCCTGGTGTCTGCAGCACTCGGCGCTGCCACCTGTCAGCCCTGCCGCTGTTCACCGCCTGAACGCCTGCGCCCAGCCGCACACCCAGTGCCGGTTCTGAGCAATGTGATCGTCAGGTAGTGAGTGAGAGAATGCGTGGATCATCTGTCCGTGGAATCACATAATTATTTTATCAATTTCCCAGTGTGCTCAAAAGCTAAATTGAGTAAGATACTGTATTCATTGGCGGTTAAATGCCCGTTTGGCATCCATGGAATGGGGATGGAGGAAAAATATACTTTTATCCATTGAAAGATTCCCTTTTTAGAACTGAAAGATTGAATGGTTTGAAATCTACCCCGCAGGAAGTGTTGGCTCCCTACAAACCGATATTCTCGCTCTCCAGGCATGTGACTTTAAGACATTTTAAGTAGTTTCCTCCAGTGTGAAACCGTAATATGTGGAATTACATGTCCTGGTGGCACTGAGTGTGTCAGGGCCGAGCCGCTGCACTCAGTCTGTCCCTGCCCCTGGAGCATGTCCTTGGAATACAGTTTGAAAGCCACCGGTCTGCACTCGCAGGTCAATCAACTGGTGCTGCCAGCCTCCAGTCTGTACTCATGCCTGTTCGTTTGAGTCTGTCTGGACTCTGAAAAGACGTTTGTACAATTAGCAGACCAAAATTCCTCGTTCAGAAAGAGAAAAGCAGTCTGTGGCCCTCAGCCGATCTTGGCTGATGCACTCATTGACAGGCTGGTGCCTCTCATGGGCATTATCACATACACATGGTGGTACAGACGTGTAAAAGTAATCCAAAGCACTTTACAAATGCAAAGGAGATTGGTGCAGTCCAGAAAAACTAGTTCAGAGTAAAGCAGGTCAATTGCCCCAGTTATTTGCAAATGCTTCTTTCTGTGTGCTGCCCTCAAGGCTCTGGCTCTCCTGCTGCCTGCAGTTCCATCGTGACAGGCTGCTTTCTCCAGGCACTCGCATCGGAATGCTAGCTGGCGCACCTTGAACTCATATTCTAGCCACCATTTCGGATAAGGCCTTCTTTCTTTGCATCTTTATTGCCTTCAGTGTTTCAGGGTCGGGTTTTCCTCTCCCTTTGAGTACCACCTGATTCCTCTTGATTATGGAAGTGTGCTGGTATCAGCATGCATTGTTTGGCAGTGGATGTGAGCTGGTTTCCTCTGTTACACATCTGCGTCGCGTTTCCCTCCTGCCTCTCCCTAAACTGCTGTAAGATGAAAAATAGAAGCACCACTTCAGTTAGACTCCTTGGTAGCTTCCTGTCCAGCAAACTATCCTTCAAACAGCACTTCTGGTCACTCTTGAGGTACTTCTGAGGTATTCTTTCCAGTAAGACTGAGTTACTAAACATGTTTTAATTGCTTGATGTCAAGCAGCATTCCTCATCTCCGTTTTCTGTGTTTCTGGCTAACAGCCTTGCAGCCATTTTCTCTCGAGCAGTCCTGCTGACAAAGGGGCGTGTGTCACTTGCCCTTCTCCCCCTCTGTTTATGTAGGCGTATAGATGATGCAGCTGTGGAGATCCAGTCATTGAAAGGTTGGTGCTCACTTGTTTCTTAAAGTGGTAGTCCTGTCTGTGAATTGAGATGGGTGTTACTTTCTGGGATTTAGCCAAGGATGCAGGTGCAGGGGGTTCCTGGGCCTCTTTAAACAATAACAGACCTAGTGTTTCAGGTGTTTTTTGGGTATGAATCCAGAGCTATGCTGTTGGGAGGGATATTTAAGTAAGCACCAAGTAACACGCTTGGCCTCTGCCTTCTCTTGTAAAGCTTGCAGTCTGAGGAGATGTATATCAAAATCATGATGTAAAAACTGAATTCTGGTAGAAATTGTGGTAAGAGCTGTGGATGGGAGACCTGGAGATCTTAGCTAGTAACTTTGAAGCCCATACTGAAAAAAGGAGTAAAAATTAGCTAGTTAATGGGGGAGAACCATAGGTGAGTATGCAGAGGAATATAGAGAGGCCCAAAGCAAAGCAGACAATCAGTTCTGAAAGTTTTTTTTTTACATATGCAAATTGTGCATACTTATGGGTAGTGTATGGTATTTCAATATGTATCTCTTCAAACAATGAATATTTCTTTGTGGTGAAAACATCCGAAGTGCTATCCTCTAGGGTATTTAAAATTTATTTGAGATAGAGAACATTAACACCATACTGTGCAGAAGAACTACAAAACTTCTTATGAATAACTGATTACTTGTTAATCACCTTCACACATCCCTGCTCCCGCTTCCCTCCTCAGCCTCTGATAACCATCATTATACTCAGCCTCCTCAACTTCGCTGTGTTCTTAGACTCCTCATGAGAGTGAGACAGTAAGTCTCTTAATTCATCTGCTAAGGGATTGTGCTATTTAAAGACATCTTGACATTATTTCATAAAGTAAATAATCTTTTAAGTCAGTCTAGCTCTTTAGTCACCTTATTTGTTTAAACATAGCCTGCATCAATATTATTTTTTGTAAATGGCTTATTCTGTGGCTCTTTTCAGAGTTCTGTTGGGAAGAAGTGTTTGTCAGCCAAGAAATCTCCCTTAGGAAAAATCTGGAAATCACAGAAATCATTGTAGGGTAGCACCGATGAGTCTGTTAAACCTGGTATTGGTTGTTGTGCCAGAACACAATTGATCAATTGTGCCTTGTGACCCAAAACTAAACTTTGAATTTTTTTTTAATTCCCCCAAACAAGTTTTATTATGAATGCTTTATGCATTGTATGTAAGAAGTTGTTTTTCCTAATTGATCTAAAATGACTGACTCAGAAGAATCAGCTCTACTATATTCCCTACTGACTGACTCATCTTTTCTCCCTTATCTTTCCAACTCTAAAGTTTTTCTGTCCGAATCATTGTCTGTAAGTGTAGTTAAAGGGGATTTTATCAGATATATCTGCTAGTTCATTGTCCAAATTGCCAAGCAGAAGGCAGAAGCCTGAAACTAGGTTCCCACGTGGGTGGCAGGGGTCCAAGTGCTCGGTCACCTTCCCTGCTTTTCCTGGCTCCTAGCCGCAGTTGATGAGGAGTGAAGCAGTTGAGTCTGAAACTAGAGTGCCTATGGAATGCTGGCATTGCAGGCCGGATGTAACCCTCTGCACCACAGTGCTAACCCCTAATTCATGTTTTCTGAAGTTTTTGTAATAACATTTAGTGTAGTTTTAACATTGTATGGGCAGGATATGCTGTTAAAATTAACACTTCCATGTATATTTTTAAAAATATGTTTAGAAGTTATAAGAACTAAAATATATATGTGTGTGTGTGTGTATATATATATATATATATATGGATGTATATTTATATATAGCCTGCCATGGTAACCTAGTGGCTAAAGTCTGCCTTGCATGTACCGAGATCCTGTATAGGTGCCAGTTTGTATCCCGGCTGCTCCACTTCCCTTCCAACTCCCAGCTTGTGGCCTGGGAAAACAGTTGAAAATGGCCCAAGCCCTTGGGACCCTGCACCCACATGGGAGACCTGGAAGAATCTCCTGACTCTTGGCTTTGGATTGGCTCAGCTCCAGCCACTGCAGCCAGTTGGGAAGTGAACCAGTTTATGAAAGATTTTTTTCTTTTCTCTGTCTGTCCTCCTCTCTCTATATCTGACTTAACAATAAAAATATATAAATAGTTTTTTAAAGGAATTTATGAAAAATGTGTGGTGATTTATATTTCTTAAAGCAAAAATCAGAGCAGGCAACACTTTCAATCTTACACTAACACCCCTACAGTTTCACATATTACCTTATAAACATGTGGTTTAATGGGACATAAGCTCCTGGGGAGACATTTTAATAACTGTTTCTCATTATTTGCACGTGTTTATTGTAGATAGTAAAAGACAAGGCAAACACTCATTCCCTCTGTATTTCTATCACCTATGGATATTTGCCATTAAATAGGTGTCTCTTTCCAGTCACATACATGTGCAGAATAATACAATTGAACCCCAAGGTCAGGCTGACCCAGATTGATACCTCTGCTGTTTCCTTGATGCTTTGGAAAAGTGTCTTGATTTCTCAGACCCAGTTTTCATGTCTACAGAATGGGACTAAAAATAGAACCTTTCTTATGACATGATCACTGATGCAGGACTGAATAACATGACTATAAATTAATCCAGTGTCTAGCACATTAGTAAATCATTCAATAAATTTAAGTAGCTTTTTTGGGGTTTTTAAAAAAGTAAGGAGTCAGATATCTGCCTAGTGGTTAATAATCCAGTTACTCTTCACCTGGCAGATATATGACTGAACAGACTAGGCTGGCATCTGCCATGTCAGCATCTTAGCAGACTGCTGGTTCACATCCTGGCTACTCTGCTGATGTTACTGGAAAGCAGCAGGAGAGGGCTGGAGGGAGGAAAATTGACTGAAAAGAAACGTGAGGAAACTTTCAGGGATAATGGAATTCTATTATTTTGATTTAGGTAATGGTGTGTGTAATTCTCAATGCATGAGAAACACTTAAAGGGTGTGTATTTGTTTGTTATATGAAAGTTAAATTTAAAAATATATATATATATTTGAATATGGTGAACCTTTGTTAACAAGACCTCTCATGTGAACAATTCTCTTGGTCCCAACTCAGAATATTTGAGGGAAAGGGTCTTCACACAAGTTTGATGAACTGACAACACATATGCACCTGTCTTGCTCATTGGACTGAAAGCCCTTTGCTTTAAAGACTTTTTTTTTTTTAATTGGAAAGGCTTATTTACAGAGAGAAGGAGAGGGACAGAGAGTAAGATCTGAATCTGCTGCTTCAGTCCCCAAATGGCCGCAGTAGCCACAGCTGAAATGATGTGCAGCCAGGAGCTTCTTCTGGGTCTCCCACATGGATACAGGGGCCCAAGTGTCTGAGCCATCTTCTGCTGCTTTCCCAGGCCATTATTATAGGGAGCTAGATCAAAAGTGTAGATGTCTGGACCTGAGCCAGTGTTTATATGGGGTAGTAACTTACACTGCTAGGACAAACTGCTGGCCCCAAGATTGCACAGTTTAACTTTGTATGCGTCTGACCAGCACTGTGGTGCAGTACTAGAATCCCATGTGAATACAAGTTCAAAATCTAGCTGCTCTGTTTCTTGTCATCTCCCTGCGGATGGCCTGGGAAGGAAGCAAAGAACAACTCAAGTCCTTGGGATGCTGCACGTGTGTGGGAGACCCAGAAGAAACTCCTGCTCCTGGCTTTGGATCAGCTCTATCCTAACCATTGTGGCCATTTGGAGAGTGAACCAGCAGATGGAAGATCTCTATCTCCTCTCTCTGCCTTTCAAATAAAAACATTTTGAAAGAAACAGTGAAGGGCCTGGTGCAGTAGCCTAGTGACTAAAATCCTCTCCTTGCACGTGCTGAGATCCCATATGGGCACCAGCTTCCTTCCCATCAAACTCCCTGCTTGTGGCCTGGGAAGACAGTTGAGGACGGCCTTGTACCCACATGGGAGACTCGTAATAGACTTCAGGCTCCTTGCTTTGAATTGGCTCAGTTTTAGCCATGACAGTCGCTTGGAGAGTGAATCATCAGACAGAAGATCTTCCTCTCTGTCTCTCCTCCTCTATATATCTGACTTTCAATTTTAAAAAAAAAGATCTTTAAAAAACAATAAAAGAAGCAATGAAAATGACGTAGCATTTTTAAAATGTCTATTTTGGGCCCAGCATGATAGCCTAGTAGCTAAATCCTCACCTTCCATACACTGGGATCCCATACGGGTGTCTGTTCATATCCTGGCTGGTCCACTTCCCATCCAGCTCCCTGCTTGTGGCCTGGGAAGACAGTTGAGGACGGCCCAAAACCTTGGGACCCTGCACACATGGGAGACCCAGAAGAAGCTCTTGACTCCTGGCTTCAGATTGGCTCAGCTCTGTCCGTTGTGGCTGCTTGGGGAGTGAACCAGCAGATGGAAGATCTTTGTGTCTCCTCTCTGTAAATCTGACTTTCCAGTATAAATTTAAAAACCTTTTTTACAAAATTTTAAAATCTGTTTCAGTGAAAAAGAAATAATGGTATTTTACACCCAGTGATCACAAGTTAATCCTGTGATATGGTTTAAAAAGTAACTTATTTTTGTTTTTCAAATAGCACTTTACAAGAATTGTTCATTTCTGTTGTTTCTAATGTCTGCCACTTTACCCAGTGCTTGTTTTCCCATTTTGTCTAAAGAGAAGTACACCCTAGTTTTTTTTTTTTTTTTTTAATTTACTGTATTTTTATTGCAAAGTCAGATATAGAGAGGAGAGAGAGAGGGGAAGATCTTCATCCCGATGATTCACTCCCCAAGTGACTGCAATGGCCAGTGCTCTGCCGATCCGAAGCCAGGCAGCCAGAAACTTCTTCCCAGGTCTCCCACGCGGGTACAGGGTCCAAAAGCATTGGGCCGTCTTCGACTGCTTTCCCAGGCCACAAGCAGGGAGCTGGATGGAAACCGGTGCCACATGGGATCCCAGCGCATTCAGGGCAAGGACTTTAGTCAGTAGGCCACCACGCCAGCTCCCTTCCCTAGTAATTTTGAATAATTAAATGCAGATCCAATATTTCACTGTTCTGTTTGTTTTAACCTCTAGGAAACCTTTCCCTTAAAGGTTTGCTTGTTAGTTCATTGCCAACTTAATTCTTACAGCTAAATATGCTGACTTCTCAAAAATTACACTCTAAATTGTTCTTGAAGAAGTACTGTTTTTATTTTAAGATTTCTTTATTTTTATTGGGAAGGCAGATTTATAGAGAGAAAGATCTTACATCTGCTGGTTCATTCCCCTGTTGCCACAGCAGCTGGAACTGAGGTGATCTGAAGCCAGGAGCTCTTTGGTTGTTCACCCACACGGATGCAGGGTCCAAGGCCTTGACCTTCCTCCACTGCTTTTCCAGGGCATAAGCAGAGAGCTTATGGATCAGAAGTGGAGCAGCCAAGACTAATACCGGTGCCCATATGAAATGCCCACACTTGCAGATGTAGTATTAGCCAGTTGAGCCCCTGTGCAGGCCTCAGAAGAAAATTTATTACATTAAACCATCCCTTTGTATGAAATACAAAGTCATATCTTAACTAAAATTAGCATATCTGTGACATTTGTACTACAATTTTGTCTGTCCTGTCCTGTGGCAAACATCACCATCAATTTTGGCACCTTTCGAAGCAGAGTTATTGAGCTGCCCTCTGAAGCGTTTAAGTGTTGATGTCCCGGTTTGTTTTGCAGAGTATAGAACTTAATCTAGGAATCATGAAATTTGGATGTGATTTCTTCTGTGAATGTAGTTCTGGGAAAAGCATACAAATTCTGTGGACTTTATTTTTTCAGTTAAAACCTATTTGACCCGGGCCCGGCGCGGTGGCACAAGTGGTTAAGGTCCTCACCTTGCACGCCCGGGATCCCATATGGGCGCCGGTTCTAATCCCGGCAGTCCCACTTCCCTTCCAGCTCCCTGCCTGTGGCCTGGGAAAGCAGTCAAGGACGGCCCAAGGCTTTGGGACCCTGCACCCGCGTGGGAGACCCGGAAGAGGTTCCTGGCTCCTGGCTTCGGATCGGCATAGCATCGACCGTTGCGCTCACTTGGGGAGTGAATCATCGGACGGAAGATCTTCCTCTCTGTCTCTCCTCTCTGTATATCCGCCTTTCCAATGAGAAAATAATAAAAATAAATCTTTAAGGGCCCGGCGCGGTGGCGCAAGTGGTTAAAGGTCCTCGCCTAGCACGCCCGGGATCCCATATGGGCGCCAGTTCTAATCCCAGCAGCCCCGCTTCCCTTCCAGCTCCCTGCCTGTGGCCTGGGAAAGCAGTCGAGGACGGCCCAAAGCTTTGGGAACCTGCACCTGCGTGGGAGACCCGGAAGAGGCTCCTGGCTTCGGATCGGCATAGTATCGGCCCGTTGCGCTCACTTGGGGAGTGAATCATCGGACGGAAGATCTTCCTCTCTGTCTCTCCTCGCTGTATATCTGCCTTTCCAATGAAAAAATAATAAAAATAAAAAAAAATCTTTAAAAAAAAAAAAAAGAACAAATGTGTATTAAAAAAAAAAAAAAATCTATTTGACCTGAATTTAGTCCTATGTTCAAAGTCATAAATGGAAACTCCCCTGATATGTGGAAATGCTCTGGAAAACTGAACCATGTGTATTGGTTAAATTCACATGTGAGGTATGAACAGAATAGAATTTGTCCTGGAAGATGCCACACAACTTTTTAACTTTGGATGGGAGAAGACTTTTTTCTTCTGAGTTTCTAGTTTAGACTTTAGATTGAGAAGGGACTCTGACAGTCAAGAAATCCAGTCCTAACTGATGCTTGAAATTTTTTCTTGATTTTTTTTTTCTCTACTAGCATCTTCTAAACCATTATGGCAACTTCCTCTGAAGAAGTGCTGCTGATTGTGAAGAAGGTGCGTCAGAAGAAGCAGGATGGAGCGCTGTACCTCATGGCAGAAAGAATCGCTTGGGCACCTGAAGGCAAAGATAGATTTACAATCAGCCATATGTATGCGGACATTAAATGTAAGCCACCTGGACTGAGACCTGATATGTGTTTGTCATATTTGTTGGTAGTTTTGTACAAAGGTTTGTTATACCATCTTTATGGTTTTTAAGTTTTATATTCAAAAGATCAACCATTCTAGAAACACTCTGATCGTTGAATTGTATACTCTATGTAACTTTTTTCACTTAATAATGGAGTGTGTGTAGGTTCACATGTGTCAGATTAGCTCAGAAAAAAATCTCCACCCACACATACTTTAAGAGTTCTGTATTTTGCAGCCAGCCTTGTTCCACAGCAGGCTAGGCTTTTGACTAATGCCAGTGCCCCATAAACAGCAGTTCGAGTCTGGCTGCTGCTCTTTGGGATGGCAGCAGAAGAGGACTCCAGTGCTTCAGCTCCTGCCATGTATGTGAGGAGACTTAGATCGAGTCCAGGCTGCTTGCTTCAGCCCAGTCCAGGGGTGGTTGTTGGCAGCCATTTGACAAGTAAACCAGCAGATGGAAGATCTCATTCTGTTTCTCCCCCTTCTCTCTGTTTTTCAAATAAGTAAGTCTGTTTCTAAAAAGTAATTGCTTAGTGTTCCACAGAATGGGGTGTACAGTTGCATGGTTATCCAGTATTTCATTGAATGATGATTAGGAACTTTGAAAGATTTCATTATTATAATTGTGTTACATTAGATTTGTATAGAACTATATCTGTTCAAGGTTGCATGGGGAGGATCCTTCTCTGCCATGTTTTTACTGGTTAAAATTATGTGGTTTTGTTTGATTTTATGATTTAATTTATTTGAGAAGTAGAGACAGAGGGAGGGTGGGGAGGAGAGATTTCCCATATCCTGATTCACTCCCCAAATGCCCAGTGGCCAAGAAGCCAGGAACTGGTCCAGAGACCCAAGGGCTTTAGCCAACCTTTGCTGCCTCCTAGGACTTGAGTTAGCAGGAAGCAAGAATCAGAAATGGATCTGGAGCCAAGCACACTACTATGGGATATATGAGTATTCCAAGTGCTGTTGTAACTACTATTCCAAATGCATACCTCAGATTCATGCATTTGAGATATTGTTCAATGATAGCAGTTGTCCTTCAGTAAGATTTTCCATTTAAATGAGTTGTCTAATCTTTGATTATGAAGCCATTGTTGTGAAGATAGGCTCAACTTTCTGCTGAATATAGATGGAATACAGAGCATATTGCTTTTTTTTCTTGTTAGAGATTGCTTGTATAAAGACTAAAATCAAAACCTCTTCTGTTTATGAATTTGCAGGATGAACTTTGAATTTTATTACTCAGAGATTTGATACTTTTGGCTCAGTCATAATAAGATTTTTAAAAGCACCAGGTGAATCCTGGAGTTTAGAACCTTGGCTGTGACAGGGATTTCAACAATTCACCTGACGAGATCTTGAATAACAGAGGCTTAGGAGAGGCTAGACAGCTTCCCCTTGTTGTGGTACCTGTGACATTATTAAGAATTGCTCTCTTTCCCTGGATATAAGATTGTCTAGATAAAATCAAGGGTGGATTTCCAGCAACATGACACCTCAAAGTAGAGAGCCTTCAACTTGCAGGTGCTCTATTTACAAATGCCTGTTGATAAATAACTGTCATACGCAAAGGATTTACCTCTGCTTTGCTGCTGGAAATCACCAAGTTCTCTTATCTACTGAAGTAACTTAGAATCTTAATTTTCTAAAGCAAAACAAAATTTTTTTCAGTGCTAACTTGTATGACCTGTTCTCTGGTAAAAGTTTGTTTCTGTGGAAAAAAACTCCTCAGTTTCCAGTTGCAGTGTTACAGACTTAACAGTAAACCTAAAAGTTGAAACTGAGGCCTTCGTTATGGCGCAGCATGTACAAGCTGCCACTTACAATGCCAGCATCCCATATGAGTCCCAACGCACAGGTCTTCCACTTCTGGTCCATCTCCCTGCTGATGTGCAGAGGTTGGCCCGAGTGCTTGGGTCCCTGCATTAATGTGGAGGACCCAGGTAGAGTTCCAGAGTCCTAGTTTCTCCCTGGCCCAGCCCCGGCCATTGTAGCCATTTGGGGAGTGAATCAGCAAATAGAACATCTCTGACTCTGCCTTTCAAAGAAGTTAAGTCTTTAGAATTTAGAAAAAGAAGATTGTGGTGAAGGTAGCATGACTAAGTCCTTACGTTGCATGCACTGGGATGCAATATGGGCTCTGATTTGTGACCTGGTTGCTCTACTTCCCATCTAGTCCCTGCTTGTGGCCTGGGAAAGCAGTAGAGGACTGCCAAAAGCCTTGGGACCCTGCACACATGTGGGAGAACCAGAAGAAGCTCCTGGCTCCTGGCTTCTCGCCTCAGATCGACTTAGCTCCATCATTGCAGCCACTTGGGGAATAAACTAGCAGATGGGGAATCTTTCTATCTGCCTTTGTCTATAAATCTGCCTTTCCAATAAAAAGTAAAATAAATCTTAAAAGAGGGTATTATCTATATTAACATTTTCTTTTTTTAATGTTGTTTTGATTTATTTATTTTTATTGGAAAGGCAAAAATATACAGAGAGGAGGAGAGACAGAGAGGATGAGCTTCCGTCCAATGACTCATTCCCCAAGTGGCCACAACGGCTAAAGCTAGGCTAGTCTGAAGTCAGGAGCCTCTTCTGGGTCCCCCACGTAGGTGCAGGGTCCCAAAGCCCTGGGCCATCCTCAACTGCTTTCCCAGGCCAATACCAGGGAGCTGGGTGGGAAGTGGAGCTACTGGCATTCAATCCAGCGCCCATGTGGAATCCCATTGCATTCAAGGAGAGGGCTTTAACCACTATGATATCGCGCCGGGCCTCAATATTAACATTTTGTTATTAAGAGCTATCCCTGGACTCGGTGAATAGTGTAGTGGTTAAAGTCCTCTCCTTGCGCACACCCGGATCCCTTATGGGCACTGGTTCAAATCTCAGCAGCCCCACTTCCCATCCAGCTCCCTGCTGTGGCCTAGGAAAGCAGTCAAGGACAGCCCAAAGCCTTGGTACCCTGCACCTGCATGGGAGACCCAGAAAAGTTCCTGGCTCCTGGCTTCGGGTTGGCTCAGCTCCAACCGTTGCAGCCACTAGGGGAGTGAATCATCAGATGGAAGATCCTTCTCTCTGTATCTCCTCCTCTGTATCTTCCTTTCCAATAAAAATAAATAAATCTTTAAAAAATAAAAAGCTATTTCTGTGGTTATGTTAAAAAGTAAAAATCATTGTGGTAAACCATAGTTGATGGTAAAGAACATGCCCATGACCCATTCAACATTCTTAGGGCAGTGCATACTGAAATTTCGGTCTATACCAAACAGTTTTGCTTGAAAGAATGCCCATTTTCTGAAGAAACCATGGCAAGTTATCAATATTGAATGACTAACGTGAAAAATCACCATGATTCTTGTCATATCTGAAGTTATCTAGTTAAAAAGAAAGACTAGGACCCTTAAGCAGCACAGTCCCAAGATAACAAAGTATTTCATCTAAACTGTGACTGTAGAAGCATCATCTTATTGTCCAGGTTTCAGTTAAAGATTTAGTAGAAGGATTTAGGCTGAGATGACAAATCTAGGCATTGTCTCTTACAGCTGTGATCACCCCATTCATGAAACCAAGTCCTCCATCTCTGTCTCCCTAATGAAGACAGAAAACACATCTGTTCCTGGGGTCCTTGCTTCAAAAAAGTACAGTTCTTGATTGCTTAGATAACAGCCCCCAGGTGTTTATTTATAAAAATCCTCAGAGTTAAAGAAAAATTTAAGGGTGGTATAACGGAAACCTAAACAGTATACCTCAGACACTGCAGGAGTTATTGTACCATATTTAGTCAGTTTTATGTACCTGTTACTGCGTATCATAACACTAATACATTTCAATAATGTATAGCTCTTTGTTGCGTTTCCTTAATTGCCTGTGTAATTTCTTGTATAGGTGTAATTTGGGAGGATTTCCCCCTGAAACTTTATTCAATTTAAGTGTGTATAATTATAATCTCTCTCTTTTTTTTAATATATATGTATGTATTTGAAAAGCAGAGAGAGAGAGATGTTCTGTCTGCAAGTTCATTCCCCAAAAAGTTGCAGTAGCCCGGTCTGGGGCAGCTAAGAGCCTGGAGCTCCACTCAGGTCTCCCATAAGGTGGCCATTATACTTGAGCCATTATCTCATGGTTGTCAAGTAAACCACCAAGAAACTGGAGTGGAAATAGAATAATGAAATTTGAGCTGGTACTCCAAAAATGGGTGTGTGGGCATTTCAAACTACATGTTAACATGCTATGCCATAACACATGCCTGGGTTGTGATCTCTGAGTTGTGTCTATTTCTGAGTAAAGTGTTGACTTGTAGAATGACACATTTTCTGGCTTTGTCTGTCTACTTAAATTTGTTCCTGTACACCTAGTTTTCTTATAAACTAAAAGACCTAAAGGCTTGATTATATTCACACTCAACACTGGGGACAGGAATAACTCATAGGTGGTGTTGTTTACTTTCTATTCTGTCACCTCAAAAAGCACTTACTACCAACTTGTGAGAAGGCTGTTTGAGTATTTGATTGAAGTGATGACAACAGATCCTGCAATTGTGAAATACCCTGTTTTCCTTTGTTGTTATTAAGTCATGGACTTTAATTTTGCAATCCTTGGATCCTGATAAGTCATTTCACTTGGAATAATGTTGATGACCATTGTTTAGGGTGTTTTGGATGTAGAGTGTTTGGAGATGGGGGGGGAACTGAGTGAGATGTTCCTCCAGAAAGGTAACGGAAGAGGTGAAACAGTGTTAGCAGTGGATTTATGTAGTAATACTCTGGTTGTGTGAGATTATTTCAGAAGAGTTCATTATTGTAAAGATACCAAGAGGGCAACAGGGCAGCTGAAACCCAAAGGAATCCCAGGTCTTCTTGTGAAGAGAGATAACCAACTACACAGCAGTTTCTTCAATGAGAATGTTCTCTTCTAATTAGCCTCATGCTTCTTTTTAGGCCAGAAAATCAGTCCAGAAGGAAAAGCAAAAATTCAGCTTCAGCTGGTCCTGCATGCAGGGGACACAACAAACTTCCACTTTTCCAATGAAAGCACAGCAGTGAAGGAGCGTGATGCGGTAAAGGACCTGCTGCAGCAGCTGCTGCCCAAATTTAAAAGGAAAGCAAACAAAGAACTGGAGGAGAAAAACAGGTGAAAGGAAAATGCTAGGAGTTAACTGGGTGTTCTTTAGTCTCCTATTCAATAGCTTATTCAACCTCTTTGCACCTTTGCTGTGATATTGTAATACAGAAAAATACAAACTTTGGCTGTTGTATCTAGTACCTCTGTGTTTGGTTCTCAACTACTAACATCTTACAAATCTTTAACTTTGGACAAATGAGAATTGCAAACCCAGCAGTTCCATTGACTGCATCAAACCTAACATCTGACCAGCAGCATAATTGAAATGAGAAGATGTTGTGGTCCCTTAATTTATTTTCCCAGTTCTCTGAAGGAGAAGGGAGGAATTCTTATACCTATAAAACTGTATCATGGAAAATAATAGCATTAAAAAATTTTTAGAGAATCATTACAAAAATGTTTGTGAACAAAAAATTTGAAAGTATCTGAAGTCTGAAAAGGGGAAGCGACAGGAGACCTACTGATCAGGTCAACTTTTCCATCACCAATCCATGTCGGAGTTCCCTATACTGATGACCATGGAAACTTAGTGCTGCAAAATCTCAGGCATACCACCTCACCCCATGCGGCATTTGTGAGCGAGAATGCACTTTAGACAGATTATAGCCACAGTGATCTTTACCACTGGGCTACAGAGAAAACAGACGTCCAAATCCCTGCCCTCAAAGAGTTTAGTCTTGATTTCTTCCCCACTTCATTTGTTCTTCCAAAAACAGGGTTTTTGCTGTGGATCAGCTGCTCAGTCATCAAAAAGAATTGCATTTCGATGTTCCATGTTACTAATGTTTTACCTAAATGTCTTACTGTAGAAATTTAACTATATTCAATGTATTCTATCACCAGAATGCTACAAGAAGATCCTGTTTTGTTTCAACTCTATAAAGACCTGGTTGTGAGTCAAGTGATCAGTGCTGAGGAGTTCTGGGCCAATCGCTTAAATGTGAACACCGCAGACAGCTCTTCCACAACCACGCAGAAGCAGGATGTTGGTATCTCTGCAGCATTTCTGGTAGGTGACCCCTTCAGATTTCTCAGACAGAAAAAGTATTAACCCTAGTACATGTGAACAACATTTTAAAAATATATACATTTTAAAACTTCGTATTTCTTTTTATTGTGTTTTCTTGATTTTTAGAGTTGATCCTAGCTTGCTGGGTCAGAATTATTCTTCTGATAATTTTTAAACTTAGAGCTTTCTGGTTTTTGTTTAAGGATTTATTTATTCTGTTGAAAAGGCAGATTTGCAAAGACAGACCTTCCATCCACTGATTTAGTCCCCAAATGGTCAGAGCAGAACTGATCTGAAGCCAGGAGTTTCTTCTGGATCTCGCACGTGGGTTTAGGGTTCCAAGGTCTTGGGCCATTATCCTCCCCTACTCTCCCTGACCATAAACAGGGTGCTGGATGGGAAGCAGGACAAATGAGACAGGGGCCAGCACACATATGGGATGCCAATGATTGAGCCATTATGCCAGCCCCCTCTGATATTTTTTAAATGATTGATACATTGTAGTTTAATACAAAGTTGTGTAATGACCACAGAAAAAAGGGAATTCCTAACCCATAAGATTAGAAAAGGAAGTTGGCTTAGTCTGCACTCCAGTGAACCCAGAGTGTTATTTACATTGTCAACAAAAGGTTAACACTTATGGCTGGGATCCCATATGGGCACTGGTTCTAATCCTGACAGCTCTACTTCCCATCTAGCTCCCTGCTTGTGGCCTGGGAAAGCAGTTGAGGACAGCCCAAAGCGTTGGGACCCTGCACCCACATTGGAGACCTGGAAGGGCTCCTGGCTTTGGATCGGCACAACACTGGCCATTGCGGTCACTTGGGGAGTGAACTATCGGAGGGAAGATCTTCCTCTCTGTCCTCCTCTCTGTATATCTGCCTTTCCAATAAAAATAAATAAATTTTTTATTAAAAAAATTACCATTTGAATGTTTTGTGTTCCGGATGCTTAGTAGTGAATTGAATTGAGAAGACCTTTCCTAAAAGATCTCATCACTTAATGTTAATTTAATTATTAAACAAGGTTTATACGAGTTAGGAAGCTGCTTAAGTTTTATATCAAAGATTCAGTCTCTGCCTTTGCTCACACTTAATGCATGTTTGACTATGTTGGACTTTCAAAGAAGCATGGTTATAGATCAGTAAGACTGAAAACCAGTCTAGGCTTCTTTGAATTCTGTCTCCATGCAAGAAATGAAGGTGAGGGACTTAGCTGTCTCCATTCAATTAGAAAATCATTTTCTACCTTTGTCTAATACCTGTTGGGAGTTTATACATAGTCCCTGATACTCTTAATATATATAAAACTATGCATCTCTCTGTGGTATTTGTTTTAGGCTGATGTCCGGCCCCAAACAGATGGCTGTAATGGCTTGAGATACAATTTAACTTCTGATATCATTGAGTCTATATTTAGGACTTACCCAGCAGGTAAGAGGAAGCAGATTGATTAAATATTTGGATGAATTTTATTACCAGCAAAGAGCAAAAAGTTTTTTCTTTATTCCTAATCAAGTGCAGTAAAATATATATAATACTTTACCCAGTGTTTGACCTGTGGTAGTGACTGAGGGCTGAGTAAGTAATTTGCTAATCACTATCATCAGTTCATTGCTTTGATGACCTTTCCGTTCTTTCCATCAATGATAGGCTTCGTCCTCAGCATCCTTAGTATAGTGACATGCACAGAGGCTTCAGCAAATGTGACTCCACAGCACTAAGGTCACCCCATAGACTTCATCCTAATGGACTTTTCTGGCTCAAATCCTTTCCCATGTTGCCACCATACTAATAGTAGACGAACCTTGACTGCAGGGTAAGACTGACTAGGCAGTGCACCTTAAATTATATTCTGTTCTTTCTTCCCACTTTCCCAATCCATCCCATATTGTCCTTAATAAATGCCTTTCCCTCAGGCAAAATCTGCTTACAAAATCCTTACTTCCTCAGACAAATATAAGCCCCTTCTACTTCTGTAAAGTTAGTCATCATGTAATTATTTCAGAATTTTTCTGATGGTAATAAAATCAAAAATTTTTTAAATTTTATGATGGCGACATGCAGTGTTAACTATTATGCCAGACATTGTTCTAAGACCTTTTTCTATATTAACTCATTTAATCATCACAAATACCCTATAAAATGGTAAGAGCTATGACTCACTTCAGAAATGAGAAAACCACAATACAGAGACACTGAAATAACAAGCCCAAAGTCACACAGATAGAAGTTGGCAGACCTGTAATTTTAAATTCAGCTCTGGGGCAAGAAATCAGACTGTTGACCGCAGAGTTCATAAGACTATGTTTCTAAAGTGCTGAGCTGATCATAGTCCATTAGGAATTGGGATCTTCACTTTCCCCTCATCTAACAGCACCAGGGTTCGAAGGCACACAAATATGAATGATGAAGCACACCAAGATCTCAATCTTAGATTCTTGGTGTTTCTAGTAAAACTTCATAACTTAATCATCTTAGTGCAAAATAAGATTTTTTTTTTTTTAATTTTAGATTCATCTTATTGGTTTTTGTATAATGCACAGTGTAAAACTGAGGGCAATTTTTGGTTATGAATCTTCTGTTGTTTAATTTGAGAGATCATAAGAATTAGAAATTCAGTGTGTAACTTATGACTTTGTTCTCCACAGTAAAAATGAAATATGCAGAAAATGTTCCTCACAACATGACAGAAAAAGAATTCTGGACACGGTTTTTCCAGTCCCATTATTTTCATAGGGACCGGCTGAATACAGGGTCAAAGGATCTCTTTGCAGAGTGTGCCAAAATAGATGAGAAAGGTAACTTCATCCTTGATTCACTAGTACTAATCAGTAAAGCTGTAATGAGGGATGGATGTTTGGTGTAGCAGTTAGGATGCTGAGACCTGTGTGACCCCTGCTGGAATGTCTGGGTTTGGTCCAGCTTCACTTTGACTCTTCAGCTTCCCGCTGACGTGCACTCTGGAAGTTGCAGATGGTTGCACAGATACTTAGGTCCCTGCCACCCACATGGCAGACTTTGGTTGGAGTTTTCAGCTCCTTAGCTTTGGCCTCACCGAACCGCAGCCTTGGGGCATCATGAAAGTGAGCTGGTACATGAGGGAGCTTTTTGTCTCCCTCTCTCAGATTCTGTTTCTCAGCCTGTCAAATAAGATACAGAAAAGGCTTTAATGAAATGTGTTCACTTTCTGAGAAAGACAAGATATGATCAACCTGTTGTGTTTACTTTATAGGATTAAAAACAATGGTTTCATTGGGAGTGAAGAACCCACTGCTGGATTTGACAGCTTTGGAGGATAAACCATTAGATGAGGTAAGAGGCAGTAACTGGAGTCTTTGACTGAAATCCTAGTCATTATCATGTTTTATAGTTTTTAAATTACCTTAAGGGCAGATGTCCTACCTGAAAAAACAAGCAGAATGCTGCTCTTTGGTATAACCATTTAATGGCTTCTCATAGAACTTGGAATAATATGAAAACCATTGCCTGGAACGGGTATTTGGTGTAGTACTTAAGATGCCTCTTGTGGGAATGGCATTGTAGTGCAACACATTTGTGCATCACTTAAACTACTAGCACCAATGTTGGAATGTCAGTTTGAGCACCAGCTACTTCCCTTCTGATCTGGCTGGGAAGGAGCAGATGATGGCCCCAGTACTTGGGCCCCTGCTACCCATGTGGAAGACAAAGATAGACTTCTGACTCCTGGCTTCAGCCTGGCAGCAGATGGGAAGATGCCTTTCAAATCTTTTTTTTAAAAAAACATTATTTATAGTTACTGAAAGGTAGAGAGAGAACTCCCAACCACTGGTTCATTGCCCAAAATGCCTGTTAATAGTTGGTGCCGGGACCCGGCGCAGTACCCTAGTGTCAGAAGTCCTCGCCTTGCTCACTCCGGAATCCCATATGGACACCATTTCATGTCCCAGTGACCCTGCTTCCCATCCAGCTCCCTGCTTGTAGTCTAGAAAGGCAATCTAGAGGGTGGCCCAGGGCCTTGGAACACTGCATCCGCATGGGAGACCTGGAAGGGACTCCTGGCTCCTGGCTCCTGACTTCAGATCTGCATAGCTCCGGCCATTATGGCTCTTTGGGGAGTGAATCAATGGATGGAAGATCTTCCTCTCTGTCTCTCCACCTCTCTGTATATCTGACTTTCCAATAAGATTAAGTAATCTTAAAAAAAAAAATACTTAGGGCAATGCCTGGTCAAACCTAGGAGCCCAGAGTTTTTCCAGGTCTTTCTGGAAGTGAATGCAGAGTCTCAGGCAGTTGGGCTGTATTCCATTACTTTTCCATACACATTTGCAGGGATATGGATCTAAAGTGAAGCAGGCAGGACTCTAGTCAGTGCCTGTGTACGATGCCTGCCCCTAAATAAATGTTAAAAAGAAAACAAAAAAGAAGTAACTGCATCCTGCATTGGGGTGCTTGGATTTGAGCCCAAGCCCTGCTCCTAAATCCAGCTTCTTGCCAGTTCATTCCTTGGGAAACAGCAAACAATGCTTCAAGAAATGGGTTGAGTTCCCAGCCTCTGGCCTTAAGGTGCCCCAGCCCTGGCTGTTGTCTTTTGGAGAGTGAACTAGTGATTCACAGATATTTTTGTTTTTATATCAAATACACATACACATACACACACACCATACATACTTTTTTTTTTAAGATTTATATTTATTGGAAAGACAGATTTCCAGAGACGAGGCGATACAGAGAAAAAGATCTTCTGTCCACTGATTCGTTCCCTCGCTAACTGGCTACAGCTGCCAGAGCTGAGCCAGTCTGAAGCCAGGAACCCGGAGCTTCTTCCAGGTCTCTCACCTCACATGAATGCAGGATCCCAGAGCTTAGGGCCATCCTCTACTGCCTTCCCAGGCCACAAGCAGGGAGCTGGATGGGAAGTGGAACAGCAGAGACACAAACCAGCACCCATGTGAGATCCTGGTCCCTGCAAGGTGAGGAATTTAAACACTAGGTTACCACGCCAGGCCTCTACATAATTCGTAATAGCTCTTCTTGCTTCTTTCTACCTCATTTTAAGCCCCTTTCAATCACTCTTGCTTCAGAAGAAGTGCCCTTTCAGTTCTGTGCTAGGCTTTTTGACCTCAGGGTGTTTGTACTTGTTCTCATATCTGTTCTTCCCCTAACTAGCCTCCCCATCAATAAGCAGCCATTCCTTCTTATCCTTTTGTTTGTTTTTTAGATTTATTTATTTTTATGGGAAAGATAGATTTACAAGCTGGAGAGACAGAAAGAAAGATCTTCCATCTGCTAGTTCACTCCCCAAATGGCCACAACAATCAATGTTGAACCTGTCCAAAGCCAGGAGTTTCTTCGAGGTTGCGGAGTCTCTCCTGCAAATTCCTTTTGTACCCCGTTGCCGGAGGGGATGAACCTGCTGCCCACCACCCAGCCTCCCAGCCCACGAGAGACAAACAGACGGACAGGGGTTCTGTCTAAGCAGTTCCGATTTATTGGGGAAATTCAATTTCTTACATAGGGTAAGGGATAGCCTCAGGCCGGGAATTTTGGGAATTCCAGGAGGGATGAAACTAGGAGCCAGTTACTAGGAGCATGACTGCAGAAGCCACCTCCCATTAGCCGGGAGTAGGTGAGTGAGATGGCCCTGGTCAATCAGTATTTTCTTGGAGCTACGTGACTCCTGACTTCTGTTCTTGGCTGCCATCTTGCCCACCAGTGACCTGGACTGTTAGTCACCATCTTATTGACTTAGTAACCTCTTTGCCCCTGAGCCCCACACCAGATGTCCCAAAACTGGGCCATCCTCTGCTACTTTCCCAAGCCTTAAATAGGGAGCTGGATGGAAAGTAGAGCAACCTGGCCATGACCAGGTGCCTATGTGAGATGTGTCACTTGCAGGTAAAGAATTAGTCAATTCAGCCATCCCACCAACCACTTACTTAATTTTTTTTTATGATTTATTTATTTGAAAGGCAGAGTGATGAGAGCGATAGAGTTCCTCCATCTAATGATTCACTCTGTAGATACCTGTGACACGTGGGGCTGAGCAAGGCCAAATCAAGGAGCACAGAGCTTCATCTTGGTCTCCCATGTGGGTAGCATGGGCCCAAGTTGTATGTGTGTGTGTGCTTCAGATTTTTTTTTTTATTATTACTTTAGCTTTTACAACAGCAAACTTTGATTCCACTTCACAGTAATGGGATTAACACTCCATTAAGTGAAGGGGCCCAAGTACCAGTGCCATCTTTGGCTGCTTTTCTAGCTACATTAGCAGCAGAGAACTGGATCAGAAACGAAGCAACTGGAGCTCAAACCAGTGATTAGATAGGTATGGGATATAAGCATTATAAGTGACAGAACTGGGTTGGAAGTAGAGCACATGGGCCTTGAGTTGGCACTCCAAAATGGGCAATGGGCTGCCCGTGTCACAAGTAGCAACTTAACACTCTGTAGCATGCTAGCCCTAGACATCTGTGGGGTTTTAAAAAAAAAATTTTTTTTTTGTGATAGTTACAAAGATGGTGAAGGGGAGAGAGAATGTGTTCGCTGGCTTACTCAAAGTGCTGCAGTGGACAGGTCTGAGCTGAGATGAAGCCAGGAGCTTCATCTGCATCTGCCACACATATGCAGGGTCTGTAGAACTTGGACAATCTTCCACTGTTTCCCAGACACATTAGCAGGGATCTGGATCTGAAGTAGAGCAGCTGGGATCTATAAAGTGTCCATGTGGGATGCCAGCACTACAGACAGCAGCTTATGCAACTGCGCCATAGCCTTGGACGCTAGACATCTGGTGTAATAGCACTTGCACAGAGAGACCTTCCATAACCACCCAGTCTAAAGGAGCTTCTCCCCAAGCAGTCATTCCCATGGTACTCTGTTCATCATCACATTTGCCACTTTGAAAAATGATCTTGTTTTTACTTTTTTACATGATACTTGGCAGTCTTCAGAGAATGAATGCTGTGAGGCTGGCCTTGTGGACTGACCTGTCACTAGTACATGGCGTATAATAAGCATGTGGAAATTCTTTGATAAGTGGGTAGATAGCATGAGATTCTTACTGTGACTGAGCCTTGTGTCTCACCCATCTTGCCCCACCTCATCCAAGGTGTGCTGAACTACAAATAAAGCCATGCCACAATGCCTGCTGCTTTGCTCTGTGCCTTTGTTAAGCTGTGATCTCATCCCAAAATGCCACCTTCTCCCTTCTCTGCCTAGCAAAGCTCCGCGAGGCTTTCTCAGACCTACCTCTTTTTTCTCTCTTTTTCCCCTCTGCTGAGGAGACTGACCACTAATTGCCTGCATATACTGGCTGACAGCTCAGATTCCTGGTAATGCACAATCGGCCTCTTGCAGCACAAGGACTCCTAAGTTTATCAAGTGATTACTAGGCACTCACTATATGCCTTGCCTGAATAGGCTAATAAATAAGAATAGGGTCAGTCTCATGAAACTTGGACTATATAATGAGGAGTCTGACTGGCAGTTATCAAATAAAGGAAAGTGAAAATTCATTGATTTTGAAATACAGTTGTGATAAAGACTAACATGATGAGAGTGACTAGGGGAAATCTACATCAGAAAAGATGCTTAGTGAAGTGGTGACATAAGAACAGGTGTCTGATTGGTCATCTACATATGACCAATATACTCTTAACAAATGTTTAAAATACCAATACTATTTGTTCCTCAATTTTCCATTTTATAGAGCTTGAAAAAGTAGATTACTTTGCCTAGAATAATGGTAGAAGAAGTAATAAAGCCAGATTTTTAATCTTAGTCTTGTAATCCATGTTTTCTTCACAGTGTCCTACTCATTCAATATCTTGGGTTTTTGGGGGGTTTGTTTGTTTGTTTGTTTTTAAAGATTTATTTATTTATTTATTTATTTATTTATTTATTGAAAAGTCAGAAATACAGAAAGGAGGAGAGACAGAGAGGAAGATCTTCCATCCGATGATTCACTCCCCAAGTGAGCACAACGGCCGATGCTATGCCGATCCGAAGCCAGGAGCCAGGAACCTCTTCCGGGTCTCCCACATGGGTGCAGAGTCCCAAAGCTTTGGGCTGTCCTCGACTGCTTTCCCAGGCCACAAGCAGGGAGCTGGATGGGAAGTGGAGCTAGCTGCCAGGATTCGAACCGGCACCCATATGGGATCCCAGCGGGTTCAAGGCGAGGATTTTAGCCGCTAGGCCACGCCGCTGGGCCCTCAATGTTTTGTTAACCAAAATTATTCTTTAGAAAAGAAATGTAGAGTTTAAGATGTCGTGTGTGTGTGATACTAAGATGAATTAGTGGAACAGGTATTTGACATAGTGGTTAAGATACTGTTTGCAGGAACTGATGGCTATAGTGGTTAAAGCTTCCGTTCGCCAGTGCCAGCATTCCATATGAATGCCAGCTCCACTTCCAATCCAGCTCCCTGCCCATGCACCTAGGAAAGCAGCAGAGGTGTACCCAAATATTTAGGTCCCTACACCCACATGGCAGATCCAGATGAAGCACTTAGCTTTGGATTTACCCAGCTCTGCCTGTTTGGAAACGAAACAGCAGGTAGAAACACTCTCTCTCCTTCCCTCTCTGTGACTCTGCCTTTCAACATGTTTTGCTTTTTTTATTATTGCTATTTTTAGATACTACTTGGGATACAGGCTTTTGGCCATCCATAGCCCATAGCATAATGCATTGGTTTGAGTTTCATCTCAGTCTAATCCCAGTCTCCTATTTAGGCCTACTTATGGCTTAGGCAGTGAGGTTCCTACCAGCCCTGTGGGAATCCTGAATTGGATTGAGCTCCCTGATTTGGCCTAACCCAGCGCTATAATGGACAGTTAGAGAGTAAAGAATGATGGCTCTCTGCTTACAAAGTAGATTTTTTAAATTAGCTACAAACACACCTTAGTGATATTCCTTAGTTTCTATGTATATGGTGTCTCTTTTTAAAAAATACTTACCTACAGATATTTAACAATGTTCATGAAATTAAGTCCTGAAACTCAACAAATTTTTTCAACTAAGCATGTTTAAAATAGGAAAAAAAAAAAAAAAAACGGGCATTGGGGCATTATGTTGCAGTGGGTTAAGCTGCAGCTTGCTACATTGGTGTCTCTTATTAGCCTGCCAGTTTTGAGTACTGACTGCCACACTTAGAATTCAGCTTCTTGGTCATTTGCTTTGGGAAAACAGTGAAGCATGGCCCAAATGTTTGGGCCACTGCCATCGATATGGGAGACTTGCTGTCCCACAGCGATGGACTTGGTGCATGCAGTGATAATAACATGCGAGGACTCTGACTGATGGTCAAAGCCGACGTTTATTAGTGGCGTCATCAGACTTTATATACTGAGGGTCATGGGATAAGGGAGGAAGGTTTTGAGCTTATCAACAAAACGCATCAACTGGTTCTATACTCTTGTTTGGAACTCCTTTTGTTTTGTATATTCTACCAAGTGTTCTCATTCACATGCTCTCCACTCAACTGTTCTCATACAAATTATATCCAATCGGGTATACAAAAGGTATCCACATTCAGTTATACAAATATTGTCCAATCAACTAATCCCGTGCTCCCTGACCTAGGGTCACAGTGTCGTCCTACAGGAGACCTGAATGGAGTTGACTCCAGAGCTGAAGCTTGGCCCAGACCTTGCCACCGGTGTTTGTTGGGGAGTGAGCCAGCAGATGGAAGATTGCTTGAATCTTTCTCTGTTGCTCTGCCTTTCAAACAAATAAATCCTTCTTGAAAAATCAGAATCTCAGGGGTCTGTACTAAGATATAGCATGGAAAACCACTGCCTGCAGCACCAGTATCCCATATGGGCATTGGCTCGAGTCCTGGCTGCATGTCCTTTCCAGTTCCTTAGTCGTGTGCCTGGAAAAACAGCAGAAGGTTGTCCGAGTGCTTGCAAGAGACCTGAAAGACGCTATTGGCTCCTGGCTTCAGACCCACTCCACTCCAACCATTGCAGCTCTCTTGGGAGTCAACCAGTGAATGAAATATCTGCCTTGTCTCTCTACTGTCTATAAGCTGCCTTTTAATTTTGAGGGAAACTAGAACTTTACTTTGATTTAATGTGCTAACTTATTTTTCATAGGGCTATGGCATTTCCTCCGTGCCATCTGCTTCCAATTCTAAATCCATAAAGGAGAATAGTAATGCTGCCATCATCAAGCGGTTTAACCATCACAGTGCCATGGTTCTGGCAGCAGGTCTCAGGAAACAGTTAAGTATACATGTCAAAGTGCCGTGAATTGTGATGATGATCTGACTGTACTTTTCAACATTAATTTTTCTCTTTTGTTTTAAGAGAAGCACAAAACGGTGAGCCCCGAAGCATTGATGGAAATTCTGGAGATGCAGACTGTGTTCAGCCAGCAGTCAAAAGGGTATGAACAGGCAAAAAAAAATTATAACTTTTGGGGATGAGGTTTCTCCACACACCTTTTGTTTGAATGCTTACACAGCTTCTTTTATGTGAGTCAAGATGTCAAGCATTTGAGCTGAAAATATAGAGCATTGTAGAGAGCACTTCCTCCGAATCGTCCATTAACCAGATTGACAGGCTTTTTCCTTCACCTGGGCATATACACAAAAATGTGTGTGTGAGAAAGAGCTTGTTTTCTAGGAGGGAATGTTCCAAAGAGGCAGTATAAGAGAAAGCAAAACTGGTTTAGAAAGTTTCATATATTTGTTTTTGCAAGGAAGTGCATTGACCCTAGTGTTAAACTAGCATTCAAAACTGATAGTTATCTTTTCATTCTGAACTCATTTTGGGATTTTGCTTTTTTTTTTTTCCTTTGCTACAAGTTTGCCAAACTACTATATCTCTTTTACCGTCTAATTTTCAAAGGCTCCTCCTCCCCAGTTATAAAAGTGGGTTATAATAAAGCTTTCTGATCATTTGCATTAAAATTTTAAAGTCTTATGCTTTTAATTCTTTTTGCAAATAGCAGTCTACTTCTGATCATTTATTTTTAAGAAATTAAAGGTTTCTTGTGAACATTTAGATATAAATGCTCATTAAAGATTTTGATAATAGATAAAGTAGTAAGTATCTTGATATCTGTAGTGTATGTATACAGGGGGGGTTTTTGCCCCTGTGTTCAATGTTTTTGTTTATTTGAAAGACTAAAAGAGTTCTCCCAACAAAAGCCGGAAGCTGGGAATTCGATCTGAGTCTTAACACGTGATTGCAGGTCTTTGAGCTCTCAGCCTCTGCCGACTGGCGTGAACATTAGCAAGAAGCTGAAATCAGAAGCAACCTGGGCCTTGAATCCTCAGTCTAGGATGGGATGTGGCCAAACACCCACCGCTGTGTCTTGGGACTTAGTGGAACTGTGAATGACTTTAAAATTCATGGGTTGGGCACATGGTTAATTAGTTAGGTTTCCACTTGGATTTCCTATGTAGATAGTACCCAAGTACCTATTTCAAATGCCTGCTACTCTGCCTCTCATCCGACTGCCTGGTAAGGTGTACCCTGGAAGCAGGTGGTGGCAGGAAAACTTAAATCCCTCCCACCTATTTGGGAGGCCTGGATTGAGTTCAGGGTTTCTGGGTTCAGCCTAGCCTACCATGCATTTGGGAGGAAACCACCAGATGCATGGTCTCTCTTTTTTACCATCTCTTCCTCTTTAAATTAAATGAGGATTTAAAGATTTTATAAGAATTTAGATGGATTCATGAAATGCAGATAGTCTTAGACTTAAGTTGATTGTTTTTCCAACTTTATAGTGGGCTTATCATGGTTATGAAATTATCAGGATGTAGTCACATCAATGATTCAGCATTCGTATAGCATCCAAATCAGTTGACTGGGCAAACATTTGGCATAACAGTTAAGAGGTCAGTGTCCCCTATTGGAGATGACTGACTACAGCCTCTGGCAGTGTTTCCTGCTGCTGCAGCCCCTGGGAGGGAGCAGTGATAGCTCAAGTAATTGGGCTCCTGCCACTCAAGTAGGAGACCCAAGTTGCATGCCTAGTTCTTGGGTTCAGTCCCAGCTGCCTGGCCCCATATGACTTAATATTATAATATTATCAGAGCAATAGCATAGTGGCTAAATCCTTGTCTAGCATGCACCAGGATCCCATATGGGTGTCAGTTCGTGTCCCAGCGGCTCCACTTCCCTGCCAGCTTTCTGCTTGTGACCTGAGAAATCATTCAAGGATGGCCCAAAGCTTTGGGACCCTGTGGCCACATGGGAGACCCAAAAGAAGCTCCTGGCTCCTGGCCTTGGTTAGCTAAGCTCCAACCATTGCAGCCACTTAGAGAGTGAATCATCAGACACAAAAGCTTTCTCTTTGTCTCTCCTCTCGGAATATATGACTTTCTAATAAAAATAAGTTTTTATAAGAAAAAAAGTTGATTCACCCATTTATAGGATAACCATCTCTAGAAAGTGAAGCTCATGGTGAGAAGACCTCATTGTTTTTGTTTGTACAGTTTTTTCTTTTTTAAATCATGTTCATTGTGTGAAAGAAAGTTACAAAGTTGATGGTAACTCTGTTAATCATTTTAGGCAAAATTACAAGAATCTATTGAATATGAAGATCTGGGAAAAAATAATTCTGTAAAAACAATTGCACTAAACCTTAAGAAGTCCGATAGGTAAGTTTTATGCTGTTAAACCAACTTTTAGCAAAATAATTTAACTAACATAATTAATTGTAAAATATATGTAAAAAGATGCCTTCTGTATGCATTTTGGGAAGATGTCCAAAGTGACCAAAGTCTAGAAAATAAATGTTGGGTTTTAACTATCGTGTAATTTTTGCCATTGGGGAGAACATTGGATTCACCACTAAAATGTTTGCAGAACAGTTTGCACTCCTTTACGCTTTGTAATTATTTCTTCTCTGCTAACCTTCAGGTATTATCACGGTCCGACTCCAATTCAGTCACTACAGTATGCAACAAGTCAGGACATTATTAATTCTTTTCAAAGTATTAGGCAAGAAATGGAAGCTTATACACCAAGATTAACTCAGGTAGGTGACTTCTACAGTTCAAGGAATAGAATGCCTGTGTCAGCTGATAAGCACAGCCAAATTAAGCAGTACTACTTCAGATTTAAAGTATACTTAAAGGGCCTGGTGCATGGCCTACTGGCTAAAGTCTTCGCCTTTAACATGCGGGGATCCCATATGGGCGCCAGTTCTAATCTTGGCAGCTTTACTTCCCATTCAGCTCTCTGCTTGTGGCCTGGGAAAGCAGCAGAGGGTAGCACAAAGCTTTGGTACCCTGCACTCACATGGGAGAGCTGGGGGAAAAAAAAGTTCCTGGCTTCTGGCTTTAGATTGGCTCACCTCTGGCCGTTGTGACCATTTGGAAATGGAACTGCGATAGAAGATCTTTCTGTCTGCTTCTCCATAAATCTGCGTTTCTAATAATACTAAATCTTTAAAGAAAAAGATTTCAACAGTTTTTTGTTTTGTTTTAATTTATCTATAAGAGCCAGAGACACATAAATCTTCCATTTGGGGGTCACTTACCAGATATCCAAACACCCAGGTTAGAGCCAAGCCAGGAACCAGGGACTCCATTACTGCAGCCGTCCTCTGCTGCTTCCCAGGCATGTTAGCAGGAAACTGGACCAGGAGTGGTGGAGCCAGGATAGAGCTAGGTACTCTTCAGCATCCCACACTGTGCCACAACACCTGCACATAACATGAATTAAATTTTTCTCCTTTGCCCATTAAGATTCATTTCTTTAAATATTTACTAGCTCTTTATTTTTATTGGAAAGTTAGATTTATAGAGAGAAAGATCTTTGTCCGCTGGTTCACTCCCCAAGGAGCTGCAACGGCAGGAGCTAAGCTCATCAGGAGCCAGGAGCAGCGTCTGGGTCTCCTACGTGGATCCAGGGTCCCAAGGTCTTGGGCCATTTTCTACTGCTTTCCCAAGCCGCAATAGGGAGCTGCATGTGATAATGAGCAATTGGAACATAAACCGGCACCAATATGGGATCTGGTGTGTGCAAGGCAAAGATTTAGCTACTGGGCTATTGCACCAGGCCCTTCTAAGATTCATTCTTACCATAGGTCTTAGTAACCTTAGCTCTGAATCTTTTTCTTCCTTTATTGAGAGCTTTTATCTTTTCACTTAGAGTAACATAAATGTTGTGACTTCTTTGGCGTATCTAAATTGGTAGCATTATTGCTCTTATGCTGAGGAGCTATTTATTACCTAAAATTTAAGTGAAATTGAACATAAGTCCTACAATAATTGGACTGTCTGATCTACCGTAACTAACAGTTGGGTAACCTGCAGATTTGTTGAATGAGTCCTCCAAAAGGACAAAATGATACAATATTTTAGTTTTTTCACACTACTAAAATGGCACACAATTTAAAGCACTTTTCTTCATTGTTGTTTGTTTTTTGTTTTGTTTTGGTTTTTGGTTTTATTGTTTTGTTTTGTTTGACTGCAGGTAAGCAAAACTGTGGAAGGCCAACGGCACATAATGGGGCTTGTACCTTCAAACGTGGACAGTACTCTCTGTGTGCTCTGCGTGGCTTCAACGAAAAAAAAAAAGTCATTGCTCTAAAGCAGGGATTAGAAACTTCTTTTTTTTTTTTTTTAAAGATGTATTTTTATTATTTTTTATTGGAAAGGCGGATATACAGAGAGGAGAGACAGAGAGGAAGATCTTCCCTCCGATGATTCACTCCCCAGGTGGCCACAATGGCTGGAGCTATGCCAATCCGAAGCCAGGAGCCTCTTCCGGGTCTCCCATGTGGGTGCAGGGTCCCAAAGCTTTGGGCCATCCTCGACTGCTCTCCTGGGCCACAGGCAGGGAGCTGGAAGGGAAGCGGGGCTGCCAGGATAGAACCGGCGCCCATATGGGATCCTGGGCGTGCAAGGCGAGGACTTAACCACTTGCACCACCGCGCCGGGCCCGAAACTTCTTTTTTTTGCCTCAAGCCTGTGTCCCAGATATGATGTTACAAATGCCCAAAAGGATGAAGTAGCATTGTGGCACAATGGATAAAGCTACTTTGATCAAGCTACTTTGATCGCACATCAGGATGTCAGTTTGAGCCCTAGCGTTGGCTTCCAGTCCAGTTCCTTGATCTTGTACCTAGAAAAGCAGCAAAAGTTGACCCAAACATGTAGGAGACCCAAATCTAGGCTGAAGACTTGCCCAGCAACACCCATTGCAGCTATTTGGGGAATAACAAGTAGACTGAAGATCTGTCTCTCTTTCAGATAAATGTTAAATTAAATATTTTAAGAAACTAACGCTGTCGCCTAGTGGCATAAGTCCTCGATTTGAACACTCCAGAATCCCATGTGGGTGCCGGTTCTAATTCCGGCAGCTCCACTTCCCATCCAGCTCCCTGCTTGTGGCCTGGGAAAGCAGTCAGGGACAGCCCAAAGCCTTGGGACCCTGCACCCACATGGGAGACCTGAAGGAAGTTTCTGGCTCCTGGCTTTGATCAGCACAACACCGGCCGTTGCAGCCGTTTGGGGAGTGAATCATTGGATGAAAGATCTTCCTCTCTGTCTCTCCTCCTCTCTATATATCTGACTTTGCAATAAAAATAAATAAATATTTTAAAAATATATGGAATTGTAAAAATTGGCTTTCTATGTGTTTATTGACTTTCGAAACTGGTTTTGTGACTGCACTGGCTGTGTCAGACCAAATGATTCTGTTAGCCATATATGGCCAGTAGGCCAGATGTGTTTCCCCCCCTGCAATATAGGATGTATTGGTATAGGAAAAATATTTTCTTTCACCTTTTGCTGTAAATCTGAAATTTAGGTGAGACAAACAGCCAAAACAGAAGACTAAGTTGTATCTTTGTTTCTTGCAGGTCCTCTCCAGTGGTGCTGCCAGCAGTACTATCGCAGCACTGTCCCCTGGAGGAGCACTTATGCAAGGAGGGACACAGCAAGCCATAAACCGTATGTAGTGCCATCCCTCTGCTGAAATGAGCTCTGAAGAGCAGACAGAGGAATGCTAGGGTTCTGTTGGTTTTCTTTTGAAACATTTCTAAGGTGGCTGTCTTGTTAAGCAGCTAGAAAAGAGCTTAGAATTCTAGAATTGTCTTTCTATTATGTTGACACTTCCTAGTTTCTTAATATACTCAGAGCTTCTTTCTTTCCCTGCCTCTTAGAATACAGGGAAAGCTTAGGAGTTACTCCAGAGTCCCATGGGGTTTTTAATTATGAGATGTCTCAGTTACAAAACTATTTGCCTTTGTCAAAGTAATACATTCTACTTTGGCGTTGCTAGAGTGCATAATCAGATTTGTTGTCTGAATAGTCATCTTCCCAGAGGCTAGACACATAGGAAAATAGCTTTATCCTATGTACATCTTTCTTCTTTTACAGAGATGGTGCCAAATGATATTCAGTCTGAGTTGAAACACTTGTATGTGGCTGTTGGAGAACTTCTGCGGCATTTCTGGTCCTGCTTTCCTGTTAATACACCATTCCTAGAAGAAAAGGTTGGAACTCATTCTGTTCTTGCAGTGACTTACGGAAATGTAAATTTGAAATCCAAACATAGTGTTGCGTGTTGAGCATGAGCCAACCCCTGGGATAACTACTCTAAGTGCAATATTTCATTTAAGCCTCAGAGTGTTTATAAAGTACATGTTAATTATACCCATTTTGCAGATGAGGAAATTGAGACCTACACCAATTGCATAACTAATACAAGTTAAAACTTGGACTTCATCTCCAAGCTGCTGTGTGAATATTTGAAAAATGATTTCAATGAAAGCTTATTTGAAGTATTTTTAGGCATGAAAATCCTAATTCTTGACTTACAAGAAATATAGCACTGTTTAACACTAAAATCCTTTTAGCCGAGTAATGCTTTATTGATGTGGGCAGACATCAGTTGGGTGCTGCAATCTCATATCATAGAACCTTGCTTTGAATCCTGGCTCTGGCTTCCCCCCTTTTTTTTAAGATTTATTGTTGTTTTTATTGGAAAGGCAGATATACAGAGAGGAAGATCTTCTGTCTGTTGATGCACTCCCCAAGTGGCCACAATGACCAGAGCTGAGCTAATCTCCAAAGCCAGGAGCCCAGACCCTCTTCCGGGTCTCCCACATGGGAGCAGGGTCTCAAGGCTTTGGGCTGTCCCTGACTGCTTTCCCAGGCCACAAGCAGGGAGCTGGATGGGAAGCAGGGCCACCAGAATTAGAACTGGTGCCCATATGGGTTCCTGGCATGTTCAAGGCGAGGGCTTTAGCTGCTAAGCCACGGCACTAGGCTCTGACTTCTAATGCAGACCCTGGGAGGCAGTGGTGATGACTAGTCACCTGGTCCCTCCCGCCCAGGTAGAACACCCAGATCAAATTCCTCGCTTCTGCCCCGGCCCAGCAATAGCCATTGTGGGTGCTTCCCCTAAATTCTTGCAGTCTCTCTGCCTCTCAAATAATTTTTGAAATGAGGACTGCTGGCAGATGGGAAGATATTTACACAATAATGTGAGCTGTACTGTATGGATTGTTCTTAGAATTAAGAGAATGGTAAATACTCCATTAGTAACAAAAAGGAAAGGCAACTCACTAAAAACTACTAGTGATAGGGCCGGCATTGTGGCACTGCCTCCAATGCCAACGTCACATATGAGCCCCAGTGTGAGTACCGCTGCTCTAGTTCCCATCCAGCTCCATGGTAATAACCTTGGTAAAGCAGTGGAAGATGGCCCACAAAAGACCATTTTTCACCCATTAATTTGCAAAAGAATAAAAACCTAAAAATTATCATTCTTGGCCAGATTGCTAAGATTCTTCCACTGCTAGATTATTTTAAGTGCTTTTATGTATAAGCTCAACAGTTGCTGGGTCTGGCACGGTGGTCTAACAGCTAAAGTTCTGATCTTGAATGCCCCAGGATACCTTACAGGTGCCAGTTCTAATCCTGGCGGTCCCGCTTCCCATTCAGCTCCCTGCTTGTGGCCTGGGAAAGCAGTTGAGGATGGCCCAAAGCCTTGGGATCCTGCACCCATGTGGGAGGCCTGGAAGAAGGTCCTGGCTCCTGGCTTTGGAGATCGACTCAGCTCTGGTCATCACAACCACTTGGGAGTGAATCATCAGACAGAAGATCTTCCTCTCTGTCTCTCCTCTTCTCTTTATATCTGACTTGCAATAAAAATGTTTACATCTTTAAAAAAATTAAAAAAGAGAAATTCAACAGTTGGTGGGCCCAGCACAGTGGCTCAGTTGGCCAAAGCTTCACCTTGCTTGTGCTGGGATCCCATATGGACACATCTTTGTGTACGTAGCAACTCTACTTTTCATCCAGCTTCCTGCTTGTGACCTGGGAAGGCAGCAGAAGATGGCCCAAAGCCTTGGGACTCTGCATTCATTGGGCGACCCAGAGGAGGCTCCTGGTTTTGGATCGGCCATTGAGACCACTTGGGGAGTTGAGCCAAGTGTGTCTCATTCTCGTTGTCATTTAGTCCATAAATAGGCCTTTCCAGGAAAAATCGGTGTTTAAAAAAAAAAATAGAAATTCAGCAGCTGAAACTATTGTATTTAGTAAGTTAAACCTCTGCCTGCAGTGCCAGATTCCCATCTGTATGTCAGTCCAAGTACCAGCTACTCCACTTCCAACCCAGCCTCCCTGCTAATGTGTTTGGGAAGGAAGCAGAAGGTGGCCCAAATCCTTGGGCCCCCACTCCCACCTAGGAGACCCAGGAGATGCTCCTGGCTTCCAGCCAGCTCAGGTAGTCGCTATTTTTGAAGTGAGTCAGTGGATGGAAGATCTCTTTCTCCATCTCTGTAAATCTGCCTTTCAAGTAAGAAGTTCAAAAAAAAAAACAAACAAACATGAATTTAAAGTAGCTAAGATTGTGTCAAAGAACATAATCCGTTACTAATAAACATTAGAAATGATATAAATAGCATCAGGGGGGATTGATTAAAGGTGTATTTAGTATGTTGATACATTGAACTACTGTCTCTCAATTTTTAAAACCCATGCTTTATTTTTAGAAAATGTGTATACATTTGTACACATACCACAAAAGAATTGCAAAAAGATGTGAATTACAACCAAAGCATTAAATGTTTAAAAAGTGTTAAAGTAACCTTTCTATGTGGATTATGGTGTCTTTCTCTTGGTTTTACTAGGTTTGAGATTTTTCTGTAATTATTTTTCATCTTTTTTAGGTAATAAAAATGAAAAGTAATTTGGAGCGATTCCAAGTTACAAAGCTCTGCCCATTCCAAGAAAAAATTCGAAGACAGTATTTAAGCACAAATGTAAGACACTCAAATTTTCTGCTCAAAGTAAAATGACTAATATTTTTTTGTTTGGGGGTCGGTGCTGCCTAGAGTGCTAGGGTGTTTTGTTGTTTTTTTTTTTTTTTTTCTAGTTATCATTAAAAAGTGCATCATGCCTTCATAAGAACATGTATGGTAGGGTTTTTGTTTTTTTGTTTTTTTTTTTCAATTGAATATCCAAGTGCTCATCAACCAGGAAAGGTTAGTAGAATGTTCTAACCCATACTCCTAGAGTACCCTGTCTGATTGCACACCACTTCCTTCTCTTCAAAAATTAAAACTGACCAGACATTTGACATAATCATCTGTATGTTTTTCTTTATAGATTTAGAACTTATTTATGTGTTCTTAAAAGTGTGTATTATTATTCTGGGAAAACTCAGTAGCAAACATAGCATTGTAGGGAAAGGTAGAATTGCTCCCAGAGTAAACTAAACATTCCTTAGATTTTGTCTGGCTTCTGCCTCCTCTATTAATATATAATAGAAAGCAGAGCTTTACAATTAAAGGCAAAAGAAAATCATTAAGATTTTGTGCCTGTTCCTTGAATGTTCTAAATGAATTTTCTCAAAACAGCATTTCTTTGAAAAGAAGCTTATCCCGGGATACAGGTGTTAGGATTTTAACCTCTAGGACCCTGACAGTGTTCTGGATGAGTTAGTATAAAATTGGGCGAGGTTTATGATTCAATAAGAGTCAACAAAGCCCCACCAGCCCCCTGCCCCATTGGGCCTGTTAACTTATAAACCCCTTGTGAAATACTGCTGGCAGCGTTTGAGTCCTAAACCTCTTACTATGTAGTAATTGGGGTAAACAAGGTATTCCACTAACAGATAGGATGTCCTGGACATGTGGCCGAGTCAGTGATTTGACTCAGGTGTTAGGAGTGGGCAATGGTATGGGCTGTAGCCAGTGATAGCCAGCACCCCTTGACAGTTGGCAAATGAAATGTGTCTGTGTCCCCTACCCTCTGTTCACAGCTTGGGCAAATCAGTGAAGATGTTAATGTTCTTTGTATTTCTAATTATGCAGTCTCAAAACAGTTGCTGAAGGTGGGACCTAACAGCAATGGAATGTTAATTCCATCTTTAAGGAGAAGCCCTCAGTGTCTCCCACCCCTCCCTTCCTGCCTGCAGTTACTAAAGTTAATCAGAAGTGTTGCATTGTATAAGACTTTGTACTTTCCACCTTTCAAACTGATTGGCGGGTGAAAGCTTAAAAACCCTGACTTCTGCCACACATTGCAGTGGTTCCTGGCTTGTAGCAGGAACTGCTGTCAAGAAGCTTGTTGTGTCTTATCCAAAATAGGCTAGGGTGACAGTTAGGCCTTGGCTTGCGTGCATCTTTGGACTGCACTGTGCAGTGTGACTCGGTCTGTGGTAAAGAGGATTCTGTGTCGGGGACAGCAAGCTGAAAGCTGTGGTGTTGAGGTGTTCTCCCCACATCTCTTCTAAGCGATGGAATAGAGCCATAGTCCGTCAAGCAGTAATTTTTAGTGTCCAGACACTATAATGATAGTAGACATGGCAAGTAAGTCTCTTAGCTCTATACCTCTTTTATATAAGTAATTGACAAATTGAAAGAATCTAAGACTTCCTGGTGTCCTCCCAGAATTGACCTATAGACTTTCTAAAACTTTTACTTCCAACTACATAAATCATGTCCAACTCCAGGACAACAGTTATCTCAAGGACACTGCACTTCAAGACTCGTTCCGATCCTGTTGACTCCAGTTATGTCTGTAACTAAGACGAACCTCTCTCTGTTCTGTGGTCCACATCTAAGATGTGATGCAGTGCATTATCCAGAGCCTTGAGATAATTTAGCTACTAGGTAATCTATGAAGTTATACTGAAATCCTGTCACATTGGAGCTGAGAAAGTGTGTTCAGGAAACAGCAGTGCTTCCCAGAATTGTGCAGAAGAATTAACTAAAGGTGCTTTGGAAAATCAAAGACACCTGGGGCAGGAGTGATATATCCTGGCAGGGAGATGCCCTGTCCCACACTGGAGTACCTGTGTTGTATCCAGCTCCCAGCCGATCTCCTAGCTTCCTGCTGACCAGACCCTAAGAGGCAGTGCTTGGATTAAGTAAATAGGTTCCTTCCATCCACCTAACCATTGTGGTGATTTATATAGATGAGTCAATAAAAAAGAAAGGTTCCTAAGCCTCATCCTGGGCCTAAAGAATCCGAATCTTTAAGGGTAGTATGTTATTAAATGTTCTGTGAAGATAATAATATCACTATTTTGTCGTTAGTCAGCTTTCCCAGTGTTTGAATCTGGAAATTGCCAGTTGAGTTTGGCTCCCACCCCCCCAGACCCATTGAGAGAAGGGATGAACCGATTACTCGCTTTGATACTGCCCAATTAGATATTGTAGGTGAATTTCCCGCCCCTTTACTGCACATCCCCGTGTCTGCATTCAGAATTTCTTCCTGCGCTTGTGCAGGGGGTTTGCATGTTTTCTCATTGACTGGGCACTTAGAGCTGAGCGTGGAAACCACACGCAGCAGAGTCAGGTCAGACACAGGAACTTGCGTTCCTTTGTCAGTTGTTAAATGTCTCGGTTCTTTGTTTTCTTTCTTTCAGTTGGTGAGCCACATAGAAGAGATGCTCCAGACAGCCTACAACAAGCTCCATACGTGGCAGTCTCGGCGCCTGATGAAGAAAACGTGAGGTGTCTGTGGCATTCCATGTTCTGTGAGATTGAAGAGAAATGCAACCTGCAATGACTCTGGAAACCTGGCCTAGCAGCCATGCAGATGACCACACAGGCGTGACAGGCAACATCTGCACCATGCCATCTCCCAGAGCTGATGCTATTGTACTTGCACATTGGGAACTGAAAAGAAGGAAGGGACTGAGTCAATGAAACGCTGGGGAGGTAAATTAAGGCAGAACCAAAATGAACTAGGTGGCTAATATATATATATGTATGTATGTATGTGTGTGTACATATGTGTGTGTACATACATATATTTTAAGACTGTTTACTGCAGTTACTCAGGAACTGCTTTTGATTCACATTAAGCTGCTTTCAGAAATTTAAAAATACTTTTTTAAAGGGTGCATTGATAAAATCTGAGGTTTTTTTGTTTTTGTGTGTTTTTTTTTGTTTGTTTTTTGTTTCTTTTTTTTTTTTCTGTATAAATTGTTTTCCTAAGTTTATGGCACAGGGTAGACCCAAAGTATTCCTCCCTCATCCTCCCCTTGGATACTGAAATTTCTGTGACTTCCTCTTGTACCCTACATCTGCAAGTTTAAGAGGGTGCTTTAAAACAGAGGGTGACTGTTGCTCAGCTATCCAGAAGCAGTTGTAGTCAGAAGACATCGTTGGTCCTGTGTTTCCTAGGGAAATAAGCAGCGATAAATATTGCACTGAATGTTGGTGGTCTTGAGGCCCTAAATAATAAAGAGGGAACATGTTTGCAGAAAGCTGCGTGGGGTTTTATATGCAGAATTTTGTCAGAAGACAATGGCGCTGCATGTTTTTCTTTGAGTGCAAATGTATATTGCTAAGTTTTTTTAAAGATGGCATGTGCTTTGAAAGAGGAAATTGCATTTTTAAGAGTTTAAAATCTTATGAGTGAAAAATATAAGAAATCTTACTTATTTTCACCTCTTCAGAAGAAATAAAAGATGTTTCTCATATCTTCTCCAGTATCTGTTACTGTCCTTGCCAAATTGATAATCATTGCATAGACTGAAGAGCCTAAGTCCAAAAAAGTACATGAATATATATATATATATGGCACAGTTTCCAGAACAAGAATATATATATTGTGCCATATCTTGTTCCTAACAGGATCAACTCATTGTTTATATTAGACTTTAGATGTCTGTATTAAAAATTACACGGATCAGTAAAACTTGTTACAGATACTTTTCTAACTGACACGTCTTATGATTTTTCATTATTTGTGATGTTTACTTGGGTAGAACGCTCAAAGACTCCTCATTCTTTCAAAGGTTTCCTTCTATTAGTGTACTCTGAATGTCCACAATGGAAGTCAGTTACTGGAAACTCAGTCCAAGTCTAATATGGGTGGCAAGGACTCTGATTACTTGACCCTTCGCCCCTGCCTCACAGGCTCTGCATTAACAGAAGCTCAAGGATCACTCAGGTCCTCCAGTGTGGGCTGCGCACGTCGTTTTTTACTGTCTTAGGGGCTAGTATTCTTCACATAATAGTTACGAGTCAAAACCTGTTCAAATGTGGAGCTGCTAAAAGAAACACCCAGTCCACATCATTTCCTGCCTTCATTCTCATTCACATCGATGGTTCAATCTCTTATACCTTCCAGTGTCACAAAGTGCTTTTTTTGTTGTTGTTTTTAAGATCTATTTTTATTACAATCAGATATACAGAAAGGAGGAGATACAGAGAGATATTCCGTCCGATGATTCACTCTACTAGTGACCGCAACAGCCAGAGCTGAGCCAGTCCGAAGCCAGGAGCCCGGAGCCTCCTCCATGTGTGCAGGATACCAAGGCTTTGGGCCGTCCTCAAGTGCTTTCCCAGGCCACAAGCAGGGAGCTGGATCGGAAACAGGGCTGCTGGGATTAGAACCGGTGCCCGTATGGGATCCCGGCATGTGCAAGGTGAAGACTTAACCTGCTTAGGCTATCTCACTCCAGACCCCTCTTTTTTTATTATTATTTTTTTTATAAGGAAGGACACAGCATGGGCTGTGCCAGGCAAGAGCCAGGAGCTTCTATGTCTCCCACGTGGGTGGGAACCAAGGACTTGGGCCATCCTCACTGCTTCCCTAGGCTGTAAATGGAGAACTGGAGCTGTTGTGATACAAACCAGCAGCCATATCAGATGCCAGTCCCACAGGGTGGAGTATTAGCCAGCCCCTCGTTTTTAAAAAAAGATTAAATGATTTAGGGACTGTTGTTGTGGTGCGGTAGTTTAAGCAGCCACCATACTGTTTAATCGCTGGTTCAAATCCCAGCTATTCCTCATCCTGTTCTTTTATGAGCCAGGGAAAATAAACATAGCCTAGCGTTTGGGCCTCTGCCACCCAGGACTGCTTGCTTCAGCCATTAAAGTCATTTGTATTGTGAACTAGAAGATAGCAGATCTTTCTCCCTCTCCTTTCTGTAACTCTGCCTTTCAAGTAAAGTTATCTTAGAGTGGAAAAAAGATTTAAGATACATGTAATGAGGGCCCAGTGCAGTGGCCTAGCTGCTAGCATCCTCACCTTGAACGCATCGCACCAGGATCCCATATGGGCGCCGGTTCTAATCCCGGCAGCTCCACTTCCCGTCCAGTTCCCTGCTTGTGGCCTGGGAAGCAGTCGAGGGTGGCCAAAAGCCTTGGGACCCTGCACCCAAGTGGGAGACCCAGAGGGAGTACCTGGTCTCTGGCTTCAGATTGCACAGCACCGGCCATTGCATCACTTGGGGAGTGAATCATCGGATGAAAGATCTTCCTCTCTTCCTCTCCTCATCTCTGTATATCTAACTTCTCATAAAAACAAATCTTAAAAAAAAAAATACATGTGATGAAATCTGAAGAAAGAGGGAATTGAGGTTGGGGGCTGGATTTGGAAAGGTAAGATTTTGGCTGACTTGAATGCTAACTAGCATTTGTCAAGATAGTCATTCGTTCTAGATTGAGGGATGGAAAAGAGCATGATGAAGGTGTGGAGGTTTGAAAGACACCAGTGTCCGGTGTGTTAGGGGAACGGGAATTAACAAAAGATTAGACGGTTGAGAATACTAGAGGCTAGGGAAATGGTTTTGATTCAGGATGTGGACAGGCTTATGCTCTTAGGTCAGAAGTTCACACCTTACCCATAAGGCCTCAAGGATCTCATAAAAAAATTGAGCCAGCAAGTTTGGGGGGATGTAGGGAGAGAGGAGCACAAGAGTTACTGCTTTAAATAGAAAGTTCTGGGGAGTCCAGAACCCACAATACCTTTGGCACAATCCAGACTGCAGATCTAATCCAAATTATAATAGGTTCTGTAGGTCAGTAGGAAGGAGGGGACAGAATGAGGGTGTTCATTCCTAAGGCGCACGTGACTGTGTCTCAGGAGCACAGGAGTAGAGGGGGCTGTTACCAGAGATGGGCTGCGCTCAGTGCTGTATCTGAGCCTTGGAGAGTCCAAATGCACTTTGGCAGCTTTCTCAGCCTCCGATGGCCTGTGCCTTCCCTTTATGGAAACAGATGGCAGCTGCCCCAAAGCAGCCCGTACCAAGCACACCTGCTGAATCTCACTTCGTTCTCTACCACGGGTGAAGCAGGTACATACTGCGGATCACCAGACAGATTAGAAATGATTTCAAAGTTAAGTCATTTACTCATGAGCTGAGGTCGTCGTTTATTGTAAATTGCTTTGGCTTCTCCACTTCCCTGGGAGTGAAGGTCTGTGAATTTGGCAGCTTTTCTTGCTTTGTCATTTCTGCCTCTGATTCTGCTCTGTGCTTCATTTGTCACAAATCACATTATGGAATTAGTCGGCCTAGTAAGTCCCATTATCCCAGAGAACTGCATAGTAGAAAAGTGTTCTGCCCTGGAGGATGAGCTCTCACAGAAGCACAAGGATGGTAGTGGTAGTCTGCTTGAGCCTTAGGATATTGTTGATCACCACTTCAATCTGGAAAACAAAATAATGCTTGAGGAATTACCTGGAAGAGTAACACCCTGAAAATTTAACCCAGAAAGTCATTTCCTGCTGGTGCATTCCCCATCTCAAACACTGTCAGTGCCCCACGATGGATAGCTGCCCATTTCAAACTTAGACTTGCTGTCTGCAGCAGCAAGACCTAGATGCGATTCCTCAGGATTACCTCTGCCCTTTCCCAGTTTAGCTTCTTCAAGACTCAGCTGTTCTGCTGGTTCTTGAGGCCAGGGGAGTCTTGGTTATTTTCAGCTGTCAGATTGTCCAGCACTGGAGTATTGCCTAGACCTGGTGAAGGAGTAATTGGGCCTCAGTTTGTAATGCATTCCTTATTTTGAACACATTATTAAAATTAGAAGATTGAATGGTTTCCAAACTGGACCCACAGAATCCATAACACATAGTACGATCATGAAACTGGAGCATGATCCAGCTCTTCCTACCCCTCCATCTCCTTCCCCACACTGCTCCAGCAGAGTACATGCAAAACCCTCCCTAGCCTCTGGCATCCCATTGTGTCGGAATGGCTGATGCCACGAAAGCACTGAAACTGAAGTATAAGATTAGTTTGGGCTTAAATTTTTACCTACCTGTGGTCACAGAAATAAATAGCAAGATGGTAAGGTAGGTTTAATGCAACTCTCTTGTCAATTACATTAAGACTGGGAGAAGGCATTTGTTCAGCAAAATTCTATATATTCTATATAAAAATCTTCCATATATTTACTGAAAAGCTCTGTATGTTGATTTTAAAAGAATCTCTCCTTGGTGTTGGTGCATTAGTGCTGTAGGCCATTCCTCCACCTACCAATGATTGCATGCCATTTGGGCACTGGTTCATATCCTGGCTGCTCTACTTCTCTAACCAGCCCCCTGCTTGTGGCCTGGGAAAGCAGTGGAGGACGACCCAGAGACTTGGAATCCTGCACCCGTGTGGGAGACCCAGAAGAAACTCTTGGCTCCTGGCTTCATAGTATTGGTGCCATTTGGAAACAACAGACATGGTGATACTGTCAACCCTCCAATGTTGAGGAAGTGCCGGTGAGGGCTTCATGAGCCAAAAGGGGCTTGGGAAGCAGCTGTGCTCTTCTGCCACTGGTCCCACACTGGAACAGAAGCTCTCAGTTGTCACTGTCCCACAGCATGGGCTTGGAGCCGATAATAACACACCATGGACTCTCAAAGCCGAAGTTTATTAGTGGCATCAGACTTTATACACTGAGGGTCATATGGGATAAAGGAGGAGCTATTGAGCTTATCAACAAAACCCATCAACTGGTTCTATGCTTTTGTTTGGAACTCCTTTTGTCTTGTATATTCCACCAAGTGTTCTCACACACATGCTCTCCACTCAACTGTTCTCATACAAATGATATCCAATCAGTTATACAAAAGGTAGCCATCAGTTGTTCTCATGCAGATATTGTCCAATCAACTGTAATCCCGTGTTCACTGATCTTCTAGGGTCACAATGTCCTTCTACAGTCAGTCCTGCACCGCATGCACCCCTAAAAGTCACTGTGGGTGCATGGGAGAGTGCAGAATTGCTCCTGCCCAGAGTGAGTTTGCTGTTGGAAAAGGTACTTAACTGCCTGTGGACAGTGTGGAGGGGAATGGCATCACTTCCCCTGGGCACCCGCCCTTCTGGCCTTGCCTCCAGGCAGCTGCTGCTGGGCTGTGCAGGGAGTGCTCAGCTCTCAGCCTCGGGGCGCGCAGCTGGCTTCTCACCTGCCCCAGAACTGCCCTGACAGGCAGTGAGCTGCAAAGCCGGTCTGTCACAGGTCTCTTCTCTTTTTTTGTTCTAGTTTTTGCTTTTTTTTTTTTTTTTTTTTTTTATTCATTTGAAAGAATTAGACAGAAACAGATTCTCCTTGACTGGTTCACTCCCCAAGAAGTAGCTACAACAACCAGGGCTGAGCCAGGCCAAAACCAGGAGCTTCATCCGGTCTTCCACATGGGTGACGGTGTCAGTATCTTCCGGTACCTTCCCAGGCATATTAGTCTGAAGCTGAATGGGAAATGGAGTGTACAGGGCTTGAGCAGGCACATGCTAGACCACAACACCCAGCCCCAAAGGGCCCCAAGAGCCTCCGAATCGGAATTCATTCTAAATCATTGCGTGGGAGAGAGAATGGGCACATAGTAGTGCTCTACACATGTTCAGAGCTTCACGTCTACTTCACAACAACCTCTGAAAGTGTGTTGTCCCCACCATGCAGACCACAGGAGATCGCAGAACCTGCCCAAGGT